AGGAGTTACGCTGGCTTACCTACCTGCTGACTGACCTGGGAGAGCCGCCTCGTTCTCCTCCAGTTCTGTACGTAGACAACAAGGCAATGCTGGCCTTGTGTCGGGAGCACAGACTGGAGCACAGAACGAAGCACATTGCTCTCCGCTACTTTCTTGCACGTGAGTTGCAGCAGCGTGGTCAGCTGCGCCTTGCTTACGTGGCCACTCGGGCCAACACTGCTGATATCTTCACCAAGGCACTTCCGCCTGGTGATCATCAGCGCTTCTGTACGATGCTAGGTCTTGTGCCCACTTGGCCTCACTTGCTCACTTCTTGACCTTGCTTGTACTGCATTTTCTATATACATGCTCTTGCTTGTTTGTCTTTATATATAATCATGCATGTGAACTGGCCTTGTGGCCTTGACCTTGTACTCAGATTTGTGGTGACGTTGTGATCCACTCTGAGCTTGCTTGCTTGACTGGTCTTGTGGCCTCTAGGTCTTCCCCACTTTGCCTATGGGGGTGTGTCAAACATATGTTATATTGTTTATATCTAGGCTGTAGTGGGTTAGATACTAGAGGGTATAGGGTTGTTTCTTGTACCTCTCGAACTTCTCCTAGTGCAACTTTTCTCTCGACTTCCACAAAAGCCTCCAGTAGGGAATGAGGAAACCAGCACGTACGGAATGAGAAGAGCAGCGCGAGGGGAAGCATGGAAGCAGCGCGGGGGGAAGAAGGGAAGCAGCGCGAGGGGAAGAAGGGAAGCAGCGCGGGGGGAAGAAGGGAAGCAGCGCGAGGGGAAGCAGGGAAGCAGCGCGAGGGGAAGCAGGGAAGCAGCGTGGGGGGAAGCAGGGAAGCAGCGCGGGGGGAAGAAGGGAAGCAGCGCGAGGGGAAAAAGGGAAGCAGCGCGGGGGGAAGCAGGGAAGCAGCGCGAGGGGGAGCAGGGAAGCAGCGCGGGGGGGAGCAGGGAAGAAGCGCGGGGGGAAGAAAAGAAGCAGCGCGAGGGGAAGCAGGGAAGCAGCGCGAGGGGAAGCAGGGAAGCAGCGCGGGGGGAAGCAGGGAAGCAGCGCGGGGGGGAGAAGGGAAGCAGCGCGAGGGGAAGAAGGGAAGCAGCGCGGGGGGAAGAAGGGAAGCAGCGCGAGGGGAAGCGGGGATGCAGCGCGATGGGGGGATGCAGCGCGATGGAAAGCGGGGATGCTGCGCGATGGGGGGATGCAGCGCGATGGGAAGCGGGGATGCTGCGCGATGGGAAGCGGGGATGCAGCGCGATGGGAAGCGGGGAAGCGCGATGGGAAGCGGGGATGCAGCGCGAGCGGAGGGAGGGTACTAGAACGAGGGAAGGGAACTTGGAGGACGAAGCAAAACAGAAGCAGGGGAAACGGCTACCATTGGGCTAAACTGCACGGGCGGCGACGCTGAAAGCGAGGAGCGGAGAAATGGGAATAGAATGCGCTGAGCTCGAAAAGGGGAGCGGGATTGCACGAGAAAATAGTTGGACAGTGAAAAGCGACGCGATGGTTGCAACGAGCGACGCTGGTTGCGACGAGCAACGCCGATTTTGCGGCAACCGTCGCCGAGTGGACGCTGCAATACGCGGCGACTAGCAGCGACACTCATGCTTTGAGCTGAGAGTGAAAGGCGACGCGTGACGATCATCTGCCTAGCGTGTTTGCTTCAACACGGCGAAAAATGGTGACTTGAATGGCGAGCGCAGATCGGCCAGCGACGAACTGCGACATTTGAGATCCAAGCTGCAAATGGATACGATTGGCGACGAACGGGAACCGAACAACGGGCATTGAACGCTCGGCGACGAACGACCATCGCGCGAACAGAAAGCGGGGAGCGAAACGATGAGCTCCGCCTTGTTGCAAATCGGCAACGAGACGGAAGCGACGAGGTGAAAGCGTGGCAGAACGCGGAGAGTCTGAACGCGGGGAGCACGTTTTATTAGCTACTATTTTCTGTCAGAGTCTCTAGGTGAGGGAAGCTGTCTCTGAGGTTGGGGCCCGACTTTTGGTATACTAACTCACCAGCGAAGTGGATCAAGTTCTAATCTCGCGAAAATGTTCCCGCTGTTGGTTTGGCAACTTCCACCCCCCTCCCGAAACCTTCCGCCACGATTATTCGTTTCTCCGCAGAGGGGTACTTGTGGGGGAAAGGTTACCCTGTTCTCAAGTGATAAACCTTTGCCTCCCGCTCAAAGTATGTAGACCGCAGCTTTAAGAAAGCGGACTCAAGATTTGACTGTGAATACAATTTACCTTCAAACAGTTCACTCAAGAAAGAGATACGTGAGAAATGAATATTGTGCTAGAGACAATTGCATATACCATGTTAACACATACAATGTGAAAATGAATGTTGGGTGAGGTAGCACAAGTGATGCTCATGCCCCCTTTTCAGCATGGGAAACTCATCCATCCATCCATCCTTCCAACCGAACCACCCACATGTTTGTCCAAAATCCTGAGGGGCAGCCCAACGCTGTGGCATCGGCTGGCATCAGGCTCAGTTTCTAAAGGCTATCTAAACGGAATTGGAGCACCGCAGCAATCCCCCAATGCTAAGTGTACGCTGACATGCACAACTTATCAAGGGAATGCAGTGAGAAAGAGCAGCTGATGATCATAGAGTCGGATGCCCCCACCCGCGAGGCTGGCCATCAGTCCATGACGATCTTCTTGGATTCGGGCATCTCCAACGGCTCAACGGACCTGAACAAATGTGATACAATGTGCGCGAAAGCATTCCCATAAGTTAGTTGGGTCATTCTGCTTTTTCAAGGCAGCAAGACGCGTGGAAGGGGCTCGGGGTGACTCTTTCCATTTCGTCAAGTGTGGGGTTCAGTTAAACAGAATGGGTGAGAGAATCTAAAAATAAGATGTAGGGCACGCGCATTCCACCCGGTAGCCACAGCTGAACAGTGCCCGAGCGACACGCAAGCTACAGCGGACCATACGCAAGCCACACGCACCTCTCTTGGAGCTGCTCCTCGCCGGCATCAGGGTCGTAGTTGGGGTCGTTCTTATCCAGAGCAGCCGCCACGGGCTCGAACTCCGCTCCAACATTTCCCCACGTGTGCTTCCCTCCGCCCCCCCCTAAAAAAGGCAGGGTCAGAAATAAACGAAGTCACATTCTACATCCGTTAAAAACAGCTCGGGTGGCCGTCGAGGAAGAAATGAATTGACGACACGCTTTATAAAATTGAAATGCAATTCTTCCTTTGAGAAGATGAACAGATTTGTAAGTGTTTCACTGAGTAGATACCTTTCTTGGGATCTCCGCGAACGCCAGTTCCTACACAGGATACGGACGAGAAGTATAGAAGACAGGAGATTAAAAACCGTCAGTGCACAGAAATAACAATCACAACTCTTCTTCGGTTTTTGTATATATACGTATTTCCCAGAATTTTTTCCCGCGAGTCCGTACCAGAATGGCGTTCCATCCGCTCTATCCCTTTCTGCACGTTCTTCTTGTGCTCATTCTCCTGCTGATGGCTCTCGTGATGGTGAGCAGGCTTCATGGTTCCAGGGTCAACGGCTTGAACCTAATACTACAGAGAGAACCGTTTACCGAGAATCGCCTATATAAGCTCGTCTAGTCCTTGCCTGGAATTTGAACAGAGCCTAATGAAGATGGAACACGCTGTGCAATGAATGAGATAGGAGCTAGCTGTGTTCTTTGTTCTGAAAATTGTCTCGGAAAAATACTGTGTCGCATTCCCCCTTATTTCTCCCTGCTTGAGTTAGCGAGGTGAAAAAGAAATCTGGCAGGTTGAGCGGGATTGCAGTGCCCCGCATGCTGGACATAGTTGACACATGATGTGGTGGCGTTTGCGAGCATCGGGCAGATGTAAGTTGTTTGATCTGGCGTCATGCCACGTGTGTTTCAAACAAAACTGCACATATGGCGCCCTGAGAGCTAGTGTTTGTGTTGCGTCAGCAGGAGTAGCAGAGTCAGCAGGTGACACGGTCGCCAGCACCAGTAAGGTGACTCAAGTGTTCTACCTAGTGTGCTGGCGACCACGTGAGGCGTCCCTCATTATCTGCTCCGATATACTGCTGCTGCATGACTCCCATACAGTGTGCAATCACATGAACAAACTTCGCACCAAGTTCTCATAGCTTCTGAAATGTAAGATGCCTCATTACTCACTGCGCGGTAGCTGTATCGAACTCGCAATCGACAAAAGCAGTGCTGTGCTTGGGAGGAATTCTGCTGGCGCTGATCACCCCATTGCTGGCTCCTGTTGGACAACTGCCTGCCACGGCTGGATCACTGGTCGAAACTCATCCCCGTTGATGCATCGACACGTCACAACAGGCTCTCCAAACCACAGGGAGCAAAGCGAAGCCCCCATGAGTAGTTACCACCCACACTCTTCACATTCGCTTCACAGCAGTCTTGCTGTAACATTCGGTGATTTGTTCGCCATGCCTCGACTCACAGGTGGTAGCATGTCGTCCCACATGTCACGCGCCAGCGTCCTCGCGCGGGGGGAATCAGAAGGAGCGACAGGTGCTGGGGCTTCCAGCTTGCCACCGCTCAACCTGCCAGCCAGACCGAAGGCGCCGCCGTCTTGTTCAGCCAGTCACAAACCTGGAAAGCCCAAGACAATATCTCAACCGTTGAAGATTTCGGAGGATCCCTTGAACTTCAATCATGCGGCACAGGTGCAAGGATTAGGATTTGTTGCCCAAGACCTAGTGACCACGAGTGTGCGCCACGCGATTCCACCTTGAGAATCTCCTCCCCTCCCACCACCGCAGAACCGAACTGCACATGCCCAACTAGTAGGGAGACCTGCATCCCACAGCACATCCCTCCAAGGATTTCATGACACTGACTCCTCTGACCACCGCCGGCAGCTGCATAAACTCCTTTCACCACTTCCTGCCGATCATTGTTATCGCCCGCTCTCGAGAAAGTACCATATTTTTTTATGTAACCGCCCGTGTCCACAATCTAGACTGTATCGTAAGACTTAGTCATCTTCGTCTATTGTCGGCCTCATGGCAAGTTCAAATCAAGAAGGTTCGGAGTGGCGTGCTAATGGCACATCCGAGAAAGGCACTATCTTGGTAACTGGTGGCGCAGGATACATTGGAAGCCACACCTGCGTCCAACTATTAGAGGAGGGCTATAGGTAATGCACACAGGACATCAGGACCGTGCGAAAATTGCAGCAAACCGTTGCGTCTTGAGTCCTCACGACTCAGTTTTCGAAAACTTGCGCTTCAAGAATGTAACCAGGAACGTCAATACGCAGTGTTTCAAGCTAGTTCGACGCTTGATGAAAGAACCAAACAATTTTGGTGCTATGTTCAGTTATCTGACGCGGTTCGGTACGGTGCGGTTGTTTCGTGTAGGGTAGTGGTGGTGGACAACCTCGATAACTCCTCCGAAGAAGCTATCACTCGCGTCGTAGAGCTGACCGGCAACAAGGGAAGAAATCTGACCTTCTTCAAGGTAGGACGCTTACTTTCACTCAGCTGTCATGCTTTCCATCTCGCGATTCGCCCCGCGTCGTGAAGTAGTCCGCGACTCTGACTGACGGTTTGGGTTGTTCATGCGTGCTCGTGCGTGTTCGTGCGTGCGCAGGTTGATTTGTTGGACCGGCCTCTTCTGGAGGAGGTGTTCAAGCACACAGCGTGAGTCCACGACCCCAGCGCGAGCGTCGAGATCGCTCTTGCATTCATCAGCCTTGTCCAGGCATTGACTACAGCCGTTTTTTGTGTTGCTGCGTCGCCCTTCGCGTCTCCTGTTTTTTACATTCGTTTCTGGCCATGACTTCCTTTCCGTTTCATTTTCTAACGATCATAATTCTCTCAGTTTCGACGCCGTGATTCACTTCGCGGGGCTCAAGGCGGTGGGCGAGAGCGTGCAGCAGCCGCTACGATACTACCACAACAACATCACGGGCACCATAGTGTTGTTGGAGCTTATGGAGCAGTACGGCTGTAGCAAGGTGAGCTCGTGGAACAGTACGGCTGTAGCAAGGTGAGCCCATGGCGCAGTATCGCCGATTTTTCAATACTAGCAATATATTCAACCAAAGAATCACTTCACTTCAAGAAGAGTGCCGCTTGTGACTCCCCATCCCGTTCCCACGGATGCATGCAGAAAGATTTTGCATATGTGCTCGAATCGGCTGCAACTCTTTATCCCGTCCCCATGGCTGTGCGTGCAGATAGTGTTCTCATCATCCGCCACGGTGTATGGTCAGCCCAAGAGAGTGCCGTGCACAGAGGAGGACGAGCTGCAGACACTAAACCCGTACGGCCGAACCAAGGTGCGCCCAGACACTCCCCTCCTTGTCATAATCTGAGTTTCATAACAAACCGTGCACGGAGCAGGACGAGCGGCGGCGAATGCTAGACCCATATGGCCAAAGCAAGGTGTGTACGGCCCCTCACTTACTTACTGCACACATTGCACGCACCTGTACGAGTGTGCCATAGATTGCTCGCCTCGCCTCGCACCACGACAGAGCTACGGACCCTGTATGCGCACTTGCTGCCGCCGTGCCCCGTTTCCCCTCACCCCTTGCCCGTCACCAGCTTCCCTCACCCCCGCACACCCCCCCGTTCCGTTATCTGGTGTTCCGCTGCACATAGAGAACATTCTGCAGGGCATGCAGGCAGCATCACCAGGTTTCGTAGTTGACTAAAAAATATCCTCGCTTGCTGCCTACCCATCATTCCCCACGCCTCCCCCCGCTCCCCCACGTGTAGCTGTACATAGAGAACATGCTGCGGGACATGCAGGCGGCGTCGCCGGGGTGGCAGGTGCTGCTGCTGCGCTACTTCAACCCCGTGGGCGCGCACCCGTCAGGGCGAATAGGCGAGGACCCCCAGGGCATCCCCAACAACCTCATGCCCTTCATCCAGCAGGTCGCCGTGGGCCGCCGCCCCTTCCTCTCCGTGTTTGGGAACGACTATCCCACGCACGATGGCACAGGGGTGAGTGGGGGTGATGAGGGTGGGAGTGAGGGTGAGTGTGAGGGTGAGTGGAGCGAGGGTGCGTGTGTGGATCGATACATGAGGTGAAGAGGAAAGGAGGTGGAGAAAGTCAATTAGAAGAGTAGTGTTCGTTGCTCTCCTGTTCCCTTGATCCATTGTCTCCTGATTTCATCCCTGCAAACCCTCCACCTTCTGCTATTCCCCTCCGCACAACCCACCAGGTGCGGGACTACATTCACGTGATGGACCTCGCAGCAGGCCACACAGCAGCGCTGCGCAAGATCTTCACCACGCCCTCCCTCACGTGCGACGTGTACAACCTCGGCACGGGCCGCGGGCAGTCTGTTCTCGAAATGGTAGCAGGCTTCGAGAAGGCCTCAGGCCGGGAGATTCCTGTCAAGATGTGCCCCAGGCGACCCGGTGACTGCTCGGAGGTGTATGCGCTGACGGATAAGGCTGAGAGGGAGCTGAAATGGAGGGCGGGTCTGACCCTGGATGATATGTGCCGGGATCAATGGAACTGGGCTAGGCAGAACCCGTGGGGGTATTCGAACCCACCTGAAGAGGCGCAGGCAGAGCAGGTAGTGGTTGTGGAGGGGGGAGGAGAGGGTAAAGGTGGAAAAGCAGAGGTGGCAAAGGGGAGTCCTGCGAGTGAGCCACGCACGCCGCCACTCCTGCCGGCCAGTCCTGAGACGAATGTGAATTCGAGTGAGTCGGCGACAAGCTCGGCGGGGTTTGCTCCTTCGCCGTGTGTCCTGGATTCCACACCTCCTGTTGTCGCACATAAGGGCTCGCTTGTTCGCGCAGGGTCTGGGTCGAGTGTGGATTCGTTAGAAGAGCTGACTCAACTGGGGGGCTCTCAAGCAGTAGCGTGATTTTAATAGATTTGTTTTCTGCTGCGGGGTTTTATACGTCTGGATTATGATTTGTGGTGTTTATGTTCTTATACAGTTTTGCTAGTGTGGCTGGTGTTATGCTTGGTGCGACATACTTTGGTGTAACTTATGCTGAGAAAAAAAATATACCGTTGGATCAAGTGGTGTAGACTCCGACATTATTCAGCACTAATTCGCTGTGTTCAGGCTGGTTGCAGGTTGTGCGTGCATTGCTTGGAAAGTTGTGTTCGCCCGCCGCTGTCCCGTCCCATCATCATCGGATTCTCCAAACAGGATCTGAGGACGCGTCAACTCCCAGCACTTTGGGCACATCGATCCTCCGTAGGATCGATGTGCCATATGTACAGTACATTCACGAGCTAGCGAATTGTCGTGTTGCCAGTTTTCGCCAGGTTTCGCCATTGCACAGTAGATCTGCCAATAGTCCCGATGTCCCCTCCGGATCTCGGGACACCTTGCCACCTGCCACACACCGATCGTGGCATTTCGGTGAGCGGGAGCTACAATCGCGCGCTAGTTGACAGCCGCGATCGATCGGCGTCGCTCATGGGTCCGAGCGACACATGCCAGAGTCGCAGCGACGACAAAACCAGCCACCCTGCAAAATCACTTCTGTACACGCAGACCACAAGCTAGAAACCGCCAAAACCAATCCCGCCACAAAACCAGTGACAAACATCCGCGAAAACCCAAGTCAAGTCGCACAGACACTGTTGGGAGTGTCAGTTTGCGATGGCATGCGAAGGCGGATTTGCAGCATGCGACAGGCCAACCAGCACACCGACCCTGCAAATTTTCCTAGTCAAGTGGGGCTCGATGGTAGGGGTACACTGCCGACTTGCAGGTGGAGCACACTGGTGTGCACACCGAACCTGCCAAGATCGGTGTGCACAGCCGATCTTGCCTCGATCCTGCTAGAGTTCTGAGAGTTGACGCGTCCTGAAACTCAGCGCCTCAGCCGTTTCTTGACGTCAGCACGGGCTTCGGATCTGAGCCAATCATGCGTCGGCCATCTGCCTACCGCCGTTCCGCGTCCAAGCCTACGCGTAGCGCCTACCATTCTGCCCAATCCGCCGTTAGTCCGCCAAGGGTAATCCCCGCACGCCTAGACCGCCGATAGCGAGCCGAATCGAGCCTGTCAGCGTGCGTCGTGTCGGCGATTCCACGCATCCACGTGTCCAGGTGTCCACGTGTCGTGCCATGGATGCGTACACGCAGGCGCTCAAGGTGCTCTCTCTCGAGCGCGCCGCGTTCCCCGATGCTAGCGCTTCCGCCAACGTTTCTCCGCACCCCGCGGGGAGCGCCCGTCAGGGTTCACTTCCCGGGCATTGGCGGCGCAGGAGGGGCGGAAGGACTTCCGCGCGCGGGGGACGGGGGGAGGCGTCTGGCGGAAAGCGCGCGCACAGGAGCCAGTCGGAGAAGAAGCCGCAAGCCAGCCTCATGCCTCCGCTTTCCCCCATCTCCCCGACCTCCGCGCGTGCTGCGCACGTAACCCCCATACGCGGACACCCGGTTAGCGCTTTGCGCACAGAAACCCCCCGAGAAAGCGCCGTCGCGGCGCTATCGGCGCAAGAAGTACCCCCCGCAGCGCCGGCGGCGGAGGGGGCTCTAGACGGTTGGCAGCGGCGGCAGCGGCTTGCAGGACGGCAGCTTGCATGGGCGGCGACGCCGGCAAACGCGGCGGCTCCCGCGGAGGGGGATTTTTCTAGATTCGCTGGTTGCAGCGAGACAGGGATGGGGGGAAGAGTGGGGGAGGCACGGGGGGAGGCGCAAGAGGAAGCAGACGTGGTGGAGGTGGTCGGGGATGGGGGGGAAGGGGGGACGGGGAGCAGAGATGCGGAGGCGGGGGGAGAAAGCGGGAGTGTCAATCTGATTAAGGGCCAACAGGATGGGCGAATGGGGAAGCAGAGGGGGCGGATAAGCGGTGGGAAGGGGTTAAGGGCAGGAGGGGAGGAGAGGGGAGATGGTGCGGAGGAGAGAACGGCAGAGGGATCTGGAGGAGCAGGAGGAACAGGGGGAGGAGGGGGAACAGGGGGAGCAGGGGGGGCAAAGGGCAGGATAGGGGAAGAGGTGGACTGCGAAGAGTTCAAGGGAGGGGGGAGCGTGGATGTACGGAAGAAGGAGGAAGAGCAGGCGTTGGAGGAGGAGGAAGAGGAGGAGGAGGATGAGGAAGAGAATGAGGATGAGGATGGGGATGGGGATGAGGAGGAAGAGGAGGAGGAGGAAGAGGAGGAGGAGGAGGAAGAGGGGGATGAAGAAGCGGAGGGGAAGGAGGGGGTGGGTGGTGTGGGGCGAGCAGGGAAGCAGCTGGGCAGACAGGCAGCAGCAGAGGGACAGATGCACGTGAGTGACTCGAGACAGGCTGTGACTCAACATCTGAATGTGCAAGCAGCACCGACGCAAGCAGCATCAGAACAACCAGCATCTGAAGAGAGGAAGCTGGGCGCGCAGGGGGAAGCAGGGGCGGCGGTTGAGCGGAAGCAAGAGGCTGCACGGCAACTGGCATTGCAGCAGCCACGGGAGGCACCCCCCAAGGCGCAGGGCGCATTAGAGGCGGGCGGTGGTGCAGGCGGGGCTGAGGGGGGCGGGGCTGAGGGAGGCGGGGCCGAGGGAGGGCCAGGCACAGTTGGCAAGGCAGCAGGCCCCCCCTTGCATTGTGGTGATGTTCCTTGCCCTGACCCCGCGGTTAAGCAGGAGCAGGAGCAGGAGCAGAAGCAGGAGCAGGAGCAGGAGCAGAAGCAGGAGCAGGAGCAGGAGCAGGAGCAGGAGCAGGAGCAGGAGCAGGAGCAGGAGCAGGAGCCTATGTCGTCTGAGGATGGGCACGGGCATGGGCACAGGCATGAGCATGGGCAGGGTCATAGGCATACACATGGGTACAGACATGGGCATGAGCATGGGCATGAGAAGAACGACCGTCGAGTGTCTCATAGGACTGTTGAGCAGCAGCAGTCGGTTTGTAGGTACCCTGCTTCCATCTCCCACCCATCCTCCATCACACATCCCCAACAGCCACGCACACCACACACACACCACCCCCCACAACCGCCGCCGCAGCAGCCACAACCACAGCAGCAGCAGCAGCGACAGTTACAGCAGCAGGAGCAGTCACAAATACAGCAGCGGCAGCATCTGGCTGTGCCCGGCCCCGTTGCTGCTGCTGCTGCCGTGGGCACTCCAAAAGCGAGGCCTAGCGAGGGCTTCTGGGCCCACGTGGAGGGTTTCTTCCGCCCCGTCACCACCGCTGACGTGGCGCTGCTCTCCCCTGCTGCTTACGTGGCACAGTTCAGTCGCATCACGGAGCGAGATCCCGCCTTTGCCCTGCCGCCTGCGGGTCACCGCCCCCCATTGAAGCACCAGTTGTTGTTCAAGGCACAGGCAGGCGGACAGGAAGTGGCACGGCAGGTGGAGGGGCAGGGGCTGGGGCATGGTCAGGGGAACGGACAGGGGAAGTGGAGGGGGGATGAAGAGGGTCGTGTGAGGGGGCAGGGGGGTGAGGGAAGGGCGGGGGAGGATGGGCAGGGGGGGGCAGGGGGAGACGGGGGACAGGCAGGGATGCAGCTTCTGGGGCCGCAGTTGCAGCAGCAGCAGGGGGAGCAGCAGCAGCGAGGCCAGCAGCAGCCGCAGAAGCGGAGGAGGCAGAGGCAGCAGGGGGGGGGAGTGAGGGCGGAGGGGAGTGACAGGCAGCTGAGGAAGAGGAGGGGGGGGCAGGTGGGGGAGGGAGGCGATGGTGGTGCTGCAGGGGGCAGGGCAGGGGTGAGTGGCGGTGCAGTGAGTAGTGGTGTTGGGGTGGGTGGTGGCCATGTGACTGTGGTGGTGCCTGGGAGTAAGAGGAAGCGCACACGCCTGGGTGGCGGTGGGGGTGCTGGGGGTGCTGGTGGTGCCGGTAGTGGTGGTGGTGGTGGTGCTGCTGCTGGTGGTGGTGGTGGTGGTGCTGCTGCTGCTGCTGCTGCTGCTGCTGGTGCCGCTGCAGCTGCCAGTGAGAGGCTTTCTGGCTCGCTTGCTGCCAGCACAGGAGCACATAGTCAGATGCATGTGGGTGAACCTGACGCTGCTGCTGACTGTGCTGCTACTGGCGCTGATGCTACTGCTGCTGCTGCTCCTGCTGCTGCTCCTGCTGACTGTGCTGCCACGAGTGCGGTGGCTTTAGCTGGTGGTGATTCCAAGAATGCCACAGGCAGTGATGTCGGTGGTGCTCATGATTGCAGTGTGGATATCGGTGGGGCACGTGGTGATGCTGCTGCCTCGCTTCCTCACCCTGTAAAATTTCCTCTTGCTCCTGCTCCCATCACTACTGCTGCTGTTCCTGCTGCTGCTGCTGCTGCTGCTGCTGCTGCTGCTGCTGCTGTTCCTGCAGCTGCTATCGGTGCAGTAGCTGCATCTGATGTGTCTGTGTCTGCTGGCAGAGGGAGGGGGGGGAAGAGAGCAGGGCGAGGAAGGCCCAGGGGAGCAGCAGCAAGGGCGGAGAGGGAGGAGGGGATGGTGGTGACCCTTGTGTCTCCCCCACTTTCGCAGGCAATCGCTCAGGCAGAGGGAAAGGGGGGTGGGAGGCAGTGGGGAGCGGAGGAGGAAGAGGGGGGAGGGGAGGGGGAGGCTTGTGATGTGTGTTGCCAGACGGAGAGCGACGATGCGAACCCCATTGTGTTCTGCGATGGCTGTGATGTTGCTGTGCACCGCCAGTGCTACGGCATCCCCGCTGCTGCTCTGCTGCCCGTGGGGGGAGAGGAACCGAAGAGAGGGGAGGAGCAGGGAAGGCTGGAGCAGGGAGAGGGAGCGCGGGAACAGGGAGGGGCGGATCAGGGATGTGGTGAGCACAGTAGGGAGGAAGAGGAGGAGGAGGGGGGCAGTCTGCCGTGGCTGTGTGCGCGGTGCAGCAGCAGCCGGCCCGCTCAGGTGCACTGTGCGCTCTGCCCTGTGCTCTCCGGTGCCTTCAAACCCGCTCTTCCCGGCGCCCCTCCCTCCGGTTCCTTGGAACCCGCTGCACCAGCTGGTTTGCCAGCAGCCGTGGCAGCATCAAGACCCGCGCCACCAGCACCTGCACAAGACACACATGGGCCGCAGCAGCAACAGCAACGAGGGGAGCAGCAACAGCAGCAGCACCATCCGGCTCAGGAGCAGCAGCAGCAGCATGAGCAGCAGGAGCGGAAGGAGGAGCAGCAGAATGTCCAGAAGGATGAGCAGCTATTCGCGCATCTGTTTTGCAGCCAGTGGGTGCCGGAGACGTATGTGGGCGATCCAGAGAGCATGCAGCCCGTGTGCAACGTGAGGGGCGTCAGCCAGGAGCGCCGCCGCATGCTGTGCTGCCTGTGCCGCTCCAAGGAGGGTACCTGCATCCAATGCAGCCACGGTGGGTTGGGGAAGCTGTTTCCGTCTGTGACGCACTCTGTGATGCTCAATTCTCCTCACACGCTCACTACGTTGCATTGCTCCGCCTTTTTTTTTTTTTTTTAATCTGCCACAGTTACTCCGTTCTTGTGCTTCTCTTCCCCCTCTCTCCTTTCTCCCCCCTCTCCTGCACCTTCCTCCCTTCTTTCCTCCCCATCCCCCCTCTTTCCCCCCAGGCATGTGCGCAGTGCCCTTCCACCCCATGTGCGCGCGCCAGGGGGGCCTGCTCATGACCCTCTCCGCCTCCCCCTGCTCCCCCCGCGTGCTGCTTAAGGCCTTCTGCCCCCGCCACTCCGCCCTGCGCCTCCCCCCGCTGGTGCAGCAGCTGCAGGCAGGGGCGGGCGGAGGGGGAGGGAAAGGGGGAGAGGGTGGGGAGGCGGAGAAGGAAGGGGAAAGGGTGGGGACAGGTGCAGGGGCGGTGGGGAAGATGGGAATCGCTGGTGGGGAAAAGGAAGAGTGGGTGGGTGACGGGGCAGAAGGGGGGGTGATGGGAGAAGTGTGGGTGGGAGTGAAGGAGGGAAGCAGGGGGGTTGAGAGACATGGAGAGGTAGGGAATGAGGGAGAGGAGGAGGATGAGGAGGAAGGGGAGGGAGGGGGGGACGGTGGTGAGGAGGAAGGAAGGGTAAGGAGAGGAGAGGGGGAGGGGTTGCAAGGGAAGTTGGAAGATAAGGAGGGGGCATTTAGGGCAGAGGATACTGGCAATGCAGCCAGTGCGGTGGGTGAGGGACGGGAAGCAGGGCGGATGGATGGGCGTGAGAAGGGAGAGAGGGACGAAGGAAATGGAATGCTGGTGGAGGGAGGGAGAAGAGAAGTACGGGAAGAAGACGGAGGAGGAGAGGAGGGAGGGAGAGAAGAGCGATGGGGAGTGAAGGAAGAGGGGAAGTTAAGGGAGGAAGGGGGGGAGGGTGCGGAAGTGGGAAGGGGGATGAACAGAGGGGATGTTGGGTCCTGTGCTCGTGGTGGTTGCGGTGATGGTGGTGGTGCGTCTATTGATGCTGGTGGTGCTTTCGGTGATGTTGTAATGAAGGATGCAAGCGTGTCAAAAGAAGCACCAGGGGAGGCTGCAGCTGCAGGGGAGACAGCAGGGGAGGTACCAAGGGAGGCAGCAAGGGAGGCAGCAGCAGTAGGGCAGTCAGCAGCAGCAGTGGCAGTGGCAGAGGAGTCAGATGATGATGATGATGTGGTGGTGCTGGTGGAGGAAGGATCAGTGAGGGAGGAGGTGGATGCAGCAGCAGCAGGGACAAGGGGTTGCCTGCCTGCAGCGTCAGGAAGGAGTGTGCGCAGCGAAGCAAAGCCCAATGCTAGTGCTGCAGGTGCTGTGACGCCAGTTGTACGTGCTGATGTGGCACAATTGACACGTTCTGCTGATGTGGCGCCAGTTAAGCAAGCCCAGGCTGACGTGGAGTGGCCCAGATGGGAGGGCGCTGCTGCGCTGGCGCTGATTCAGCAGGTGCGGTGCCATGCGTACGTGCAGAGATATGCTGAAACGCTGCAGGCGTCAGGAAAAGAGGGGATAGGGGACTCGAGTTGTGTGGGGCGTGTGAAGGAAGAAGAGGAGGTGGAAGGGGAAGGGCAGGAGGAGGAGGGAAGAAGATACAACAGGGAGCAAGTCAAGCAAGGAGAGGAGCACAAGACGAGCAGGAGGCAGCAGGGAGGGCAGCTAATCTTTTCAGATGGTGCACTGGTGCAGGTGGCACCTGAGGGAGGTACACCTGAGGACGAGGTCACATCAGAGCTCATCATAGCACAGACCCAGCTGCTGTCCGTCCTGCACACCCTCTCGCACCGCTCCCAACACCTGCTTCACCGCATGCTACCGCGCCTGCAGGCGGAGAGGCAAGCAGCAGAGGCGCAGCAGCAGGGGAAGGCGGCGGTTGAAGAGTATTTGGGGGTGCTGAGGGAGCAGCGCAAGCAGGGGCGGCGGGACCGGCGGGAGAGGGAGGCTCAGGCTGTGCTGGCCGCGGCTGAAGCTGCTGCTGCTGCTTCCCCCCGTGTTGGGCATCTGAAGCGGGACCCTGCTGGGCCTGCTGTGGCAGGTGCTGCTGGGGTGGGAGCTGCTGGGGGGAGTGCTGCTGCTCCTGCTAGTCCTCTGGGCGCTTCTGCTCTTGCTGCTGCTGGTCGTCCTGCTGCGGCTGGTGTTGGTGCTGCCGCTGCTGCTGGGATGGGTGGTGGTGTGTCTCCGTCTTGGGGGATCGGTGGGAGGGCGTGGGGAAGGGGATGGGGAGGAGGGAGAGGGAGAGCGGGCCTGGGAATGACGAGACTGGGGGGAGCGTATGGCAGTTCCGCTGCTGCTGCTGCTGCTGCTGCTGCTGCCGCTACTGGTGACAGTGGTACTGGCGCTGCTGCAGGTGCTGGTGGTAGTGCTGGTGCTGCCAGTGGTGTTGGTGGTGGTGATGCAGGTGCGGCTGCTGCTGCTGTGGCTGCTGATGCAGGGAGATTGCCAGCATCCCCCTTGGCATCCCGCCCCTCCCTCTTCCCCTCTGCAGCAGCCCGCCCTGGGCTTGCCGGTGTTGCCAGAGGGGCAAGGGGGAGAGGCGGGTGGGGGCGGGGTAGGGGCAGGGGGCGTGGGGGATGGACAGGGGGAGGGCGAGGGAGAATGGGAGGGAGAGTGGGAGGGAGAGTGGGAGGGAGAGTTGGGGGATGGGGCAGGAGAGTGGATGTATCACCAGGGTTGTTGAATGGAGGGGGTGGTGAAGGGGATGGGCAGATGGAGAGCGGTGCAGTGGGGTATGGGGAGGTGGGGGGAGTTGCGGAAGAGAAGAGGGTGTGGAGGGAGTGTGGGGCGTGCTGGCAAAGGGAGTGTGGGCCGCACAGGAGCATGATTGAGTGTGGAAAATGCCACGTGGCAGTTCACCATTGGTGCTACGGCGTGCCTGAGGGGAGGTCTGGGCCGTGGTTGTGCCAGGTGTGCCGCTGGGATTGGGTGGTGGGTGGGGAGGAGAGGGAACGGCATCACCAGCAGAAGCAGAAGCAGCAACTTCAGAATCAGGAGAAGCATGAGGAGCGGCGGCATGAGCAGCAGTCCCACCCTCCCCCACTTGAGTCCCACTCACCTGCACCCCCCCACCCGCCTTTCCTCCCTTCACCAAGGCCCTCTCCCCCCAGTGTCCCCTGCGCCCTCTGCTCTCCTGCTGTGTGGCTGGGCGCTGCTGGGATAGAAAAGCGGGAAGGAGGCGACAGGGGGAAGACGGGCGAAGGGGGGGAGGTCGGAGAAGGGGGAGAGGGGGAGAAGCAGAGCGCGGAGGCAGGATTTCTACAGGGAGGAGAGGGAGCAGCAGTGTTGGGGGAGGTAGCGAGAGGAAAGGTGGTGGAGGGGGGAGTGAAGAGGGGAGGGGATGGGGGGGGGGGGGGGGAGTGAGAGTGGAAGGAGGAAGTAGAGGGATGGATGTTGTGCTTTCGAGGGAAGGCATCTCGCAGGGAGTGGAGAGAGGGGAAGCGCAGGAGATGGAGGGGGGTGCAAGTAGGGATGGGGTGATGGAGGAGGGAGGGAGCAGGGTTGGGGCGATGGAGGGAGGAGGTGGAGGAGGCAGTGGTGTAGATGGGGGAAAGGGTGGGGGGATGAGCTTGAGCAGGGAGGGGGAGGGGAAAGGGAGTGTGGGGAGTGAAGGGCGGGCGGCACTGAAGCGAACGGAGAAGGGCCAATGGGTGCATCTGCTGTGCGCTCAGGTATGCCTCTCACTCGCTCTCTCACTCGCTCTCTCACTCGCTCTCTCACTCACTCACTCTCGCATTCACATATTCCCTCGCTCACTCAGTCACACTCTCACCCCCCTGCTGCTCGTGCCCTCACTCACTCACTCACTCACTTTCTCACCCACTTACCCGCTTAAACACTCACGCACTGACTCGCTCACTCACCCACCCATTCACCCGATCACCCATTCACCCGATCACCCATTCACCCGATCACCCATTCACCAAACTGACCCACCCACGTGAAGGCGTCTAGAATATATGTTTTCCCGCCCCATCCTTCCAGGTGTTGTTTCCTGACTGCGCTGTGTTGGGTGCACCCGAGGATCGACCCCTACGCCTCACTGTGAGTATAGCGAAGGCACTCGTTTAGGAATTAGAGTTACCAACACTCGTTACAGGCACCTCGTTTCAAGCACTCGCCTTTCCAAGCTAGCACACACGCATGGTGATCTCAGCTCTAGGGATGCTAAATTCCCTTCACTCCGCGCTCATGCTGTCTCTTCACTTGCTTCTCCCTGCCTCCTTTCCTTCCCTCTCTTCCTCCCCTCCCTCTCCCGCCCCTTCTCTCCCAACCCCTCTGCCCCAATCCCGCTCATTCCCACTCCCCCTCTCTCCCCCTCACATCATCCCACCACCGACCGACCATCAGGGCGCCGTCCCTCCCACCAAGCAGCAGCGCTGCTGCTGCTTCTGCCACTCCTCATCTGCGCACGCATGCACGCAGGTGCGGATTGCAGATTGCAGGCGGGCTGCCAGGGGTGTGAAACGGCTCCAGGGGGTTGAAAAACGGGCCAGATTGGGGTGTGAAGCAGGTGTGGGGGCTGAGAAAATGGTCAGGCCGTTTTTGGTGTATTATCTCCTGCACATCCCCCTCCTGCACATCCCCCTCCTGCACATCCCCCTCCTGCACATCCTCCTGTTTTTCTCCACTTCTGACTCGTTCTTCTCTCCACATGGTCCTCCCCCTTAATTCTCTCCTCTCATCCCACCTTCTCTCGCCCTCTCTTTTCCATCCCGTATCTCCCGTTATTCCCTGTTCCCCCATCCCCCGTTACCTAATCCGCTATTTCCCATCCAAACCCCATCGCCCCCCTCAGTGCGCCATGCCAGGCTGCTTTCGTGTTATGCATCCCATGTGTGCGCGCCACTGCTCTCGCCTCATCACTCCCTCCTCACTGCCAGAGCCACCTCAACCGTCCCCTCCCATCTGCACTCCTTCCCTTCCTCCCTCTACCGCCGCTGCCACTGCCACAACCCGCGCCACTGCCCCGACCACTGCCGCTGTCTCTCCTGCTCCTCCCCCAACAGCCTGTCCCACCACCGCTGGTATCACCGCTGCTGAGTCTCCTGGCATTGCAACACATGCTGCTCTCCCCTCTCCTCCTCCTCCGCTCTCCTCCACGCCTTCCTCCATAGCAGGAGCTCCAGTGCCCTTCCATCCTCCCTCCTCTCTCGCATCAACTCTCCCTCCTCCTCCACCACCCACTACCACCACCGCAGCCCCTGTCGAACCCCCTCGGGCACCTGTGAAAATTCACTTGTACTGCCCAGAGCATGCGGCAGCTTCCAAGATCCAGAAACTCGACCCTCGTTTCCAGCAATTCACCTCCCCCAGTAGCACCTCCCAGCTGCCCTCCAATGCACCTCTCCTGCCTTCAAAGCGCCGGGCTCCAGTTTCTTTCACGGATCATGAGGATCAGAAGAGACGCTGTGTGGGAGTGGCTGAGGGAGAGGGTGGGGATGATAGACTGGGTAGGGTGATGGTGGGTGGAGCACCGAGACAGGCATGTGGAGCGGAACAGAGCTCGCAGGAAAAGCAAGCAGGGGGTGTGACGACAAGGCCATTGTTGAAGGTACGGCAAGGCAAGCATTGTGTGTGGTAATTGCCATAGAAATACATCTTTTTTTGTGTTAGGCTGTACATCATGAGCTAAGCATGTCTGCGTATGTGTGCGTGTGCTTGTGTCCCTGTGCCTGTGTGCTCCTGTGGCTCTGTGTGCATGCTTGCAGCTGCAGCTGTCGTACCTCGCCACGCATGCGGCAGCACGTGCTCTCAATGCACGCTTACCTCCTGGCTATAGATACGTGCCTATCACTAAACTTGATAATCACTAACAACACATTATACTCACTCACTTTGTAAATCGCAATGATTACCACCCATACGGTATATTTGCAGGTGTGATTTCAGAGTACCATTTGTGTATGGAGCATAAATTACCGTATGGGATGGTGGTCTCACATGCCAAGACATCAATCAAGTTGAAGCCATATTTCCTATTATGCTCCTAGAATAGTCCAGACTTGATTATTTTCTGTAGATGTTTTTTGAATTCAATACTGATGCGCCAATCCGCTATAGGCTCGTCTCCATCACATCGCGGGATGATCGGAGTTCCCTTTGTCCGCCGAAGCTGGCTGTCAGTCAGCTCAAACCTCCCTGCGATCCCGATCCCCCCTCCTCCACAAAAGCGTTCCACGAATTCATGGCACCCTACCCCGTTTCCCCCCCCGCCTCCTCTTTTTCCCCCGCGCGCTCGTCCACCTTCTCTAGGCGCATCTCATGTTTCCGCACGCTATTGGCCATCAAATCCGGAGTCCACGAAACACTGGGTAATTAGGTATTTAGAAGCCAGCAGCTACTTAGCTCGATGCTGATCTGCGCCTTTGCCGTGCCTCCTGCAGCATCAAATTAAATTTCGCCGTTTCTCTGTGATGCGCGTGCCTCCGCCACATCTGTTGTCGCATAAGACGTCGTTGTAAGACCGCCTTTTTTACGCTGCTCCCGAGGCGTTCCTTCGAGTTTCATTTATCTAGTAGTTGTTTTCTAGCGTCTCATGGCAGCGTCCTCCCTCAGACCAGCCGTTAGCCAGCTCCGGTTCTGCTCCTCCGCCGACGCTGCATCCCCTCACGCACGTCAAAGCACTGCGTGCCTGGCGATGGCTCCCAACGGATTGAGCTCGCTTCGCTGCACTCATCAACCTAGTCTCCGTCTTCAGATTAGCAGTAACAAATTCCATTCGCGGAGTAACATCGCCAGTTCTTTCTTTGGAGATTCTCTTCCTCGGTTCCAATCAGCGTCCATTTCGTCAGCATCAATCCTCCAATCGCAGCGGAACGTCGCCAGACGGAAGTTCTGGAGCTCGCCGCAGGCGGTTTTCCAATGGGGGAAGCGGCCGGAGTACAAGGGGACGCCACCACGTGTCATAGTGGTGACATCGGGGAAAGGAGGTGTCGGAAAGACGACTATGGTGGCTAATATCGGAATGTGCCTGGCTCGGTTGGAGTTTAAAGTCGTCGCGATAGACTGCGACGTGGGTCTCAGGAACCTCGACTTGCTTCTAGGAATGGAGGCTAGGGTATTTCACACAGTCCAAGATGTGTTGGCAGGAGAGGCTCGACTTGATCAGGCGCTTGTACGCGACAAGCGCGTTCCCAATTTCGAGCTTCTCTGCATTTCCAAGCCTCGGTCCAAAATCGATTTAAATTTCAGCGGCAAGTCGCTGATTCTCCTAGTGGAAGCCTTAAGGGAGCGCGAGGAGGGGTGTCCAGATTTCATTCTCCTAGACTGTCCAGCGGGGATCGAAGCCGGGTTTATAACGGCAATCACGCCGGCCAACGAGGCGATTATCGTGACGACGCCGGACGTGACGTGTCTGAGGGATGCGGACAGGGTTGCGGGGCTGTTGGAGTGCGACGGCATCACGAACGTGTCGCTGCTGGTGAACCGCGTGCAGGCAGATCTGATCAAGCAAGGCCAGATGATGTCCGTCGGGGACGTCAGGGAAATGCTCGTGAGTTCACTGGACGCACACCTCTCTTTCCCCCTCTCTCCCTAGCCCCCCTCCCGCTTTCCCCACCCGCTCGTTTTCTTCCAACTCCTCCTTTCTTTCCTTTGGGAGTACGCTATGGGTGCTGTGTTATGCATGCGAAAGAATCCTCAACTGATGGAGGTTTGTTAAGTCTGTCACTAGGAAAAATGAGTTAATTGGCTGAAAGTCTGTGTGTTCCTGAATTACTGTCTTGGGCCATTTGGTTGTCTGCTATTGACACCACCGTGTGTTATACTGTAGGTCCACTGATTATCCGACCTCCTCTCCTCTCCCTCCCTTCTTCCTTTTCTCCCCATCCCTTCACTCCTCCCGCACCCCTCTTGCACTGACATGTCGTTGTGACCAAGCAGGGACTTCCGCTGTTGGGGGTTATTCCGGAAGACACTGCAACGATTGGTGCATCCAACCAGGGAATGCCGCTTGTGCTGAAGAAGCCACCTACCATGGCAGGCCTGGCAATGGAGGCTGCAGCTTGGCGGCTGGCTCAAGGGGAACAGATGGATGTGGTTGTGCTTCCAGAGGAGAAGAAAGGGTTTCTCGCCTTTTAGTTAGGCTTGCTTGCCATGGACAAAATCCACAGCAGTAGGAATGTTTGTCATGTTCTGAATGTGGGCAGTGGTTGAGAAAAGTAGAACCTGCTTTGTGCAACGTGTTTTTGCACTTTTACGCATATCTGCTACAGAAAATCATCTGTTTGCACATTGGGAGTGATATCCATGAATGTATGATTGCTGTATATGGCAGCTGCTAAGCCAATCATTACTTGCTTCTCCTTGAACTGTTCTTTGTCATGCCCATGTGTCTTGAATTCCTTCTTCACCCACGATACGGTATGCTATTTGCACTGCTTTGACTGACTGAATTAATGTATCATACCCAAATGGGCAATGGGAGCATAAACCCACTGTGGAAGACAAGTATTTCGCCCCATCACAAAAATTAAGATGAGTAACTTGGACTAAGAGATAATTACTACCGTAGAATCTCAGAACCTTACTGCTCTAGTCTGACTAAATTAGAGGGCAGGAGGCATTTGGGGCCTTCCACCGAGGAACGACAAAAAGCCAGCAGAATCCGAATCGTCCAAAAAGAGGTCATCTGGAACCCTGAATGCAGCATGCACGGTGATGGCCACGGCACCTATCACAACCCCGGACATGAGAATGGAGCCCACTGATGTCAGTCCGAAGACGACAACCACGGAAATTACCACCATTCCGATAAACTTTTCTCGCTCGTTCAGCGTTCTTCCAGCGACAATGATCGGCTCTGCGCGGACCATGAACACGTACACCCAGCCAGATCCGAGAAGACCCAGCCACAAAATAGCTGTTGGGTTCCAGAGCATGCTGAGGACGACAACTGCGATGAGAATGCCCAGGTAATTTGCCCGAAAGTAGCCCAGGTTCTTGCGAATCCGGCTGAGGGCGTCATTCAGGCTTTCGGGCTTGGCTAAACTGGAGCGGTCAATGAGCTCGTTCCATGGACGCTGCTGAGCGGTGGCTGCGGCATATGACTCCTGAACTTTGGTTATGAGCGACCGTACAGCGGAAGCCGATGGGTTCCCAGCCATAGAGGCTCCTGGAGCAACAGCTGCCATGGAATGTCACTGTCTCGAGCTAGTCAATCAAGGCTAGTTGATAGATGAATGAGAATGGCAGGCTAAATGAAAAATTGGCAGTGAATCGAGGTGGGAGACAGTAAATACTTGCCAAGCGCGAAGAGCGATCTGCAAGTGTGCAACAGTCGTAATCCTTGGTGAGCTTCTGCAAAAAGAGCTTGAAGTCTGGCTGCTGCGAAACAGAAGCCAGTGCATATGTAGAGTCTCCTCACGAGTTTGATAGCGGAAACGAAGGGCGGTGTATGATGGCCAACATCGAGGCATGGTTGGGGAGCAGGTCCACAGACGGAGCTGACACACCCTAGCAAGCGGTACGCGTTTCGGAGATTTGATGTGAGGCCGTCTCTGATTGGTCGTGAGAGAGTTTGCGGACCTAAGCAGCACCGAACCTCGGCAATTCCAGACCCGTGAGTGTCTAGGTTGGGCGCGTAGGGGTTCGGCGAATTCTTTGGTGGCAGGTTTGGATCCGAACTGGAATCTGCCTCAACGGCAAAATCTTGGTTTTGCCACCTGTCAGTTATGTGACCCGGGTGAGCGAATTCGAGGGGTAACATGTGTCGTCGCACAGCAATATCGCCAAAACGTGCTGTTCCGTCTGCAAGCCATTCCACAGAACGGTTAGTCAGAATCAGCCTACCAAATTCTCCCTGCCAGTCAGAATCAGTTTAGCAAATCTAGTCGGCACCACTACTCTTGAGCAATCCGGCAGAACGAAGGCGGCTTGATCTAAAATATTATTACGGTAACTGCCATGGCGTCTGTTCCTGGAGGTGCGGTAGAGGGAAATCCGACGGGGATGCGGGCGCTTGTAGCTAGAATCCAGGATTCTTATCGGAATGCGATAGCGCAGCAGCGGCCATGGAGCGAGCTGACGGATCGGTCGCTGTTCGCTAGACCCGACAATCTTAATGACGCGCTTGGGAGAATTCGTAAAAATACCAGTTACTTTCAGGCGAATTACCTCTCGATCCTTATTGTCGTCGTTATTCTCTGTATGCTCTGGAATCCGACTGCCATTCTCTGGCTAGCTCTGCTCGCAGCTGCTTGGGTTTATATTTTCATGGCTCGTACGGATGCGCTGATCATCGCTGGAAGGACCCTCAACGAACGCGAGAAGTTCCTCGCCATGGCAGTCATATCCATCGTCGTCGTCTTCGGGCTGACGTCCGTCGGATCTATTCTCATGTCGGGTCTGGTGATGGGTGCTGCTGCGATCGCCTTGCACGCCGCCTTCAGGGTCCCTGACGACCTTTTCCTGGATGACAATGAATCTGGAAGTTTCCTGTCGTTCCTTGGTGGAAGAAGTACTGTTCCCATTCCAACGGCCATCTGAGAGGCATCTATCCGTCGGATGCAGCTTGTTCAAGGTCAGCCTTCGACCGTTCCTGCAGTTTCGTGATGCAAGTCTTGAGATTGAGTACGTCTGCTTCTGCTATCAGTGCTATCGATCTGCTTCACCTGTCCCAGCTTGCCTGTCTGCATCACTTCGGATTCTTGAAAACATGCTTCCACACGAGCTTCACCATAGTTTGTGTCCTTCCTCTTCTGCCCTAATTTCCCCTAGATGCTGCAGTGTCAAACTTTAAATTGGATTCCCAGTAAAGATGTCTACTAATAATGGCGGTACTGCATCCACTGTACCTTATAGTAGGTAACGATTATCATGGAAACCTCCGTTTGAATTGTAATAATTTTTATAGGCTCGTTATGATAACAATGCCACCCGACCCGACTACCTCACGAGCATATGTACTCTGAAGAGGAAAATGAATGTCCTGCCACGGCGAATGGAGGCTTGCCTGAAGCCATCACCTCGCCAACAGTAACGCCTGACAGTGACGATCCCCGACACTCGAACTCCACGCGCACGCGGTACGCCGCCATCTCCTTTGCCTTGCGGTCCTCCTCTGCCTGCTTCTCCTCCGCTGTCCGCTCTGCTGCCCCATGTACCAAATCATCTGGAATCACTGGGATCTGGGCCCTCAAGCGTTGCGGTGGGTCATTGGACTGGTGTCAGATGGTGAGGTGGGTGGGTGGGTGGGTGGGTGAAAGAGCCGGACCCGGAGGGTGGATTAGGAAGGTGAGGAAAGGATTGTTGCTGGAGCAGTTTTACTGTAAGAAGGAAGATTCCTAGCTGAAAAGGTAACAAAACATGACAAACGAAAGTACATGCAGAGGGAAATGGGAGCAGCGGCTGTTGGGAAGAGAGGTTGGGAGCATTCACGTGGGTGATGGCACGTACATTGATCTGTGGGACGTGCCACCTCAGCTCCTTGGTCCAGGGGTCAAGCTGTGCCCTGCCAGGAATTCAGGGATTACAGCGAGTGGAGACGGCAAAACGGGATAGGAGGAGCCCAAGGAGCTCCGTTTGGCCATTCTGCAGGGATCAACCAGGTGAATGCGAGAAACATTGTTCGCAGAAACAAGATTCTAAAATGGCAAATCCAGCGACTAGGTTTATGAGAATTGCTGTTTATGGAGGGGAGGGGCTTACTCTGGGTTGAGGCGGAGGGAGGCGGGGGAGAAGGCAAGGGAGAGGATGAAGGTGACGTTCAGCAGCGGTGCTTGCAGGTACGGGTTCGCCACATACTGCGAGGAGAGGATGGAAAGGGGGGCGTGTGTGTAGGTGGGCGAGAATGCATGGATTGGTCATACGCACACACATCGGATAAAGGTGGGGCATGTGGTTGGACAAAAGGAGTTCAATGTTGGAAGCGACAGACGTGCAATATGACGTGCAAAATGACATGTCATTAAGAGGGCGGGGGTGTTGGCAAGTGAAGAGGTGAGGCATATTAGCAAGTAGTGAGGCACGAACCTGGATCATGAGTGAGAGTGCTTCATCACTCCTCCTTGTCACGAACCTGATAAGACACCGATAGCAAGCAGAGCACAAGGAAACGACAAACAGGGCCACAGTGAGTGAAACATGAGTGCAGGGGCGAAAGGAGCACACAGATGTTCCAGCCAGAGGCCTCAACCAACCACGCTCAAACCATGCTCAACCAACCACGCTCAAACCATGCTCAACCAACCACGCTCAAACCATGCTCAACCAGAGGCGCAGACAGCCTGAGCCCAACGCACCAAGGTCCAATCTGTAACACATAATCCACGCATTCTCAAGCACACCTCTGCCCAGCCTCCACATATCATTTAGAGCACCATGCAGAAAAGATGCCAGCATCGCACGCACCTGAGTCGAAGAGGAATGGGCGTGTACCGGGGCTGCAACCGATATTTCATCAGCACAAACTCCTGCGCCCGCCCCTCCGCCCCCTCCTCCCCTTCCCCCGGGTTCACCACCTCCCTCATGCCCTCGTCCCCCTCCCCCAGCAGGTCCGCCATGGGGGGGGCCTGGGGGGAGGCTGCGACAGCAGAGGGGGCGGAGAGCGGGGGGAAGGTGGTGCCCGGGGGAGGCATGCGGAAGTGGAAGTAGCCCTTCCCCAGGTCGCTCACTATGCCCGGCCGCATGGTGCAGCGCTGGGGGGAGGGAGGGAGAGTGCGAGAGAAGATGTGAACGGGGGGGATGTGTTGGTAAGCGGGCCATTAAAGGGATGCGCAAGGAGGAAGGCAGAGAAGCAACGGGGAAGAAAAATACAGAGGGGCGTGTGGATGGCAGGGTGAACATGTGCATGCAGTGGGGGGGAAGGGGAGAGGCAAGGGTTTGTGTGGAGCAGAGCAGAGCGGAACAGAGCAGAGAACAGAAGTGAAGAGAGCACGGCACGCACCTTGATGGCGCCAGAGCCCTCCAATCGGAAGGAGAACTCGTCCGGCACACTCCCGTCCTTCTCCGCTCCTCCCCCCATCCCCGCCCCCCTCGGCCCGCCTCCCCCACCAATAGCGCCACCGCCCACTCCCCCAGCAGCAAGCGCTGGTGGCTTGGGCGTTGGGAGGGTGAGGAAGACGGTGCCGGAGAGGCGCACGCGCGTGAGCGAGGAGCCGAGGAAGTCCGCACTGATGCGCTCCTCCACTCGGAACGTGGGCTGTGTTGGGCCCGCTGGTGTGGCCGGTGTTGTTACTGCTGGCGGGGTGGTGGCTGCTGGGGTTGACACTGGGAGGGAGGGAGGGGCGTGGGGAGGAAACAGAAAGGGCGTACAGATGGGAAGGACGACAAACGGCAGGAAGACGCGGATGGGAAGTGTGAAAGCGATTGACGGTACGGGAGGAGGCGCAACTGCTGATGGGTTCACTGCTGTTGGTGCGGACAGTGGGAGCGACGATGAAGTGATGGAGAGTATGGACGACACCATTGCAAGTACAAACACACAAGCAGCTGAGGCACACGGACAAGAAAATACAAGGGAGGGAGGGAGGAGGGAAAATGTGAGGAATATCCTAGTGCAAAAACAGAAGAGTGCAACTGGTCAGTGACTGCTCCTAGAGAAGTGCTCTGTGTGCAGTGCTCACTGCTCACTGCTTAGTGCTCCTCAGCGCTCAGTGCATTATGCCCACCATCCATGGCGCCCAGTCCCAGAGCCACCTCCAGCTGCCGTGCAGCCGCCACCGCCGACCCCCCTGCCGCCCCCTCCCCTCCCCCCAGCGCCGTGCCTAGGTCCCCCCCGCCGCCCAGCCCAAACGCGTCCTCCTCCCCCTGCTCCACCCCAAACTCCGCCGCGTCCAGACCGCCACCCCACGCGTCCCCATCCCCCCCCAGCAGCGCGCTCCCCCCAAACGCCGTCCCCCAGGCGTCGTCCCCCTCGTCGTCCCCCAGCGCAGCGAGTCCCCCAAGCCCCTCCGCCTCCAGGTCCGCACCAAAGGCGTCCGCCATGCTGTCTGACGCGAATGGGTCCAGGGCGGAGGGGGGGGCGCGGACGACAGCCCCGCCTGAGGGGGAAGGGAAAAGGGCAAAAGGGGGTGGGAGGGCGAGGGGGAGGACGGGTGAGGGAGGGGAAGGGAGAGGAGTAGCAGGGGAGCGGGAGTTTGAGGAGGGCAGGAGGAGAAAGCAGGCTAAGGCATCACAAAAACAGGCAAGATGGACGGCAGATGAAGCAGCAGCAGACAAGGTAGACTGCAGAGGGAGTAGCAGACACGAGGTGCGGGAAAAGAGAAGACGAGAGGAAGAGATGGAAGGAGCAAGAAACAGGCAGAGAAAGCCAGAGGGCATCAGAGAACGGCAGAAAGAGGCGCATCCCACCTCGAGCTCCGCAAGCAGAGAAGCAGGATCGTTCTCCGGCCTCTTCCCTGCACCCCCCGCTGCCACCACATCCCCCACCCCACCCGCCCCCCCAGGACCCGCGTCCAGCAGCGCGAGTTCTCCCCCCCCGCCCCCCAGCAGGCTGTCACTGGCGGCAAAGGGGTCATCCGCGGAGCCCAGCAGCGCCAGCGCCGCCAGCGGGTCGGAGGCAGCAGAGGGGCGCGGGGAGGGCGTGGGGGGCGCGGGGGGGCTTCGAAGGCCGGCTGGGAGGGCGCCGGGGCGAAGGCCTCCATTGTCTCGTCACCCACTGCTAGGGCCTCCTCTGGTAGCTCGAAGTGCGCTGATGACATGTACTGCGATGGGGGGGGTGGAGAGGGGAAAGGGGAAAGAGGTTGGGAGTGGACAGAGAAGTGGACAGAGGGACTTTTCAAATTTAAGCAGACGCTGTGTTGGGACTTGGGACTAGGGCAAGTGGACAATAATATGAAGGACAGAAATATTCCCCTTTACACAGCCCCCACCCTCATCCCCTCATCCCCTTTCACAACCCCTTTCTCTCCACATCCCCCTCTCCCCCTCCCCCCTCTCCCCTTCCCTCACCTCCACGCTCGCCAGTCGCTCCACGGCCTCGGCTTTAGCCACGCGCCAGCTGGCAGCGCCGCGAGCGCGGTTCTCCCCGTCGGCGAGCATGTTGGTGGCGAGCGGCACGAGCAGCGCTGCACCGTCGCCCGCCACGTACGAGAGCACCGCTGAGAGGCGCGCTGCTCCTATGCCCTGTAGCACGTAGAAGAACGCCATGTAGACCTGAGGGAGGGAGGGGAGGGTGGGGGGGGAGGGAGGGTGGTGGGGGGAGAGGAAAAGAGGGTGCAAGGGGAAAGGGAATGCGTTTTGAATTGACTCACAAACTGCTGATGCCCTGCAGGACGTAGGAGAAGGCCATGTAGACTTGCGGGTTGAAGGAGGGGGCATGGGGTGTGGGTGTGGGGAATTTGAATTTGACACACAAGGCGCCAAAGTATTGGCCTGCACTGCAGCACGTAGAAGGACAGGTGGAACTGGGAGACAAGGTTGGGTTAGGGGAGAGAGGAGAGTTAAAATTGGAATTGAGAGGCAAAGAATGGGACGCTGAATGAAAGGGGAGTGAGGGCGAGAGGTAGAGGGGAGAGAAGAGAAGTGGCGGCATGGACATTGGCCGTTGGCCAGCCCCGTAGCTGACCTCGGTGTACTTGCGGAATATCTTCTCGGGTGTGACGTCCACGCCCTTGCACGCCGCCACCAGCACACTGCATCACACAAGCGGCCAGCAGCACGTGGGAGAGAGGGAGCGATGAATGGGATATGCAGCAAGCAGCACAGGCCATGGTGAACAAGCGATGCATGACAAATACAGACGCAGAGGACAGGGCAGTCGCAAGACTGAGGTACAGTTGTTTAGGAACGACTACAGCAGACAAAAAATGAGTAGACAGAGGTCACCTGACGGCCTGGTTGACGGTGCTGATGCAGCTGTAGACATTGAGCGATGTCTCATCGTCGTCCGCCAGCATGAGCCCCAACACGTAGATGCTGTTCACCAGCCGGTACACCACGCGGTACCTGCGTGAATGACGTGAGCGATATACCACAACACGTAGATGCTGGTGGGTGAGAGGCAGGGAGGGGGAAGCATGAGTCCCAGCACGTAGACGCTGTTCACCAGCCGGTACACCACGCGGTACCTGCGCGCTCACACCGGCAGACGGGAAGCAGGGGGAAGCAGGGGGAAGCAGCAGCGATGGGGGGCCGAGCGGGGAGGAAGTGGGGAGCAGGTGAGGAGCGGGGAGAGAGAGCGGGTCCAGCATGTAGGTGCTGATCCCTCGACGCTACACCACGCCTCGCAGTGTGCGCGAGAATGAACGCACTACGGGTTTCCTGAATCCCCGTGATTCCCGTCGCACCCACCGTCGGTCGCTGCCGACGACGACTTGCCCGCTCGCAGCAGCCAGGGGGTCGTCGCCCAGACGGTCGAGCATGAGCGCCTGATTCGCCGGCTGCTCGTGATGCCGCACGCTGCTGTCCGCGTGCCGCGTCGAGCGGAAGCTCTGACACGCCGCCAACGCGCGCTTGGGGGGGAACCATACCTTGCTGCGCCGGACTCGGCGGGGAATCGGGGGGGGAAATGGGGAATAAACAGGGAGGTAAATTGCGGAACCTGAGATGCGACAGTGAAGGCGGAGACTCCGGCGGATTAGCGGGCGGCCAAGGGGCAGACATTCGATAGGGCAGGAGTAAAATAGGGTGTGGAATTACGAGTCAGAAATTCGCGGGGATCAATGGCAGCCAAAGATGGGCACAACTGGACTGACGCGCCGTATTGACGACCATAAGACGGTATCATAGCTAGACGCCACAACTGCTAAAAGACATCGTTGCCAGTTAGTACGATTGCTGGAACACATAGCTGCTACATGAAACGAGTGTTGCATCGCACGACTGGTACATGACACGGGTGCCCGATGACAGGTCTGCCAGATGACACGGCTACGAGATGAAAGGGCTGTTGAATGACACGACGGTTAAATGATCCTGCTGCTAGATGAAACGTTCTTACGTCTGAAGCAGCAGGTCTGGTCCCTGTGCTGGCTGCAGCGCTAACGCGAGACACGCCATTGTGAGACGCTAAGCTACTAACGATGCAATCGTGACCAAAATTGGTGGTCAGACGAGCCAAAGTCTCACGGGTCGCGGCAACGTCACACTAGGCTCAGAACATAGCCAGCTTTATTTCCGCCATGGGAAATCCCGAGCGTTGTTTCATCAGATTCCGTAGAGAGCTGATCGGATCCTTTTGGAGCACATTTCGTGTGTCCGCTGCGCTATAAGTGCTAAGTGCGAAGTGACTTTTGAGTCGACTCAAAAGTCACCTCGTTACAATGGCACACGACACTTTTTCTACACGGAGAGCGCTTATTGCTTGGAGACTACCTAAAAGAGTTGGAAACTTTTTAATTTCTGCTAAGAAGTGCTAGGTACAGTAGATTTCACTGTAGCCTTTATTGCATTTGCTTGTACAATGTTCACCTGTACCCCGCGAGGATTCTCCCGCGTTTTGGGTCCTGCGTGACATTTCCTAGGCCTATAAGTAGTGCCTTTACACGTAGACTAGCTTGTGGTCTGAAGAAGGCGTTTGACGCCGAAACCGGTTACCATCAAAATTCACAAGCGTGTTCCTACGTAAACACCATTTCACCTACTCAGGTGTCACTATCAATCAATTGCTGCCGCGTACTGCACCATGGCCCCCAAATGGGGTTCGATTGGGCTGCGCTATAAGTGCTAAGTGCGAAGTGCTGTGTAGATAGTAGGCTGTCCCCATCAAGTTCTAGTGCTCAGTTTATGTGGTACTATCACGGAGTTTTGTATGCAGAATGACTAGTGATTGCCAGAATGTACACAGCAATCCAAGGTCACACCAATAATACTGCATTTATACAACCATCATTCTCTGGGTTGTTGGTTACTTGGGCATATTTACCTGCACAGCAAACAAGCACCATCAGCACAAATCAAACTCAGCTCCATGAAAAGGCAATCGACACAAAACATGAACGGGGGGAAGAGAGGGGGGGCACCCAGCAGAGGGCCAATCAGACTGACTTACCCCAAATGACTTTGCCAGCCGGTGTGACTAACCCAAGCTCGCTCACGTTCACCTGGAAGAGACAGCAGGGGGGAATTGAACAGAATGGGGGAATGCCAGGATGCGGCGGCACATGCGCCAAAGAGTCTTGACAATCACAGACATGAAGGGACCATCACAAGGAGAAGAACGTCCACGAGATCCTCATGGCAGCAGCTGCATGTGTGCATGCATGCATGCATTCGAGCATGTGTGCATAGCACAAATGTGCCTGGATGCATGTGTGCATACGTGCATGTGCAATGTACGTATGTGCACGCATGCATGCGTACATACCTCGATGATGGTTCCCTTGGTGATGACCCCCATGGAAGAGTACATGGGGCCGTTGGGGTTCTTCTTCACACTGATGATGTCCAGATGGAACGTGCACTTGAGCTCCGGATGCGTCACATGCGCCTGCTCGCATGCACGCAAGCAGCACGTTAGGAGCAGGGTGTTATAGCAGTGCAGTAGAAACAGTAGAAACATTGTAGGTGACGCGAAAGAGAAATTGTGAAGCTGGAAGGGGGCAGATGTGCGTACGCAGAGGTGTGGTGCAGCGAGTACATATGTGGCAAGTGAGCGGAGTGCGGGGAGAGAGAGCCAGAGTATGGGGTGAGCGAAAGTGAGGGGTCAGTGAGAGTGTGGGGTGAGTGAGAGTGTGGGGTGAGTGAGAGTGTGGGGTGAGTGAGAGTGTGGTGGGTGAGAGAGCTGGTGTTGCACCTTGGTAAAACGCAGGGCCATGGGGCGGATGAAGCGCTCATACTTGGGTGGCTTGCGAGTGAACCCTGGGCCCACAAAGGTGACTTTAGTCACTAGCCTCTTCCACTGCTTGGCTGCACATAGAGCACGACAGAGAAAGTACCGGTGCAAATAAGGGCAGAGAAGGAAATGAGTCAGAAACCATCTAAGAGAAGGAGCAGAATGTGCAATAAAACCGGTTTGACTTATAATTGCAGTCAAAGCTGAGAGAAAGAGAACGAGGAGTGAAGTGAAGGCACAGAAACTTACTTTTCCTCTTCCCTGATCTGACCACCTTGAACATCTCATCCTCTGCTATCGGCCGAACCTGCAGTGCACGGCACAGAGGGGAGCGGCGGAGGAACATGGTTACAGGTAAAGAGATATGGCTCACAGTGCAGAGCGCATCAAGAAACATTCTGTGCAACAATTCGCATCATCTCCTTGCATGGAACTGCATACGATGCAAGCCAACGCAGTGACGTATCAAGCCAGAGAAACAAAGACAGTGACGTACCTTGGGCAGAGGCACGTCCCACTTGCCGGCCTTCTCCTTGCGCTTCTGCTTGATGGTGTTGCTCAGCACCTTGGCGCGCGCCGTCGCCTCCCTCTCCAGCAGGTACGCTGGCACCGCGCCCTCCGCCACTGGCGCGTCCGCCTTGTGCTTGTTCGTCCGCTCCGCGTGCATTGCTAGACTGCACGGCGGAGCGGAGGGGGGGAAGGGGGAGAGGGAGAAGGGGAACGGGGGAAAGGTGGAGGAACGGGGAAGAGTTGGGGCATAAGGGGAGAGGCGGAAGTGAGACGAGCGGGTGGATGTCAGTACAGGAAACGAGACAAAGATTAACAGCGCGCGATCGAAGGAGACAATGGGAGACTTCAGATAAAGACTTAGCGTTTCAGGGTACGAGAACTGGTAACTCTAACTCACGTCTTCTTCATCGTCGCCTTCTCTTGGTAACGCTTCTTCGCGAACATCTTCGCCTTGAGACCGATGATCTGCGAAATTCCATCCAGTACGGCACGCAGGAGAAACACGATGAGCGAGAACCGGAGGTACCAGGAGTCGGGTCTACTAAGAGAAACTCTGAAACGATAAATCGAGCAATCCGATTCCCATGATTGACTCACGTTCCGCGCAATCTGAGACGTCTTGTGCACTTGCCGAGCCTCGCGCTTGCGCTTCCGCTCGAAGTGATCCAAGCGGAAGCCATGGCGCTTCTGATGAAGCTCAATGTGCTCGCCCTGCGGCTGCACCGCTCAATGCCAAGGAAAGGGGATGTCGAGGAAAAGGGGTTTGGTGGGGACAGAAGAGGGTGGGGGTTTGTGGGGTGTAGGGGAAGCATAAGTGAAAGACGGAGTTACAGTTGTGACACATGCGCCGCTGAAGGATATTATCTAAGAGAAAATACCGACGAGATTGACCAAACTGAAGGACCAACTTCTTTCGGAAACAATCGGTGCACGAACGACGCTATATTATCGCGGATAAAACACGCATATCAGCAGAAGTGCGTACCATGGTGGACGAATCAGTCCTTGCGGACACACGCTAGGCGACTTGCGTGAGAAGATTTCTAGGACGAGAAGAGTTTCCTTAGGCAACGTCTGGGGAGAGAGCTCCGTGCGCTAAGGAGCAAGGAACTGAAGAAAGGCAGACTCGAGGACCCAACGGTCAGTACTTGAGGCTGCGGTCAGAGTGGTGGAGGGAAAGAAATATCATGATTCTCAGATTAAGGTAAATTGAAGAACAGACCACGGTATACAGTCAATTCGAAATCGTTTTCGGAATGCATAATAAAGGATACACGATGCCGTATTCTCCCAGTGGTTTCTCCCACTTCGTAGACGCTTCGCAAAGAACTTGCAGCTGACCATTCCCCGTCGCCACCCAGCTCCATCACCGTTTCGTCCCTTTCGTCAAAACCTGACCAAATCCAATTTGCGGCTGTGAGCGGTGCTTGCGATCGGCTTGAGTCCATGCGGCCGATGCACCTGGGAATTGCCGACGAAGTTCCATGGCGACTGGAGCTCTCAAGAAACGAACAGCAAGGCCTGGGTGAGCAGTTGAGCAGCTCAAGAAGCGAAGCGTCTACCTACCCTTCATAGTGAGCTGAATTCTCCTTGCAGCACCAGACCATCGGTGGATCTTTACAAAATCTACGTATTGTAGAAAGACTGCGAATAGTAGACCATCTCGTAACCTCCGTTAGATAGCCTTCTTCAGTAAGCGAGTTTCGGCCCAGTCCAGTCTTTATTTATTGCTCGCGGACCCCTCCCGTCGAGCAAAAGGCGGAACGTCTCGACGCGTGACTATGGTGCGGTGGCACGTGCCGGGTCTGTCGACCAGCAGCGGCTCGAGCATAGATGGCGTCGCGGTGAAAGGCGACACGGCAAAGCTGCAAAAGCTTCTCAGAAAAGGCGCGGACGTGAATGCGCGTGCGCGTGAGCCGGTGCTGGTGGGACGTCGCCCGCTGCATGCTGCCGTGGCCGCAGGAAACGAGGCCATGGTCGAGGCGCTCCTTGCTGCGGGTGCTGACGTGGACGGGAAAGACGACGTGAGTAATACCCTCTCTTGCAACGCCATGCAACTGCATTTTCACCCTCCCTGCCTTCCTATCCCGTTCCAATCCGTTCGGACGCTTGCTTCCCCTGACTAATCCGCATCGCTCGGTCACAACGTGCGTGATTTCGCTGCAGTTCGGCCGCACGCCCCTTCACTACCTGGCGGCTAGTCCGACCCCCCGTTTGGGCATCCTTTCGCATCTGCTCAATGCGGGCACTGACTACGCCATCAGAGACAGGGTAAGTCTCCTTCCACTTTATAAAAGCTTCCGCATTCTCCCGCGCATTTGAATCTCGCACTGGATTCATATTCTTTCCGTTCTCTTCCTGCCAGAGTGGCAGCATGCCCATCCACGTGGCGATGGCAGCAGGCCACGTGGCAGTGCAGGAGGCGCTGACTGCGTTCGCGTTGGAGCACAGCGCGGAGTTCGCCTTCTACGAGTCGGGGCAGTGGCGCCCCTTCGATGCCGACGCCTCGCGCCTGCTGGGCTTTGAACTCGCGGAGGGCGTCGGCTTCTCTGCTCTCGCCACGGCAGCCGGCGCGCACTACATCGTCGACTTTCAACAGCAGCTGCAGGTGAGGGGCGCGCAGGAAAACATGTGTGCAGTGTCAGAGTGTACACGATGGAACAGGCAAAGGGACTCACCAGGCAGGTCTCATTGTTGCTTTGACCATGCTGTCTACTGTCTTCTTGCTCAATGTTGTCCACCTCATCCCACGCTTGGCTTCCTTCCGCCTTTCCCCCGGCCTTTCCCTATGGCAGTTCAACGTGTCGTCCTTCTTCTGCAAGTCAATCAGCTGGCGAGTGCTGCCCAGCGGCCGCTGGAACCGCCCTCCCAACCCGCACCAGGGCCTGCACGCGGGCAGCCAGGACCCGCGCCTCATGTACCGCTACGACCAGCAGCTGCGCTCCCTCGCCCAATCCGATGTCGAAATCTGCCCCGTCTACTTCTCCCTCACCGGCCCTCCCCCCCACCCTCTGCTCTCGCAACCGGCGCCTAGTGCTCAGTTCGTCTCGCGCCTCTCCTCGTCGCCGCGCCGAGACGGAGAGCATGGTGATGATGGCGATGCCCATGGTGATCAGGATGATGGTGCTGATGGTGATATGCAACGGCCGTCTTCTTCCTCAGCTGGAGTGGCTGCAGCTGCTGCCGCCCTCCCCGCTGCTCTACACATGTCTGATGACCTGTCCAGTGATGTCCCCGACTCCGAACCAAACACCCCTTTGGCTCGGCGCCAACCAGGGCAACATGCTGCTGGTTCGGATGACGACGAGCTGCCGAGGCTGCAGGTTCTGAGGTCCGGCACAGATGAGTACGACGAGATTGTAGCTCGGTTTGTGGCCGGTATGCTACGGGACAGAAATGGCCGCCCGAACAGCAGCTTTCGGCAGAACAGTGTGAGTGGAGGGGTGGTGGAGCAGGAGGATGGCATGAGGCCCGTGACAGTGTCGTCAGTGCAGCAGGTGCTGCTGCCTGCTTCCCGCACACAAGCCTTTGAAGAAGCTGTGAGAGAGCTTAAGGGAGCAAGGGGGGGCGATGGCAATGTGCGGCTGGCATGGCACGGCGCCCCTCGGATGGCCATAGATCGCATAGTGTCGACCGGCTTTTCTATCTCCTCTTCCGCTGCCGCCCGCAACGGCAGGCTGTATGGGGATGGGGTGTACCTGGCACCGGAGCAGAGGGCCTACACGAGTGCAGAGTTTGCAGTGGCGGATAGTGAGGGGCGCAAGCACATGCTGCTTTGCCGTGTGGCGCTTGGGTCGATGGAGGCGATCCCGTTTGGGTCGTCTCAGCAACGGCCTAGCAGTCTTCGGTTTGACACGGGAGCAGACAATGTCAACGACCCTTCACGCTATGTGGTGTGGGAAGAGGATGTGAATGACTTGGTGCTCCCCACACATGTAGTTTCCTTTCGCTATTGTTGAAGGCACCACATATGTTACCCAATCACCATTCCTTTCCTCCCAAATATTTATGTTTATGATGTTGCTACAGCCAGTGTGTCTTAGTTTTAATGCTAAGAAGGCCTCCATTTGGTTTCTGTTGGAAACAAGTAATTCCTAAGCGCCTCTGTCGTGTCGAAACATCACACCAGAAGCGAAGCGAGTCATATCGAGGCACGAGCGAGTCAACCCTCCGAGGTTGAAAAGAGGTTGCTGGAGGTTACGCGAAAGTCAAAGGTCAAGCGACCTTTGACCTGACAAGTACAGCGCGACAGTTAAGGACACACAACTGACTCGTTACAGAGCAGTTGCCCGAGTCGTACTGTATCGAACCGCAACAGCAAATTAGTTACAATCGTATCCTTTCGTATTCCTTGTATCACTATATATTCTTGTATCTCTTTGTTATAATCAACTTACTTTGCCCTCACATACCAGCGCAAGATGGTTCACAAGCACTTCATTAAACGCTTCCGCTATTACAATTATCCTACCCCGAATTTACCCTTGCAAAGATCCTAAGGGCCATTTTCTCAGCCCAACAGTTTCCAGACAACTTCTTAGGTGACTTGCTCAATGCAACTGAGGCAAAATGAACTCAAGACTCATAAAAGTGAGCTGCCTAGGCACAATGCTGCCTAGGGCCCAGTTTGGCAGGCATCATGGCCATTATGGCCAGAATGGGCATTTTTAACGGGCCCCAAAAAAATGCTGCCTGGGCATTTCAAGAAACAGCTTCGAAATCGGATTGTAGCTGCAGTGCACCTTCGAAAAAAAGGGGTTGAGCGTTTGGTTGGCATTATTTGGGTGTAGATTGATGGCATCAATCGAAATTTAGGGTTTCGTAGAAGATGGTAGGAAGTTGTTACGATAATTCGCTTGATCACGTGATTGGCTGGCAGTCACTTTTGATTGCCCCGAATCACTGATACCCCGCATGGTGCGGGGCCTTGAGGCCGCATGGTGCGGGGTATCCGAAAATGGGCTCTTTGCTAGAGAAATTGGGGTTGTTGAAGAATCGGTGGGTTGAAAACGCTATCGGAAAACGGGGTGTTTGGTTGGCATTCCATTATTGTTAGGTTCGGCGTAGTCCGCTTATATCGAGCCTGGATAACCTTCCACACACTTATCAAAGAAGGTTCCAGGGTGGTCGGTTCACTGTAGCCCATCCCCCCGCCCCGTTTTTTAATGCCTGCCAAACTGGGCCTAGGTGTGCTTTTGGTGATTATTCTGGGAGGAATGTAGCACATCCAGATACACCTAGCCACCGCTATTTTCAACTTCCCACCTTGGCACTGTTCCCGATTTTCATATAAACCCTGCCCAGCTTTCGGGGTTTTCTGTTAGAAACCTCGGTATGGGGGACTACGAATGACGTCAAATGCTGGACGCTGGAGATTTTAATCGGGCGAGTGTAAGACAATTTCCGCTCGTGTGGAGTCTGCTTCCTGTTGCGCATCCCATTGCGCAGCTTTCAGGAGTCAGGAACTAACTCTGCGTAGAGCGTATGACGTCCGACACAACCCTTGGTAAAAAATGTTTGAGGGGTGCATACCCCTTTTGCGCACGTGGGGGTTGAAAATAGACCGAAAGAAAATAGCGGTAGTTAGGTGTAACGACAAGTGCTGCACGTGGTGGTGGTGGCGTGCGTGAGGGTGACGGATTTGGTGGAGGTGAAAAAGGTGTTGAAATTGGGGCACGGTTGGGGGGGAATGAGGGGTGGAGCTAGAATGAGTACAGTTAAGAACGTTTCCGATGGTTTCAGTAGGGTGGGCTGCGATACATACGCACGCGAGCATGCATCGTGTCGGTCCATCCAACCCCTTCCCACTGCCAGCCCTCCCTTTCAGTCACAGTCCATAATACTGTAGCGTTCATCAGCCCCCAACGCTCGCCCCTCCCGCCCACTCCCTCCCACCTCACTCACTACCCTCAGCCCTTCTGGCTGTAATATAAAATCAAGCGAAGAAAAGTTTCCATTTTTGCCTAGCATTTGCAGGAAGCTGCTATGTTATTTGACGAACAAGTTCTCCTATCTCCATTGCCACGTATCTCCTCTTATCTCCGTCTTCTCCTGTTAACGACGTTGTGGTCAGCATAATTATATTATTTTTATAGGGGGTTTCGCCATGGAGGACATGTCGGCGCAGAACGTGGCGTCGCAGCTACTCGACCTTATTCGCACACGGCGGCAACCCATTTCGCAGGAGTCTTCGCAAGGACCGTCGCAGCCGTCGTCTGTAGGCGGTGTACCGCGAAATGTATCGCAGCAAGTCGAGAGCGGTCGAACCCCTCTAGACACGTCCACCTCTTCGTCGAAGCTCGTCAGCACATCGGACTTCGTACCCGTCTCCGCCGTTAAATCCGATTCCGCTCTTCTCGGTTCCGCGCATGTTGCCGCCCATTACTCCCACAGCGCTCGCTCCGCCACCGCGGAGGTCACGAGCTCGTTAGTCACTCCGCCCGCCTCCGCGCACGGCGGAGCCTGCGCGCAGCCCGCGGACGAGCCGCGGAGCGGGAAGAGAATGCGGACGGAAACCGGCGCAGTTGACGCGGCGTGGGGGGGAGGCGCGGTAGGCCCGGCGACGCCGGAGCTCGCGGGATCGGACACGTCGGCGGCGGGCGACGCGTGGGACGTGAGCAACGTGCAGATATCGCAGCTATTACAGGAGATGGACATGTTCTTTCCGCCCGACGACGACGATTTAAGCGCCTTTGCGCTCGCGTTCGACGACGACCCGCTCGATGCCAGTGCCGCCGCCAACGCCATCGCCGCCGCGAATGGCGCTGCGCCTGCGTTTCCGGCGCAGGACTCCATCGGGGAGATTTTGAACGGCCTCTCGTCTGCCGGCCCACCGTGCGCCGATTTGCCGGCTGCTGTTCCTGCCGTGCCGGCCGTTAACACTCCGGCCGTTAGCTTGCCGGGCGGCCCGGTGCCGGACGTGCATGCCATGCGCCGCGCGGACTCCGCGGACAGCGCGGGGGTCACTCCGCAGAGCGTGTCAGGGCTGGGTAGTCCACACAGCAGCCTATCCGCGGGGGGAGCGGGCGGAAGCACTGGCGGAAGCACCGGAGCCATGCAGACGCTGACGTCATTTGAGAGCGCGGAGCTTCGGGGGGACTTTTCGCGCGTTTGCTGGGTTGGGGAAGCGGAGAGGCCCGCGGAGGGGGAAGCGGCGGAGCAAGGAGGGGGAGGGGAACAAATAGGGGGAACTGCGCTTGCGGGTAGCGCGGGAAGTGGGGAAGGCACGGGAGGGTGTTGCGAACAAGTACCTGCCATGTCAGGCTTTTCGGGGGGAAACGGTGGCTTGGGGAATAATGGCGCAAGCGGAAGCGGCGGCACTGGGGGCGCGATTCCTAGCGCGCGGTCGCTGAGTTTGGGGAGCCAGTTCCGCCAAAAGCAGATCCTGCAGACTCTCTCCTCTCCGCCCGCCGCCCCACAGCCGCTGCAGTCACAACCGCTACAATCACAGCCGCTGCAATCACAGGTGCAGCAGCAGCCGCAGCAGCCGCAGCAGCAGCAGGCGGTGATGCGCCCCGTAGGCGCAATGCCTCCCCCCATGCTGCCCCCTCGGTATCCCCAGCAGCAAGCGCAACCGCCCATGGCGCAGCAAGGGCAGCCGGGGCAGCAGCAGGGCGCGCAGACGTGGCAGCAGGGCTCAGAGCAGCAGCAGGGCGGGGCATTGGCTACACGGGGGGCGCTGGGCGGTGGGGGAGGGGGGGGGGGGGGGAGGGGGGGAAGGGGAGGGGGAAGAGGGGGAGGGTTGCTGAGAGTGCCGTCGGACTATCTAAGGCTGCTGGCGGAGAGCCAGGAGGGGGGGAAGCGCGCACGGGGGGCGGAGAGCGAGTGGCGCGCGCAGCAAGTGAATCGCATGCTGCAGGCGCAGGCGGAGCAGCAGTCGTTGCAAGCACAGCAGCAGCCACAGATGCTGCGAGACCAGCAACAGCACTCGTTGCAACAGCAGCAAGGTCAACAGCAGCAGCAGCAGTGGCAGGGGCAGCAAGGGCAGGCAGCATGCGGGGGGCCGGTGGTGTTGAGCGCGGACATGAAGAGCGACTCTGTGGCCAGCGCTGACATCTCCGCGCTCCTCGAGGCCTACCCCCTCCCCCCACAACCGTTGCACACACAGCAGCCGCAGTCGTTGCAAGCACAGCAGCAGCAACAGCAGCAGCAGTTATTGCAAGCACAGCAGCAGCAACAGCAGCAGCAGTTATTGCAAGCACAGCAGCAGCAGCATTTGTTACAATCACAGCAGCAGCAGCAGCCATTGCAAGCACAGCAGCAGCAATCGTTACAAGCGCAGCAACAGCAGCAGTCATTGCAAGCACAGCAACAAGGATGGAAGCAGGCTCCTAACTTTCAAGTTCAACCGCAAGCAGTCCCCCAACACTCCAACGGCCTGCACCATATGCCGCCCACACAACCACCTCCAGTGGCTTCCGAGAACCTTCTCCAAGTTCCCTCACCTGCAGGGGCAGTCACAGCTGACCCCACGCCCCTGGCCGCGCCCCTGCCGCCGCCCTTCCGCCCAGTGACGTCCCCCATGGAGGTGGCGCTGATGGAGTGTGCAGCGGCTGTGGACAGGCGCGACCTGGTGCAGGCACACTCCCGCATGTCCGCCCTCGCGCACCTCGTGTCACCGCACGGCACCGCACAGCAGCGCCTGGGGTACTACTTTCTTGAGGCGCTGGCTGCCAGGATTGCCGGCACTGGGTCGGCTATTTATAAGGTGGGTGGCTGTTGGTTGGTCAGGTGGGTGGCTGTTGGTTGGTCAGGTGGGTGGCTGTTGGTTGGTAAGGTGGGTGGGTGGCAGCTGTCCTTGATTCAGAGCGCTGTTTCGTTCACAAGCGAGCTCTACTGTGCTTGCTTGCAGTAGAGGTGCCTTGATAATTGTGAGTGTGGATGGGTCACTGTGAGTTCAATCACCTCAATCCCCTCCTCCTCTCCTCACCCTCCCCAACCCCTCTCACTGCTTCCCTTGAGGCGCTGCAATCCCGCCAAGGTAGCCTGCCTGCCCGGCCTATGGAGCAAAGCAATGCTGGCCGCAGTGCTGGTGTTGTGTGAGGCGGTGCCCGTGGATCAACGTAACCTCAACCCCTGCTTTCCCTCCCCCACACCTCTCGCACCCCTTCCCTACAGGCGCTTCAGTCGCGCCAGGGCAGCCAGCCAGGCCCATCCAGTAAAGCGATGCTGTCGGCAGTGATGGTGTTGTGTGAGGCGTGTCCGTGGATCAACATAACTTCAACCCCTCCTCTCCCCCACACCTATCTCTCCCTCCAGGCGCTTCAGTCCCGCCAGGGCAGCCAACCAGGCCCGTCGAGCAAGGCGATGCTGTCAGCAGTGCTGGTGTTCTGTGAGGCGTGTCCGTGGATCAACTTCGGCCACCTGGTGGCCAACGGCAGCATTCTGGAGGCGGTGGAGGGCGCAACCAGGGTGCATGTCATCGACCTGGGCATCACCCACGGCACGCAGTGGCCCACTCTGCTCGAGAGCCTCGCCACGCGCCCTGGCGGCCCGCCTCATCTGCGGATCACGGGCGTGGACGCGCCTCTCACTGGCCTCAAGCCTTCCTCGCTGGAGGTGCGTGGGTTGGGTGGGATGGGTGGGGTGGGCGGGGTGCTTCTGCTGCAGCTGCGCTGTGTGGCTGCGTGTTTCCTATGTGCATGGGTGCATGTGGCTGTGCCATCAAAACGCGTCACCAACCTGTTTGAATTTCTCCTCCTCACCTTTCCATGCCCTCCCCCACCTTCCCCCTCCCCCCCTCTCCCCCCCCCTTTTGTGCTGGCCTGCACAGGAGACGGGGAGGCGGCTGTCAGCGTTTGCGAGGGTGATAGGAGTGCCGTTTGAGTTCACGCCCATCACGGAGCAGCTAGACGACCTCAAGGTGCTCTGCTCTGCGCTTCCCCTTCCTCACGTCCTGCCCGCTTGCCCCTCTGCTTGCCCGCCTGCCTGCCTGCCTGCCTGCCTAAAGACGAACAATACGCCTGTCATGCCATGCGCGCCTGTTGCTATGCACAGCAAGTGACTTTGCATGCCACTCCGTTTCTCCTCCCATTCCTCGCTGCCTTACGACTCCCTCTGCCTGCTCACACCACAACACTCACGCTGTTCTCCTCACCCGCTGTTCTCCTCACCCGCCGTCCCGCACTCCCCCCCGCACCACGCATTTTTCTCTGCTTCACCCACTCCACTTGGGAATTTAACCTCCCCAGCTCGAGCAATGAGCAGTGAGGAGCAACGGCGTGCTGCTGATGATGATGAACTGCCTGCTCACGCCACATCACATGCTGCTCTCTCCTTGCTCTCCCTCACCTCTCCCTTCTCGCCTCACCTCTCCCTTCTCGCCTCATCTGTCCCCCCGTCTCCCACTGCTTCACCCGTCCAGCCAGAGCACGTAGCGGTGAGGAGTGACGAGGTGCTGGTGGTGAACTGCCTGCTCAGGTTGCACCAGATGCGCGACGAGAGCAACGCGCCGCATGTGCCCAGCCAGCGCAACTGCACGCTGCACATGATCCGCTCGCTCAACCCCGCCATCGTCACTCTCATTGAACAGGTGAAAGGGGGAGTTGAAGTTAGTGGAGTGTGGGAGATGTGGGGGGGGAGAGAGTGGGGTGTTTGAGGTGTATGCAAAAGAGATACTCTGTCTGGGAACTTTCCAACTCATCGTTCACTCATATCCACCATCGTCACTCTCCTTCTCCCCTTCCACCTCCTCTCCCACCTCTCCATGCTTCCTCCCAATCCCCCCACCAGCACGCGGATCACAACATCCCCTCCTTCCTCTCGCGCTTCCGCGAGGCACTGCACTACTTCAGCGCTCTCTACGAGTCGCTGGACGCCAGCCTGCCGTGGAACAGCACGGAGCGGGCACTGGTGGAGGAGAGGATATTCGGGCGCAAGCTGGTCAACATCATCGCCTGTGAGGGGCGCGACAGAGTGGAGAGACACGAGAGCCACGCCAGGTGGCATGAGCGCATGCAGCGCTGTGGGTTTGTGCCGCGCGCTATCAGCGCTGACGTGGAGGAGAATGCACATGTGAGTGCTGACGTGTTGCATATGAGTTGTTGGTGTTGATTGTCGATTTAGTCATCTTTGGTTTTGAGAACTTTCAAAGGGATTCACCCTCTGCTCCTTCTTGCTGCACCCATACCCCACCGCCGTCTTCCCTGTGCCCACCAACTCACCATCACATCGCACCCCCATATCCCCCCATAACCCCCTGTTGCCCAACATCCCACAGCTGCTGCTGAAGCGGTACAGGGAGGGGTACGGCATAGAGCGGCGGGGCGATGCGGTGGTGATCACGTGGCGCCACGAGCCATTCTTTGCCGCCTCCAACTGGTGCTGCCGCCCCGCCCCGCTGCCGCCGCCCCCTCTTGCACAAGCATCAACAATCACAACCGCACCCACACCTGCCCCCACACTCGCACCTACTGCCGTGCCCGCTGCTGCTGCTTTGCCCACCACTACCGACCCCACCTCCTCTCTTGCTGCTGCAGGCACGTATTCCCACCCCTTCCCAACTCAGCCTGCCCCTCACCCCCCACCGGGAGGGTTTGTACCTTCCAGCAGTTAGGGTAAGGGGGTTGAAAAAGTTTTGCTGGATTTTTTCCCTGCCCCTTTTACGGCATGGTAACTAGTACGGTATTATGACACCAGCTGTAGAGTGCCCTGATTATCAAAGGGTGCAGCTAATGACTGAATCTAGGTCACAATGTACATACATTACCGTAAATTACATGTGTTGATGCATTGTCAAATAAATACAAATAAATCATTCAAGCACCACGAGGTGCTATCCTCATCATCTGCACCAAATCCTGGTGGTATATGAGAAGCACATCACACGAGGACTCAGTAGTATGCCTAGTCTAGAAGGTGCACCAGTGTGCCCACCACACCACACCACACCACACCACACCACACGCCTAAGGGCGCATGCCCCCCCCACACACACATCTACACATTAAGCTGGCTAGGGCATGCATGCTGGAGCACACAAAGAGAGGGCATGCGTGCCTAGCCTAGCACCCTCTGCAGCTGCTTGCTGCTCTGCTCTGCCTGCACAAGGCCACACCTTCATCCCCTGCCCCTGGCAGTCAACACAGTCAACACAGTCTGATCGGACCCACTAGCCGCTGCTGCAGCTGCTATTGCTGTGCTACAGCTGTAGCTGCACGTGGCGAAAGTGGGAGTGGTGGTGTGCAGAGCGGGCGAGAGGCGAGAACACGCTGGGGGAGTGCTGGCAGGGGGACGAGGGGGAGACGTTAAGTGCGTGGGTGGAGATATGGGGGAGCGGAGCACACACAGTGAGCGGAGTGGGTTGGTCGTATTGCTGCCCTGCCATCCACGCTCGCTGCTGCTGCACTTGCTGCTGCTGCGACTGCAGCGCCTGCTGCTGTGGGTCAGGCACGGCGTATCTGCTGGGAATTCCCGACCGCCTACGCCCTAGTCTGGCGCCGCAGAAGCTCCTTTCCGCTCCCCCCTCCTCCTCGTCGCCCTCCATTATCGCCCCAGGGCTGTCGCCCCCGCTTCCCCAGTCTCCGCTTCCGCCTCCGCTGTCTACCCGGCTCATCCTCCAGCCCGGCTGCGCGCGCAGCGCCACGTCACCGCTCTCTAGACCCGCGAAATCCGGGCAGCTCATCGATTTGCCCATGGTGGCGCCCAGCGCGACCCGCACGTCCCCCGCGCTCAGCAAGCGCGGGGGAACCGCAGGCGTGGGGCCAACGTCTTGCGCTTGGAAGTTGGGGGGGAGGCGGCGGAACGTTTGCGGGGGAGTGAGGGAGGAGGGGGAGACGGCGAGGGAAGACATGTCAATCGCGAGCGACGCGCGCCGAGTCAGCTGGCCAGCCGTCAACGGTCCAGATGGGCTGGCAGACTGGTTGGAATCAACGGCTGGGAACGTTCGCGGTAAGTAACCGGACGACGAGGCGCGTATCGGCGCGGCATCTGACAGATTGGCGCGCTGCCAGTGCTGTCGCGGAGTCGCATCCGCAGCGAAGCGCGAACTCCCGTCCCACTGCGTTTCGAACGATTGCGAGAGCGACTGCGATTGAAACTGCGATTGCGAGAGCGACTGCGATTGAAACTGCGATTGCGAGAGCGACTGCGATTGAAACTGTGATTGCACGCGCGACTGCGATCTCGATGACCACTGCGAGTGCACTGGCGAACGCGACTGCGATACCGATTGCGACTCCAATTGCCAATCCATACTCCCGTGCCGTGCGTGAAAACCGCGACGGTGATGCGGCTGACTCGGCGATTCGAGTTCGTTCGGGTGCTCGGCAGGGGGCTCTAGATAGGAATAACGCGCAACGGCCGCCTCGACGGACGTCACGGGATCAGCAAGGTTCTGCGCCGACGCGCTTCGTCGCATGCCCAGTCGTGATGCCGGAGGTCGCTTCGGAGCCGGCGCAAAAGGAGCCGGCGCAGGCGCTGCCGGCGGCGGTGGAATCGGCACGTTCTGTAGATCTTTGGCTGAGAAGCTGCGTCGGATGCCGCCGCGGCCGACGTTGCGCACGTCGAGGCTGTAGCGCGGCGCGGAGTTGGCGCGAGACGGCAAAGATGGGCGGGCGGCTGTTGATGGGTGGAGAGACATGCTGGCGCGACGCGACTGCGAGGGACCATGACGAGGGGGAAAGAGGGAGCACGGATACAGCGTCAATAGGCGATTCATGATCCAAATCAACGGAGGGATAACGACGCGCTCAACGGTAGCTCCGCGAAAGCATGGCGGTATTCCCAATGCTCATGCAACGGAAGGCGATGCAATGTTAACGTAAATGCATGACCTTCACCCCGCGTTCCACAGAAGCCAAGGCCGCAAAACTCACCTCGTTCGCCGTCCACGATGCGCCGCTCGCGTGCGACCGTTGATCTGGCGATTTCTCGTCGACGTTATATTCGCCATAATCGCGGGTGTATTCGGCCAATCCGCCGGTCGTATCGAGGTGCGGCGAGGGCACGGCGGTGTCTGGATCGGTCTGCGAGGGGGCGTGGAGGAAGTAGGAATTGCCGGGTCGCAGGAGCTTCTCGGGCGGCAGGTGCAAGCGCGCGGAGTTGTGCGATCCGACCATGAAGCCCGGATAGTCCTTCATCACGCGCGCCACGCGCACCGCGTCCGCGTAGATGCGCATGCCGCCGTCGGGCAGCATGAGCAGCACGGACTGCCCGCGCTTGAACAGGTTCAGCGCCATGGCAGGCATTTTGGGGATCTACGCGGGGCGACCGGACTGCGCTTGGGTAAGCGATGGATAAGCTAACGGTTCGAACTAGGACTGCTGAATTAAGTCAGCCTCGGAAGACCCACCACAGAGACCTCGGAAATCAACCAAGTAGGAGAGGAGCGAGGGAGAAGTGACTTTTCAAGAGGCAACTGATATAAGGGAAAGGAGGCGACGATTAAGGAGGGAGGTGGGGTGATTTACAGCTGGCCACCGACACACGCCACGTGGTCGTCTGAGTCGTGTCGCTCGAAGAGCATCTTAGAAAGGAACGCGAGGGAATGGACAGCATCTCACTAAGTTTGTAAGATGCTGGGGGGGTGAAATGCCAAAAAAATCAGGCAGCAAATCGTTCCAGCTGGAATGATGGGAAACGCTGAAATCATTCAACGAAGTGCCCCTCGCATAGAGAATCGTTCTGCAATGCGAGCGTACCGAACAGTGCACTAGTTCAGTAAACGACACGACACTAGTCCGTTTGAAAGCTGCCTGTCGCAATTCCCTATGACTCTGGAATGGTTCAGGCCCGTCTCAGCCACTCGTTTGTTTCTGGGTCGCGGCAGCGGCGCGAGACCAGGGCTTCTGGCTGGGACGGAGACTACACCATCTTTCTCGCTATACTGGAAGTGGGATTCACTGGCTACAGTCTGTACTGTTGCTTGGAACGTAGCGCTTTGGTGCTTACAACTGGACTGCAGGTAAGTGACGGGCAAATGCTCTCCTAGTGAACGGTACACAACGGTTTTGAAAACTTGCTTTGGCGTACGGTTGAGTACGGGCAAACGTGCTTATATGGTACGTTCTGGGACCATCTTGGACGCATTGATGTGTGTACATCCGATTAACCAGTATAGCCAATAACAGTGTAGCGAGAAAGACGGTGTAGTTTCGCCGCTGCAGGGTAGGGCCAATCATCGGAAAGCAGTCAAGCTGTTCAGCAAAACAGCCCGTCAGTGCTTTGATTCAAGGCCACATGCGTGTGACTCGAAACACTTGTCATGTCACAAAACCCAAACCTGGTCCCTGCCCTGCCCTACATCGTTGAAGTGTGACCACACATTGAGGTTTCGTTCCAACGTCCCAACTCTACAATCAAGGGGCACACTTCCGCAGTGCGCGCATACGCCAGCACTGCCAAAGAACTGTGCGTTGAACGTGTCCACACTGGAACTTGCCATTCTTCTGGAACCAACAGAATTGAGTCGAACGATCCCCAAATTCCGCAACCCGTGATAGCGCCAGCTCCTTCTGCAAGACAACTGTTTACTACAACGTGTATATGACAACTTTAAGAAAACAAGCCTGGTAAGGTTATTTATTTCATTACACTTGTCAAATCGAAGTACCATTTTTTCTCTCCCTTATTCTGTGTCTTCCCATAATAAATAAGAATGGTAAATCATCCACTGAATAGGAGTGAAGAACTCTAGGGCTACACACCACAGAGAGGTGGTGGCAGTGTACAGATTTTTTTACTTCTCTAATACCATACCGAGGTGTCACTTCTCTAATATACAGCAGCAACCTGCACTTCACATATCGAGGTGTCACTTATCCCAACACTCTGTCGTGTCAGATCGATCAGACAAATCCCCTCCACCCCCAACCGCGCAATGCCACGTTCCAAGTCGGCCACGCCGAACATGGCAACTCTTTTTCTCTTCACTCCTTAGCGCGATCCGTCGGTTCGTTTTGCAGCAGCTGAATGTTAGGGTTACGTATGGCGGCGGAAGATGCATGTCCCGTGCCAGCCGCCGCGTCTAGCGGCGCCGCATCCGCGCCCCCATCAGCATGTCCGGACACTTTGGGGGAGCCAGCAGGCGCTCGTGCGCCGTATGAATGCGGCGTCCGCCTAAGCGCGCCGAGCAGCATGGCGGCGCAGCAGGGGGGGCGCGAGGCGGGGGGGAACGAGGAGGCAGTGACGGCGGGGTCGGTGCACCGTGCGATCGTGCGACATGCGCACTGTTCGCTCGCGTGCGGCGATCGCGACAACCTGTCGCCGGGCGACGTTTACCGCGCGGCTGCGATGAGCGTGCGAGACCACCTGATTGCGCGGATGGATGCGACGGAGCGCGCGTACGAAGACGCGGTGAGGCGTGCGAATCCGTTCGTACACATAGAAAACGAAGCTTCGTGGCAGGTGGATTCTGGTAGATGCGTTTGTGGACGGTTGTTGCGAAATGGATTCTCTCCTCTTTCTCTTCCCCTCCCGCCCTCTCCCCCATATCTCTCACCTGTGCGCATCTGTGGCGAGCAGGGCTGCAAGCGGGTGTACTACCTATCAATGGAGTACCTTATAGGGAGGATGCTGCAACTCGCCGTCACCTGCCTCGGCCTCGATGTAAGCGCGCTGCACACTCGCCCTCGCTCTCACCTTCGATTCCAGCTTGCTCCACACACGCACTACTCGCACGCCACTCGCACGCCACACGCACTACTCGCACGCCACACGCACTACTCGCACGCCACACGCACTACTCGCACGCCACACGCCAAATCCTCCTGCACTCTGCCCCATCTTCCCGCCCTCGCCTCATTGCGCACGAACCGAGCCCCCCCCGCCCCACCACACTTGCAGCACTGCCCGTCATCTCCCTGTCCTTCCACTCCTCACCCCTCATCTCCGTGTCCTTCCACTCCTCACCCCTCATCTCGCACCACCTCCCCCTCCTCCGCCATCCGCGAAGCAGGAGCAGTATGGTGCAGCGCTGCAGCAGCTGGACGCGGCGGTCAAGGAGGTGGCGCAGGGGGAGCGCGACCCCTCCCCAAATCCGCCCCCATCCACCCCTTGCTCCCTGCTCCTTTCAACACGAGCAGCACAGCGCGCCGCTGCAGCAGCTGGGCGTGTGTCAGGAGCCCTCACCGTCTCCAACTCCTCCCCCTTCCCCTCTCTCGCTCTGCTTCGCCCCCCACCCCGCCCTCCCCCGACCCACCCCCGCCCCCTCAACAGGAGCAGTACAGCGCAGCGCTGCAGCAGCTGGGTGTGTCGATGGAGGAGGCAGCAGAGGAGGAGCGCGACCCCGCGCTGGGCAATGGCGGGCTGGGCCGTCTTGCTGCCTGCTTCCTCGACTCGCTCACCACTCTCAACCTCCCCGCCTGGGGGTAAGCGCTGCTTCCGCTACTTGCTGTTGCTGGCTGGGGCTGTGGGGTGAATGGGCATGCTTGGCAATGGCTGCTGCCACCTCCCTCCCTGCCACCATGTGATATGTGATGTGTGCTCTTCATCCCCCCCTTCCCCCTCCCCGCCACCATGCAGGTACGGGGTGCGGTACCGCTACGGCATGTTTGAGCAGCGCGTGGCGGCGCTGAGGCAGCAGGAGGCGCCAGACGCGTGGCTGCATCCCTGGGGGTGCCCCTGGGAGATCCCCCGCCCCCACGTGCGCCACCCCGTGCGCTTCTTTGGCCACGTGGCGGTGCGTGTGGAGGGCACGCGCACGCGGTACCGCTGGGAGGGGGGGGAACAGGTGGAGGCGGTGGCGAGCGACATCCCCGTGCCGGGCTTTAAGACCGGCAACGTCAACCGCCTCCGCCTCTGGCGCTGGTGAGCGGGGAGGGGAGGAGGGTGCAGGGAGGAGCAAGAAAGGGGTGGTGACTTGCTTTGAGTGTGAGAGGGAAGGGGTGCAGAGCTGAGTGTGTTGTGCTCTGATTCGTGCCCACGCTCTGTTGTGCTGTTATGTCTCTTGCATACCGCGCTCATCCTGTGCTGTGCTGTGCTGTGCTGTGCTGTGCTGTGGGGTGCTGTGCTGTGCTGTGCGGTGCACCCCTTTGTTGGTACGATGGAAACGAGTCCCCTCGCCTTGCATGCCCCCCGTTTTTCAATCATCCCCGCCCGTCCCACCAGCGAGCCACTCTCAGGCGGCTTCGACTTGTCGTTATTCAACGCGGGGCGGCACGTGGAGGCAGTGGGCGGGGCGGCAAGAGCGGAGGCGATCAGTGCAGTGCTGTACCCCGAGGACAGCAGCGAGGCGGGCCGCCAGCTGCGGCTGCAGCAGGAATACTTCTTTGTCTCCGCCACGCTGCAGGTGGGTGCTGGGGTGGGGGGGGATGGGGGCGGCCATGCTTCAGGCGAGGTAGAGGGGGGTGTGCTGTGCTCGTGGGTAGGTTCTGAGATGTCTCAAGAAAAGCCTCATATCATCCTTCTATCTCCTTCTCCTCCTCCCATCACCTCCGCATCAGGACATTATAGCACGGCACGTGGCATCAGGCCGGCCAGTGTCATCCCTGCCAGAGGCAGCAGCGGTGCAGCTGAACGACACGCACCCAGCGCTGGCAGTGCCCGAGGCCATGCGGCTGCTGCTGGACGAGCACGGGCTGGAGTGGGGCGATGCCTGGCGCGCCACCGTGGCGCTGCTTGCCTTCACCAACCACACCGTGCTGCCCGAGGCGCTGGAACGCTGGCCCGTGCCGCTGCTGCAAGCCGTGCTGCCCCGCGTCATGGACCTTATATTTGAAATCAACCACCGCCACCTGCAGGTGAGTGTGGGCCGGTGAGGAGGTTCTGCAGTAGAATCAAATGCCGCTTGGCTGGTGCAGGGCATGCTGCTGCATGTCATGGACTTCATTCCTAAGAGCACCCACCAGCTTTCACCGGTGTGCGTTGAATCCATGTGGGTACTCTGCTCTGCCTCTCCACCTGCGTTCTAACGCGCCTTGGAGCCGACAACGCCTGGCCTTCACTTCAACGTGACGCCCAACACTGACAACTGCAGGCGTGCATCGGCCACGCGTTGTGCTCTGCTTTCATCCCTCTGCTCCTCCCATTTCGTCTACTGCACTCGCCCCTGTGACTCTACGTGGGACCGCCTGTTGTCCAGGAAAAACAGGTAGTAGTGCAGTGACACCTCTTTGAAATGAACAACTGTGCGCTTCTGCCTGCACCTGTGTGTGTGTCTCCTTGTGCATGGTGGGTGGCAGGAGGTGGAGGCGAGGTGCATGGGGGAGGGGCAGCGCATGGCACGGCTGTCAATCATCGAGGAGAGCCACCCCAAGATGGTGCGCATGGCCGTGCTGGCAGCCGTTGGATCGCACGCCATCAACGGTGTAGCGGAGCTGCACTCCACGCTGCTGCGCACGCAGCTCTTCCCGGACTTTGTCGACCTCTTCCCAACCCGCTTCCACAACAAGACAAACGGCGTCACCCCGCGCCGCTGGCTGCTGCTCACCAACCCGCGGCTCTCACAGGCACGTGAAGAGGGGCGGTCAAGCGGCATCTGGGGGTGCGTGGAATGTGTGGGAAAAGACGTGAAGTTTTTCATTTCTTTCTTTTCAGACAATTCAGTCATATGACTTCCTCCCCCAAACCTGCTTTCCACCTTCTCCTAGTCTAACAGCCTAATAGCCTAATAGCCTAATAGCCTAATAGCCTAACAGCCTAATAGCCTAACAGCCTAACAGCCTAATAGCCTAACAGCCTAATGGCCTAATGGCCTAATGGCCTAACAGCCTAACAGCCTAACAGCCTAACAGCCTAACAGCCTAACAGCCTAACAGGCTAACAGCCTAATAGCCTAATAGCCTAATAGCCTAATAGCCTAATAGCCTAATAGCCTAATAGCCTAATAGCCTAATAGCCTAATAGCCTAATAGTCTAACAGCCTAATAGCCTAATAGCCTAATAGCCTAATAGCCTAATAGCCTAATAGCCTAATAGCCTAATAGCCTAATAGCCTAATAGCCTAATAGCCTAACAGCCTAACAGCCTTATAGCCGAATAGCCTAATTGCCGAATAGCCTAACAGCCTAACAGCCTAACAGCCTAACAGCCTAACAGCCTAACAGCCTAACAGCCTAACAGCCTAACAGCCTAACAGCCTAACAGCCTAACAGCCTAACAGCCTAACAGCCTAACAGCCTAACAGCCTAACAGCCTAACAGCCTAACAGCCTAACAGCCTAACAGCCTAATAGCCTAACAGCCTAATAGCCTAACAGCCTGACAGCCTAACAGCCCAATAGCTTAACAGCCTAACAGCCTAACAGCCTAACAGCCTAATAGCCTAATAGCCTAATAGCCTAACAGCCTAGTAGCCTAACAGCCTAACAGCCTAACAGCCTAACAGCCTAACAGCCTAACAGCCTAACAGCCTAACAGCCTAACAGCCTAACAGCCTAACAGCCTAACAGCCTAACAGCCTAACAGCCTAATAGCCTAACAGCCTAATAGCCTAACAGCCTGACAGCCTAACAGCCCAATAGCTTAACAGCCTAACAGCCTAACAGCCTAACAGCCTAATAGCCTAATAGCCTAATAGCCTAACAGCCTAGTAGCCTAATAGCCTAATAGCCTAATAGCCTAATAGCCTAATAGCCTAATAGCCTAATAGCCTAATAGCCTAATAGCCTAATAGCCTAATAGCCTAATAGCCTAATAGCCTAATAGCCTAATAGCCTAATAGCCTAATAGCCTAATAGCCTAATAGCCTAATAGCCTAATAGCCTAATAGCCTAATAGCCTAATAGCCTAATAGCCTAATAGCCTAATAGCCTAATAGCCTAACAGCCTAATAGCCTAACAGCCTAACAGCCTGATAGCCTAACAGCCTAACAGCCTAACAGCCTAACAGCCTAACAGCCTAACAGCCTAACAGCCTAACAGCCTAACAGCCTAACAGCCTAATAGCCTAACAGCCTAATAGCCTAATAGCCTAACAACCTAATAGCCTAATAGCCTAACATTCTAACAGCCTAACAGCCTAACATCCTAATAGCCTAACAGCCTATTAGCCTAATAGCCTAACCGTCTAATAGCCTAACAGCCTAACAGCCTAACAGCCTAACAGCCTAACAGCCTAACAGCCTAACAGCCTAACAGCCTAACAGCCTAACAGCCTAACAGCCTAACAGCCTAACAGCCTAACAGCCTAACAGCCTAACAGCCTAACAGCCTAACAGCCTAACAGCCTAACAGCCTAACAGCCTAACAGCCTAACAGCCTAACAGCCTAACAGCCTAACAGCCTAACAGCCTAACAGCCTAACAGCCTAACAGCCTAACAGCCTAACAGCCTAACAGCCTAACAGCCTAACAGCCTAACAGCCTAACAGCCTAACAGCCTAACAGCCTAACAGCCTAACAGCCTAACAGATCACCATGTGGGTGGGATCAACACAGGGCGTGAGGGCACGTGGCAGCTCGCTCACCTACTCTCCCATCTCCCCTATCTCCCCCTGCGCTCTCCCACCCCCCACTCCCCAGGTGATCACCAAGTGGCTGGGATCATACGAGTGGGTGCGCGATCTCTCTCTCATCCAGGGCCTGCGAGCGCACGCCAGTCCCCCTGCCCACACTTTTCTCCCCCCTTCCCAACCCCTGCCCCTCTTCCCCTCATGCAGGTGATCACCAAGTGGCTGGGCTCGGACGAGTGGGTGCGGGATCTGTCGCTCATCCAGGGCCTGAGGGCGCACGCCAGCTCCCCTGCACTGCACGCCGACTGGACCGCTGCCAAGGCCGCCAACAAGGAGCGACTCGCGCTGTACATCCGCAACACATGTGGCGTGCAGGTGGGCGATGGGAGGGGAGGGGAGGGGTGGGGTGGGGTGGGGTGGGGTGGGGTGGGGTGGGGTGGGGTGGGAGCTGTTCACAGGTGTGGGGATGGTGAGAGGGAGGTGAGGGAGTGGAGGGGGTGTGGCATCTCACACCGTGCATAGTTGCTTGTATGTTGTCCTGCACCTTCCAGCCTTTGTTTGAGGTATGAATCTGCTGTCTCACGCTGAGTGCTGGCGTGTGTGGCAGGGCAGGTGGAGAGCAGCATGCTGTTTAACTGCCGCATCAATCCCCTCTTCACACATATGCCCTGCCCTGCCCTGCCCTGCCCTGCCCTGCCCTGCCCTGCCCTGCCCTGCCCTGCCCTGCCCTCATCTGCATGTCGCCTGCCGTCCCTGCTCCCGTCTCCCCCACACCATGTGCAGGTGGAGAGTGGTGCGCTGTTTGACTGCCATGCGAAGCGCATCCACGAGTACAAGCGGCAGCTGCTCAACATCCTGGGGGTCATTCACCGCTACAACAGCATCAAGGTGCGAAACCTGCTGGACCAGCACTGCTACAACTGCCATGCATGGGCCATGTTCCATGCATGTGTCCACATGTGCCACATGCCCTGCATACGCCATGAGCAGCCATGCATGTGATACCCCCACTTTGCCCCTCCCCCCCCCACCCCACAGTGCAGCAGCTTTGAGGAGCGCGCGCGCATGGTGCCGCGGGTGGTGGTCATCGCAGGCAAGGCGGCTCCGGGGTACTTCCGGGCCAAATGCGTCATCCACCTCATCAATGCGTGAGTCCACCTCATCAACGCGTGAGTCCACCTCATCAACGCGTGAGTCCACCTCATCAACGCGTGAGTCCACCTCATCAACGCGTGAGTCCACCTCATTGACGCGTGAGTCCAGCTCATGAATGCGTGAGTGTGCCACTTGCTGTGCATGTGTGTGTGTGCATCGCTCCATTCTCTCGTACCCGTGCTGCTGCCTCTCACATGCGGCACGCCGTCCATCCGCTCTCCCCACTCACCTCAACGCTCCACCGCCACTCCACAGTACCACAGCCAACCACCTCTGTGTATCCCCCTCATCCTCTCTCCGCAAATTGCTCTGGCCTCAAATTCCCTCGTCCGCACTCTCCCCTCTCCGCGTCTCATCCACACATCCCCCCCTCCGTCACTGGCAGGGTGGCGCAGCGGGTGAACAGCGATCCCGACATCAGCGGGCTGCTCAAAGTCGTCTTCCTGCCCAACTACAGCGTCTCCCTCGCCCAGGTGCCCTCTCCTCACCCATACATCATCCCTCACCCATACCTCATCCCTCACCCATACCTCATCCCTCACCCATACCTCATCCCTCACCCATACCTCATCCCTCACCCATACCGCATCCCTCACCCATACCGCATCCCTCACCCATACCGCATCCCTCACCCATACCGCATCCCTCACCCATACCGCATCCCTCACCCATACCGCATCCCTCACCCATACCGCATCCCTCACCCATACCGCATCCCTCACCCATACCGCATCCCTCACCCATACCTCATCCCTCACCCATACCGCATCCCTCACCCATACCGCATCCCTCACCCATACCGCATCCCTCACCCATACCGCATCCCTCACCCATACCGCATCCCTCACCCATACCGCATCCCTCACCCATACCGCATCCCTCACCCATACCTCATCCCTCACCCATACCTCATCCCTCACCCATACCTCATCCCTCACCCATACCTCATCCCTCACCCCCACTTTCACCTCCCCTCTCACTCCCACCTTCACCCTCATCTCCACTCTCACCCTCCCCCGCACTCGCTTTGGGCCTTCCCTGCTCTCATCTGTGTTCTCCTCTCTAGTCCTCTGCACCTACCATTCTCTCCTCTGCACCTACCATTCTCTCCTCTGCACCTACCATTCTCTCCTCTGCACCTACCATTCTCTCCTCTGCACCTACCATTCTCTCCTCTGCACCTACCATTCTCTCCTCTGCACCTACCATTCTCTCCTCTGCACCTACCATTCTCTCCTCTGCACCTACCATTCTCTCCTCTGCACCTACCATTCTCTCCTCTGCACCTACCATTCTCTCCTCTGCACCTACCATTCTCTCCTCTGCACCTACCATTCTCTCCTCTGCACCTACCATTCTCTCCTCTGCACCTACCATTCTCTCCTCTGCACCTACCATTCTCTCCTCTGCACCTACCATTCTCTCCTCTGCACCTACCATTCTCTCCTCTGCACCTACCATTCTCTCCTCTGCACCTACCATTCTCTCCTCTGCACCTACCATTCTCTCCTCTGCACCTACCATTCTCTCCTCTGCACCTACCATTCTCTCCTCTGCACCTACCATTCTCTCCTCTGCACCTACCATTCTCTCCTCTGCACCTACCATTCTCTCCTCTGCACCTACCATTCTCTCCTCTGCACCTACCATTCTCTCCTCTGCACCTACCATTCTCTCCTCTGCACCTACCATTCTCTCCTCTGCACCTACCATTCTCTCCTCTGCACCTACCATTCTCTCCTCTGCACCTACCATTCTCTCCTCTGCACCTACCATTCTCTCCTCTGCACCTACCATTCTCTCCTCTGCACCTACCATTCTCTCCTCTGCACCTACCATTCTCTCCTCTGCACCTACCATTCTCTCCTCTGCACCTACCATTCTCTCCTCTGCACCTACCATTCTCTCCTCTGCACCTACCATTCTCTCCTCTGCACCTACCATTCTCTCCTCTGCACCTACCATTCTCTCCTCTGCACCTACCATTCTCTCCTCTGCACCTACCATTCTCTCCTCTGCACCTACCATTCTCTCCTCTGCACCTACCATTCTCTCCTCTGCACCTACCATTCTCTCCTCTGCACCTACCATTCTCTCCTCTGCACCTACCATTCTCTCCTCTGCACCTACCATTCTCTCCACTGCCCCCACCCTCCATCTCTCTTTCATCACACCCGCCGCCCCCCACCTTCCCCCTCGTCTCCCTCTCTGTTCATTATTCCCACCTATCCCCATTTCTCCTTCTGTCCAACACCCCTCTCACCTCCCCCAGTTGATAGTGCCAGCGAGCGACATATCGCAGCACATATCAACGGCGGGCATGGAAGCCTCAGGCACGAGCAACATGAAGTTTGCGCTCAACGGGGGGCTGCTGCTGGGCACCATGGATGGCGCCACCATAGAGATCGCCAACGCCATCGGGCGCGAGAATGTGTTTGTGTTTGGCGCCCTGGCCCACGAGACCCACTCGCTGCGCCACTCCCTGCGCTTCCGCCAACCCATCCACGACGACCGCCTCGTTCAGGTGCCCATGTGCCCATGTGCCCCTGTGCCCATGTGCCCATGTGCCCATGTGCCCATGTGCCCCTGTGCCCCTGTGCCCCTGTGCTGCTGCTGCCATGCCAGTGCTGCTGCGCTGCCTTGCCAGTGCTGTGCTACTGCTGGCGCTTCTCTCTTGCCAGTGCTGCCGCCATGCCAATGTCGAGTTCATTCCTGTTGCCACTGCTGTGCCACTGCTGTGCCAATGCTGTGCCACTGCTGTGCCACTGCTGTGCCACTGCTGTGCCACTGCTGTGCCACTGCTGTGCCACTGCTGTGCCACTGCCGTGCCACTGCTCCCCCTTCCTCCCCACTCCCCCCAGGTGGTGCGCACAATAGAGGCGGGGGTGTTTGGGCCGGCGGACGACTTTCGGCCGCTGCTGGAGTCACTGGGCGGCGGCAATGATTACTTCCTGCTCTCCCACGACTGGCCCTCCTACCTCGACGCCCAGGTACCACCTCCCCCAGGTACCACATCCCCCAGGTGCCACCTCCCTCAGGTGCAGGTGCCACCTCTTTTTGTCCTCGCCTTCTTCCCCAGATGTTCCCTGCTGCTGTTGTCCTTGCCTTCCTCCCAGGTGCTACCCACCTCATGCATGATCCTCCGTGGTGCAGCATTTGCCGCCATCCCCATGAGCACTGTCTTCACTCGCCACAGGATACGGCAGGTGGAACGCGGCTTGACCTGTCCTTTCAACACCAGCCGTTGCTCCATGCTCTCCACTCTCTTTTCCCTTCCACCCATGCCTATTTCCAAAGCTTCCATCCCCTTTGTGTGTGGATGTGTGTACATGTTTGCATGTGAACGTGAGCATGTGTGCATATGTGCATGTGCGCATCTGTGCATGTGTGCGTGGGTGCATGTGAGCATGCGTCCATGGGTGCCTGGGTGCACAACGTGTGTATGGGTGCAAATGTGTATGAGTGCATGGGTACATGGGTGCATGGGTACATGGGTGCATGTGTGCATGGGTGCATGTGAGCATGTGAGCAGCACTCAGTGGACACGCTCTTTCTCAACCCCACAGAGTGGTGCCGCCGCTCCATTGTATGTCCCCCCGGTTCTCTACCGTACCACCCACCTCCTTTCACTGTCCACTTGCCTCCCCTCCATCCTCTGTACCACATCCTCCATGCATGAGTTCTTCCATGCTTCTGGATTATCTACTTTGTGTGGTGTGTCCTCCATTATTGCATTGAGTGTAGCTCCAAATGCTTGTTTTTTTTGTGCGTATACCACCTGTCCCTCATGTGCCATTGCAGATAGCAGCATCGATGATGGGCAGATTCAGCAGTGACCGAACCATTGCCGAATACGCGCGTGACATCTGGCACCTCCAGGTACATTTGTGGTTGTCTTTAGTTGGTGATGAAGTTTATGTAAGGACGTCGTTGCAGGCCAGTAATTTTCTTCCACATGATATTTACTCGAGACCTGGTTTCTTTGCAACTGTGCCCATTTCAGCCTGTTATCGTGCCAGAGGTCCTCAGCACCACGTAACCTTCTTTTGTATGCTGCTCCACTGTTCGTTCTCATGCGTCACGCGAGGCAACTCTTAACATTGTATGTTCGGTTGGGAATAGTACAATGGTTCCATAATGTATTATCTTGATATGGCAATCTGCTGTATTTCGTTCTTGACTTACAGGTGGTTATCGAAGCTGAGCGTGTCAAAGCGTTGCGGTTAGTGACGTGTGCACTTCGCGCGGGAAAGAATTTCCCGCAAGCTTGCTGCCGACCGTTGACAGATGACGGCTCGGCGGACGAATTGTTCAAAACTTTCTCACTTATACAGTAAAGGTTTTCTAAGCCGCCTTACGGGCAGCACTATGATTGCCCATGTCAGCGTCAAACTCGTCAACGTTTTTTTCCACCCAATGGTCGCCGCCACATGTTGGAAACATGTTTCCTTCACCTAACGACATCTTCATTGTGCCGCCAACCGTTCGCCAACTCTGGGAATGGTCGCAACCGTTCGCATAGTTGGTTTTCTGCCCGCGCTTGGCTTCGCTCCAAGCAAAAACAGTCCTGCGACTCCATTTGATATTTGATCGTCAATGTTGTGCGACTTGCGAAAGCTGGTGATAGGAAGCTGGGCGAGGCACGTCGCATTGTGTCGCGCCGTTAGGGCTTTTTGGAATCAAAGGCGCGCGGCACGTCCTGAGCGCCGCGTTGAGTCACACGGTTGATGGATGATGCTTCCACCGCAGCGCAAATGAAATCGTTTTCTTGCTGAGCCGATGGACGACAAGTCCACGACCATGCGACGAAGTGGCGCCGACTAAATTACCCCTCATTCTCCATTCTATCCATCGTTCCTCCATCGTCGCTCAATCGCTCACGCCATCGTCCAGTGACCGACGAGATCTGTCGGCGAAAGCATTCATTGATGCGCGTTCGTGGGCCAGTTTGGAGGCTGTCACATTTCCCGCTGCCGTCACTCGCAACATTCGTTCAACACATGCCCAGCAGGCACCCCTAGCCAGCCACCATCATCTCAATTTCGTCACGCCCAGACATCACATAACGTAACTGCGACTGCAACCCACATACTCCACTTTGCTAACAATCCAGGCGCGAATTCGCCCGACGTAGATCCCTAATACCAAGCGTCTCCAAGAAAATGCTTGCGTTATCCATGAGGACACACCGGCATTAACACCACGTACTCGGTTAAGGTAGCTCAAAGCCCAGGAGCGTAGAGAGGGCGCAGAGTAGCGGGCGTTCCGCGTGCAATGTGGCCCGACTGCTACCCTCCGCGGCACGGCTTCCACAATGGCGCTGCCGGCGTCGCGCAAGGCTCGCATGGCCCGTACGGACGAATTCAGAACACTCACTCGTTCCACGCACCCAGCATCAGCAGCAGCAGCAGCAGCAGCATCAACAGCAGCAGCAGCAGCAGCAGCAGCAGTCCGGATTGACTAACGGTCAATTGCAGGCGTCATTGGGATGCCAGTCCGCTCCCACCTCTCCGTCCAAGCCGCCGCCCTTCGCGAGGCGAGCAGGCAGCGCCGATGCCGGCTCAATAGCGTCGGACGCGGGCAGCGCTTACGCTGAGAGCTCCGCGTCGGGCGACGACGAAGGGAACGCGGGGTGGAGCATGGCGGGCGAGGAGGGCAAGTCGAACGACGCGTTCCACGTCATCCACAAGGTCCCCGTCGGCGACTCGCCATATGTCCGCGCGAAACACGTCCAGGTACGAACCGGAATCCCGGAACGAGCGTCAATAAGCATTTATTGAAATAAACGTCACCCACCCCGCAATGCGCCTTCTCAACCGCCGCTTTTCCCCCTCCCCGCCCTCGTCACCATTGCGCTTCCCCTCGTGCGCGCGCGCAGCTGGTGGACAAGGACCCGGTGCGCGCGATCGCGCTGTTCTGGTCGGCGATCAACGCGGGCGACCGCGTGGACAGCGCGCTCAAGGATATGGCTATCGTCATGAAGCAGCAGAACCGCCCCGAGGAGGCCATCGAGGCTATCCGCTCGCTGCGCCACAAGTGCTCCGAAGTCGCGCAGGAGTCGCTCGACAACGTGCTGCTGGACCTCTTCAAGCGCTGCGGGCGCCTCGACGACCAGGTGGCGCTGCTCAAGCACAAGCTCGACATGATCCGCCAGGGCGTCGCGTTCAACGGCAAGCGCACCAAGACGGCGCGGTCCCAGGGGAAGAAATTCCAGGTGTCGATCGAGCAGGAGGCGACGCGGCTGTTGGGAAATCTGGGATGGGCGTACATGCAGCAGGGGAACTATGTCGCGGCGGAGTCGGTGTATCGGAAGGCGCTGCGCGTGGAGGCGGATAGCAACAAGGTGTGCAACCTCGGCATCTGCCTCATGAAGCAGTCCCGCATCGTCGAGGCGCGCGCGCTGCTTGAGTCCGTGTCGCCCAACAGCGACCCGCGCTGGGGGTCCGAGTCGCACATTAAGGTGAGCCTGAGATGAGTCTCTGTCTAACGCATTGTCAATCGAACATCGTTTTTTTTTTCCTGTTCCCGTTCACCAATCGTGTGTCCTGACTCAACTCGCTTGTTCCCAACATTCTGTCGTTCCGTTTTCTCGTTGATGGCAGTCGTACGAACGCGCGCAGAGCATGCTGTTGGAGCTCGAGGCATCAGCGGCGGCCGAAGCGACCAAGGATGGCGCAGCTGCGAGCGCGAGCACCAGCGGCGGGGAGGACGGTAGCGCCGCCGGGCAGACAGCGGACGCCGGCGGTAAATCCCCCTCCGCGTCCTCCGCCGGCGCTGCGCCGTCCTCCGCGGCGCCCAGCAGCGACGGAGTCTCGTCTGACAAGCACCCGCAAGTCAAACCCGCCGCTTCCGTTTCCGCATTCCACGGGCCCCCTGGCGCTGCTCGTGGCATGGGTGGCATGGGCATGGCGCGCAGCTCGTTCCAGCGACACTCGTCGTACTTGTGCGAGTTCCTTGGCGCGCCCGACATGTGGGACTCCCTTTTGGCTGACAACACCGCCGCTGGGGGGAACGCAACTGCGGAAGGAGCGCCAGCAGCTCCGCAAGGCGCCGCAGGCGGTATTTCGGGGATGGCGGGCATGCAGTCGCGGGGTCCGCCGGATGCTCCGCTGCCGCAGCAGCAGCAGCAGCGACAGCTGCAGGCGCCAATGCAGTGCATGCGGAGGCCGCCATCGACCGGCGCAATGGCGCGGACGGTGAGCATGGGCGCGGGGTGCGGCAACCCGCTTGCGCGTTCCATGAGCTTCGGCGGGGCGGATGCGCGCGGAGGGCTGTCGTGCCTCAAGCCCACCGCGCCCGAGTTCATGCCGGGGTCGTTTGGCCCGATTCCTCCCCCCGGCCACGGCTCCGCTCCGCCTTTCATGCACGGCGCGCCGCCCCCACCCCCCCCTGGCGACGGTCGGCGCACGCTCACCGCGTCCCGCTCGCTCCCCCCGCTGCAGATTCCCACGGCGGGATTCGCGCTGGCGGCGGCGTCGCCGTCGCTGGTGTCGCCGCTGGGGCCCATGTCGAGCGGCTCGCTCTCGTGCACCTCTAGCTTCGGCGCGGCGTCGTGGGATGACGGAGTGATGATGTCAGCGTTCGAGAGTGACGACGACGTGCTTTGCGAAATGCCCAACGATAGTTACCAGCCGTCTGCTGCGGCTATCTCCGTTGCTGCGGGGGTCTGGGCATCGCAGAAGGTGCCCACTTCGGCGCACCTCGCTGCCGCACTGCGCAAGGGCGGCGGATTCCCCGCGCCTGGGCAGCGCGCGCTTTTCAGGGGCTCCGAGAACGTTCCGCAGTACATGGCGGGGGTCGCCCCCATCGGCGCAGGCGGGCCTGGAGCGCGGAGGCCGCTGGTGTTTGGGTGCGAGAACCCCGCGCCAATGGCGGCGAAGGCGCAGATGGTGGCGGGCGGGCTGATGGGCGGAAGCAACATGGGCATGCAGATGGGCGCGGAGATGGGCGGCGGCATGGGCATGACGACGGTGATGGGCGAGCGCACTAACCTGGAGCCCCCCGCGCAGTTCATAGGCGCATGGGGGGCTGTGGCGCAGGGGAAGGGCGCATGGGGACCTGCATGGGGAGCGCCCGGAGAGGGGGCAAGCATGGGTGAGGGGGAGAAGGTGAAAGATCAGCAGCAGCAATCTGTGGCGGGGGCAGAGTTGGGGGGATCGGGAATGAAGAGAAACAGAGTGCCGACCCCAGTGAAGGCTGCTGCTCCCAAGGGCGAGAGAGGGGGCGAGGCGGAGGGCGGAGACGGGAGTGCAGCGCAGGAGGGCGGGCCGGTGGTGCCGAGGGCGCTGTGGGAGATGCTGGGGTTTACAGGCAGCCCCGACAAGCTGCTGCTGGAGGAACTCAAGGGCACTGATAGCGCCAAGAAACTGCTCGCCTCCGCTGGGTCTGCTGACACGCAGCAGGGCAGCGAGCGGCGTGCACTGTTTGCTGACAATACTGATACTGGCTTGGCTTCCGTGGTAGGGGGTGGTGGTGCTGCCACCGCTCTGACCAGCCCCACTGCAGGCAGCTCCCACGTGGAGGTCAAGAGGCCCCGCCGCCTCCGCATCTTCCAGGAAATGACATACGTTGGCGCAGCTGCATAAACTGGATGCAGAATAAACTGCATTAATTGACCCTGATGCCGAACTGCCACAACTGGCTTCAAGGCTGCAAAAATCTTACCCCTTACACACATGCAGGCACTGGACGAGACAGCCTCATGACAGCTTGTCTAATGAGGTGCCCAACTGCATAATCGGAAGCTACTCTTGAATTGACCTATTTAGCTGTTAGAATTCATCGTAGATTTTGTGATTCTTACTTTAGTGAATAGGGCTATTTATTTAGCACCTAGGACTATTGGTAAATCACTGTTTTTGCCAGCAACTATAAGCATTCATAGGTTGTTTCTCCAACATTATGGTTTCTGCTATATTGAGAGCTGGTTCATATTGTAAAATGCGAAAAAGCTGGTACTACTGTAGCCCCGCATCGTCTTCTCTGGCGGGAAATTCCCGAGGCAGAACACAGCTTCGAAGTTTGAAAGTGTCAGGGCGCGTCGAGTCAGCCAATCCCAGGGTCCCTCCACCTCGCTCCTCTGCACAGCTGAGCGCCTCAGCTCATCGCTGAGCACTGGTCAGTCGCCTGCTCATTCCTCCCTGCATTTCCTTCCAGATTCCAGATTCCATCTCTTCATTCATCCAAGCTCTGAACTTTCTCCTCTTCAAGTCCTGAGTACCATGAACCAAGAATAAGCTGATCGTTTGCTATTAGGATCTACTTCGAAGCGCGCATTCTGTATAAACCAGTTAGAAGGATGACGAAAGCAGCAGAAAGCATGCAGGGAGGAAGTAGGAGAGCTGTAGACCCACCGGCGTCGCTTATACCAAGAGTCTTGAACGAGTGTCAGGAATCTGTCGCGTCTCACCATAGAAACAGCTTGCTTCTCCTCCAGTGTGTTAGCCTACACCGAAACGATTTCTCGCCGACCTTTCTTGATGTCATTCGACCCGCTCTCCTCAGCACGAAAGCCGGCAGCCCTGGCGACAAGGTGCTGCGATTCTTCAAGACGTTCCTGGGCGTGCTGGTCGCGGAGGGCAGCGAGGACGCGCGGGAGATGATGGAGGAGCTGCTGTGCCTTTTCGCGCAGTACAGCGAGGCGCGCAGCAAGGCCGTGCGGGTCAACGTCACCAGAGTGCTCTCGGAGGTCTGCCACTCGATCCTGTTCCGCTCTATTTTTTATAGTGGTATTATCCTGAGCGGTTCATTTCTTGTGTCAGCGTCTCAAGTTCTACTGTGAGCGTTTGCATCCCCCGCAGGTGCTCAATTCGTTGCCTGCCAGCTTCAGCCTGTCAGCCGACGCCATCGTGATCATCCGCGAGTTCCTGCACGCGCGAATGGACGACCGCATCGCCGCCATCCGCGCGTGGGCCGCCAGGGCGCTCAAGCGCATGGTGACGTTCGAGGAGGACGGCGGAGTGGACGTGGACACGACCATCGGGTTATTCCGAGAGAAGATGAAGACCGAGTCGAGCTCCGTAAGCTTCGTCGCTTTCGTATGCTCCTTTCGGTGGACATTCGCTTGACGTTGTCATCTGAAACCGTGACCGTAATATCTGTACGCGGTTTCACGACGCGGTTACCATACTCTTAGCGTGGCATGTGAACGAGAGCGCACTGATTGTGCGTGGTGCAGGAGGTGCGCGAGGCGATGGTGTGGTCGCTGCCGGAGTCCACGAGCACCATTCCCGACATTCTCGAGCGCACGGCGGACGTCAGCGAGCGGGTCAGAGCCGCCGCGTACAAGTCCTTCGCCGAGAGGTTCTTCCCCATCGAAAGCTTCAGGTGCGCGCCTGTTTTTTCTTCCGCACTATTACCGCACCAACGGTTGTCAAGGAGCTGATTTGTTGTTGCTCTGCCACGTGGCGTGTGTCTGTGCGTCCCAGCATCCGGCAGCGAGTGCAGCTGCTGTCGCAAGGCCTGGGCGACCGGTCGTCGACGGTGCGGTCGGCGTGCGTGGAGCTGCTGTGTCGCGCGTGGCTGTCGCGCGACTGCGAGGGCGACCTGGTGCGACTGCTGCGACATGTGGACGTGGAGAGCCACGAGGCAGTGGCGGAAACAGCGGTGCGGGAGATCCTGCAGGCGCACAGCGCGGGGTGCGGCGACATGGAGCTGGTCGTGCCTGAAGGGGGGCTGCGTGCCGCTGTCAAGCAAGTGTCCACCCCTGGGAAAGGCAAGCTTCAGAGGAAAACATAGATGCCGACACTTTAATCCGACCCAGGCTGGGTCGCATTGCTCGTGGTTACGACGAAGCGTGTGAAATACATGAGCGATGATTTCAGTCCAGCAGCGAGTCTCACGTTTCTTCCCATCTCGTGGTTCGTGCAGGAGGGTCGGAGGCGACACCAGCATCGGCGCTGCTTACGGCGGAGGAGGCGCTCTTCTGGCGCATGCTGTGCCTGCACCTCGCCGCGCAGGCCAATGTCAGTCCCTCCCGCCCGTGCTGCTCCAGCGCTTGCTTGCTCACCACTTGCTGATTTCGCGCTTGCAGTCGCTCGCCAAGGCAACGTGGGTCTGATGTTGCGTCTCGACGTATTGCTGCAGGAGAACGGATCGAATGCCGCGGTATCAGCTGGCGCAGCAGCGGTGGAGGCGGCGGAGGCGGCGAGCGACCTGAACGCGCAGCTGGAGGCCCTGCTGCCAGCCACGGCGCAGGACTACCTGACGCTGCTGGAGACGCACATGCAAGCAGGTTGGGGGCTGAACCTTACAGCCTAGCTACAGTAATGACAAGTATGAGAACGGCCTCAGGCCGTTCGTACCGTCGTGTGCAATACTAATGCTTGCTCATTGCTCTCGCAGGGTCCGAGGGTCGGTTCGCAGCGCGGCAGCTGATGCAGCTGGCGGCCGTGCTGGACTTCACCGACGCCACCATCCGCGCGCACGCCGCCGCGCTCGTGCACCGCCACCTCGTCGGCGCGCAGTCGGCGCGCGAAGGGGCGGGGGAGGTGAGCGCCGAGGCGGAGGACGAGTGGGAGGAGGGCGTGGCAGCCGGCAGGTGGGGCGAGGCTCTGCTGGGGCTGGCGCAGCGCGTGCACGCCTCGGATGCTGACGTGCTCGCCGCTCTCGTCGACGCCCTGGCTGACGTCAGCAAGCCGTTGATGGCGGGCGTGGCGGGTGTGGATGGTGTGAGCGAGGGGCTGTGGCTGCGATGCGTGGCGGCGATGCGCATGGTGTTGCGCCTGTGCTGCAAGTCGGCAGGGGGCGGCGCGTTCAGGGCGTGGAGGAATCTTCGCGTGGAGCCGCAGGAGGCGCTGAACTGCATTCTCGTCCCCGCGGTACGCCAGCGCGCTGCCCTCACTGCCTCTCCCCGCTTGCTCTCAACAGGCCGGTTTGTGCGCATTTGCTCCACTGCGCCCGTGCCGCAATAATTTCCTGTCACCCGCACGTTCACGCGTTACTCTTTCCCCTTCCTCCCCCCTCCCATCCCCCTTCCCTCCTTCCCCCCCGTCCCTCTTCCTTGTTCTGGCAGGCGTCACATCCCTCGCCTCTGGTACGCGCGGAGGCCGTCGCCGCGCTGCACGCATTCGCCATGCTCCACGCACCGTCCGCGCGCGCACACCTGCCTCTGCTCCACGCCGCCGCGCGCGACTCCGCGCACCCCGGCGTGCAGATGGCGGCCGTGCGCGCCCTCGCGGACCTGCTGCTCTGGCACCGCCCCGCCGCGCTGCTGCCCGACATCTCTGCGCCCGCCGTCAGCGACGACGGCGAGGGGAGTGCGGTGAGCGGGTGCAGTGCGGGGGAAGAGTCGCAGCGCGCAGGAGGGGCGCGCGGGGGAGGGGGGCCGGAGGTGGCGGAGGGGAGCGTGGACGTGCTGGTGGGGCTGGTGCCGCTGGAGGGCGGGCAGGTGGACATTGAGGCGGTGAGGGAGGACGTGCAGCGCGCAGGGCGACACGCGGAGGGGGAGGACGAGGGGGAAGCGGAGGGCGTGGTGGGCGTGGTGTGTGAGGGGCTGTGCAAGCTGCTGCTCGCGGACGCGAGCAGGGGCGCGGGGAAGGGCGCGGAGCGGGGGGCGGAGGGCAGGGTGGAGCGAGTGCTGCAGGTGCTGGTGCAGGTGTACCTGTGCCCGGGCGCCGCTGAAGATGAGTTGCCCAGGTGCGTGGCGCTGTGTGTATCTGAGGAACCTCTGTACTGCCACATCAACTCCGGCTTGTATTTTACTTGGTCTGCTCCATGGTGTGTTTACTCCGTAGCTGCCTTTCGCCCATCATCCACCTCCCCCTCCTCTCGCTCGTACCTCACAGGACGCGGCAAATGCTAGCGGAGCTGTTCAACCGCGCGGCCGTGCTGCCAGCCTGCAAGGTACGCCACCCACCCCATCCTACCAACCAGCTTCTGCCTTTTCTGGTAGCCTCGCTTCCTTTGAAAGTCTGTCACCTTGGCACCTCACTCCTCCCCAACCACACTTCCCTGTTCGCTCAATCTCCCCGAATCCCTCCCTCTCCCCGAATCCTTCCCTGTCATCTTGTGCAGGTGGCAGCGTCGCGTCTGCTGCTGCCAGTGCTGCGGCAGCTGTGGCCGCGCAAGGCGGCAGCAGCAGCGAGGCAGCCCGCAGTGCGCGCCTCGCAGCTGCTGCTCTCCCTCATGCTCGCTCATGGCGCCCACGGGGTCGTGGCGCCCACGCGGAGTGGCGAGGGCGAAGGAGAGGGGGAGAAAGAGGGGGAGGGAGAGGAGGAGGGCGAGAGAGGAGAAGCAGGTGGTGGTGGGAGTGGCGGTGGTGGTGAGGGCGAGAGGAGTGGAGCGGGCGAGAGCAGCAGTGTGCAGCTGCCGGCGGTGGGCTTTGAGTCTCTGGCTCTCGACCTTGCTGCTGAGGTGGGTGCTTACGCTGCTGCCCTCTCGTGCACCGTCACCAACGCGCATTCAGCTCTTGTCTCACTCTTTTTTACCGGCACTTCCACACACTGTGCTGTTGTTCCCTGCCACAAACGTGCTGTGCTCCTCGCTTCCACTAAAACGTTGTGTTCTTTCCCCTTTCCGCCCCAGGTGCTATCCTCCCCACTGGCCACAGCGGGCAGTGCGAGTGGGAGGGCGTACAGCGCTCATCTGGTGCAGCTGCTGGTGGAGGTGCCGCTCAGAGCCTCGGAGCAGGACGACGTCAAATGCCTGCGCTCGCTGCTCCCCATGTATGCCTCTTCATCACCTGCTAGTCCCTTTAATGCTTTTGCCATTTCCAGCTAACAGAAAAGGCGCTCCTTCCCGTCCCAGTTCTGCAGCTCTGCACCCACCACCAGTCACCTGCGAATCCCATGCGAAAAATTGCTTCCGCCCATCACCCACCACCACCACTCACACGCTCCCCGCTCTGACCCCGTCATCTCCCCTCCCCCTCCCGTGCCCACCTGGTTGTGTGGCAGGGTGGCGGAGGCAGTGCAGGGGCAGCGCGGGGCACAGCGGCAGGTGGAGCGGATGGCAGCGCGGCTGAGGGCGCTGGACGCCACCCCGGATGAAGAGCTGCCTCTGGAGCGCCTGGAGCAGCTGCTGCAGCGCGGTGAGGGGGGAGGGAGGGAAGGGGGAGGATGAGCTGCGCGTGGGTGGGAGACTGGGGAGGTATGGGTGGGAAATTTAGGCATGGGGGATGCAGGGATAAGAAAAGTTCTTGTGTTGGCTGTTGGCGATGCGGGTGCAGCAGGTGTGGTAGCACTGTGTGATTCACACGTACATGTTGTGCGGTGCTATCCTTTGTCCCCTGCTTGCAGTGGATGGCGATGCAGCAAGTGGGTCAGAGGCAGCGGGCAGTGGTGCATCTGCCATGGAGGGAGGCAGTCCGCCAGGCAGGAGGCGACGAGGCAAGCCCCCAGGTATGCTGCCCCGTATGTTGCCAGTGCTTCCACACGTGCTGCTAGTACTTGCACAAGCCTGTGGGTTGTTGCGCCATGCATCACCTGCTGGGATGACACAGCCACGCCAACACGCCTCTCTCCTTGCTTGCCTGTTTTCTCCATCTCCCCCATGCCTCCCGCCCGTGCCTGCACAGCGCCAGCCTGCCGCACCTCCCCCTTCTGCAGCCCCGACCCTGCCACACCAGTGCAGCGCCCTGCGCGCCCCTTGCGGCAATGCAAGGCAGTGACCAACAGCCGCCTCAAGCAGCAGCTGGGGGGGCACAGCAGCGCCGGCAGACCTGCGGTGGGCGAGGCAGCAGGTGGGGAGAGTGAGGCAGTGGATGCAGGTGAGGGGTTGGAGCAAGTGGGTAGGGAGGGGCAGAGCACGGCAGCAGATGTGCCCCCTGAGGCTCACAGCAGTGGGAGTGAGGAGGAGAGCGAGAGGAGTGAGAGTGAGGAGTATGGGAGTGGAAGTGAAAGTGGGAGTGAGGAGGAGTACAGGGCGTCAGTGGGCAGGCAGACGAGGGGCGCGCGTGCACAGGAGCAGACCAGTGGGCCACGGCGAGTGGCGTCCGTGATAGCTGCTGTGAGGAGGAGCAGCAGCAGCAGCAGCAGCAGTGGTGGTGGTGGTGGTGGTGCTGCTGCTGGCAGGGACGCGCCCATCTCTATCTCCACCGACTCTGACTCACAAGACGTGGTCGAGGTGCTGTCGGGAGGGGTGGCAGGAGCGCAGAGCAAGCGGGTACAGCCCAAGGAGGAGGCAGAGAGCATCTCGGGGGAGGTGGAAGAGGTGTTGGAGGATGAGAGTGTGTGCATGGCAGCAGGGCTCCATGCTGACAGTCCCGGCGTGGGCCGCACAGCACCAAGGGATGACGCCTCCCCTGCAGCACGAGGGCCAGAGGGCTCCCCTGCGGCGTCAGTGGGCAGTGACGCCACGTCCTTTGCGTCGGCGCTGAGTGACGACCTCCTCCAGCCCTCGCCCTCCCCCTTGCCTGCTGCCATGCCCGCCAGGCGTGCCGGCGCCAGACAGAGGCGCTTCGTGCTTGATGATGGCAGTGAGAGTGAGAGTGAGGGTGAGGGGGAGATTGCGAGTGGGAGTGCTGATGGAAGTGAGAGTGAGGGTGAGAGCTGGGGTGAGAGTGTGGATGGGAGTGATGTGGAGAGTGGCAGCTGCACCAAGGGCACAAGGACGGTGAGAGGACGGGCGGGGGTGCAGAGGGCAGGTGGGATTGAGAATGAGAATGAGGCGGTGAGGGGGAAGGCGGGCAAGGGTGGTGAAGTGGCAGTGGGAGCGGAGAGGCGGCAACCTCTGGCACGCCGCACTGCCCAGTGATGCGCTGCAGCAGGTTCATAGTGAGGAGGAGCAGACGGACACATTGTGTTCTTCCACTGCTCCACTGATCACTGCTCGGCCTGCTTAATATACCGTATCCATTGTTGATCCACGCTAGAGCTCTTGAGTTCCTCTACGTTCTGCTACAATTTGGTGTGTACTATGATGTCACGTTGCTAAGGGTTTGGTGCCAGAGACTGGAATATTGAGTGCGCTGTTATCCAGTTGCCATTGCCGTTGTTGCTGAGGATAGGATAGGGATGGGGAGGGGGAGGGGGGGAGATGGGGGACTTCCGCTTTAGGGGAATGAAGAGGCAGCAGTCATGCTGGTAAAGCAGACCATCCAACAATGCGTACCCTACAGTAGTTATGTGCTCAGATTCACTGCTAGTGTTCTTTTGCTTGGTATACATAGGAGCTGTCAAAATTGGTGGGAATACTGCTTCTCTAGGGTGTCGAGACCAATTCCCCGCACCACTTGAGTCCATCACGCCGCCTGTTCAGCGCACGCGGCCGCAGCGGTCGCAGGGCTGCTTGGTGTGAGTCTTCTTGTCGGCGCCAGCAGCAGCAGCCTGCGCCACGAGGCATGGCATGTCCTCCCCCAACACCGCCTCCAGCGCTGCTGCCGCCCGCCCCAGCTCCTCCTCCCTGCCATGCCCGTGCCCGTGCCATGCACCCAGTGGGGTGGGTAAGGTGTGTAGGGGATTGGACGTTCGGGGTGTGGTGAGGAAAGAGTTGAGAGTGCTGCATTGCACAATAATCAACAGGACAGGGCTTCAAGCAGGTGGAGAGAGGGATGACAGCATGGGGGCACGAGGGAATGACTGAGTGAGGGAATGGGGGCATGAGGGAATGCATCAGTGAGGCAATGAGGGCATGAATGGGCGAGGGCATGAGGGGGATGGATGTAGCACGCACGAGATGGTGAGGGGGGGGGCGAGGCGGATGATGGTGTTGTGGGTGGGCTTGGCCAGCACGCCCCGCTCCTTCATCGCCACACACACGTCCAGCGCCGTCACGCCCCCCGGCAGCCCCTCCCCCGCCACCTGCACCGCCACCAGCAGCCCGCGCCCCCGCACCTCCTGGATGAGATGGGGGTACCGCGCCTGCACTGCCTTCAGCTGCGCCTGCAGCTGCTCCCCCAGCCGCTGCGCCCTGGGGGAAAGCAAGAGGGAGGCGAGGGGGATGAGAGGAGGGGGTAAAGGAGTGGGAGGATAAGGCCGTGGGAATTGGCAGAGACGGGCAGAGGTGGAATGTATGAGCAGCAGCAATGCTCAAGACCAAGTTGCCTTGCCGTGCAATCTTCCCCCCTCTTCACTCTCACAGCACCTCCCTCCCACCCCACCCCATGACTCTGCATGGAACAGCCAGCCACTCCTACCCCTATCCCACCACCTTCCCTCCTCCTAACCTGCACCCCCCCTCTCCGCACCCCCGCTCTCCGCACCCCCCCTCTCCGCACCCCCCCTCTCCGCACCCCCCTTGTCTGCACCTCCCTTTCCCCGCACCTGTCAGCCAGCCCGCCCTCTTCAATCTCCGCCAGAGCCGCCAGCGCCACTGCTGACGCCAGGGGGTTGCCGCCAAAGGTGCTGCGCACGAGGGGGAGGGGGAGGCGCCGCAGAGAGGGGAGGGGGAGGGGGAGGAGACGTGAGAAGGGCAGGTATGGGCACTGGAGAGAGCGTGCGAGCAGGAGAGCAGGTTGAACACATTGCACCTTCCACAACACCATTCCCCATTCCCTGCTCACTGCTTTGACGCCCCTCAGTAAATAAAAAATCACAAACAACAGCTGCCATCACACATGCTCGCCGCACTCCCCATTCCTATCCCCCTCCTCCTCCCTCTCCCCCGCCCCTCCTCCCTCTCCCCCGCCCCTCCTCCCCCTCCCCCGCCCCACCTGCCGTGCTCGCCGGGGCGGATGCACCCCATGACGTCATCATCTGCCAGCACTGCGCTCACCGGCACCACTCCCCCTCCCAACGCCTTGCCCAGGATCTGATGGGGGCGAGTGGAGAGGTGGAAGCGACGGGGGAAAGGGAAAGCGGAGAGAGGATGAGGGAGAGGAGGGAAGAGACAGAGACGGGTGGCAGGAGGGCGGTGGGAGTTGGGTAGTAGTGCCGTGCGCGGAGGGAGAGAGGAGCGGGCCGTCATGCACTGCAGGCCGTGATGCACTGCAGGCCGTGATGCACTGCAGGCCGTGATGCACTGCAGGCCGTGATGCACTGCAGGCCGTGATGCACTGCAGGCCGTGATGCACTGCAGGCCGTGATGCACTGCAGGCCGTCATGCACTGCAGGGCGTGATGCACTGCAGGGCGTCATGCACTGCAGGGCGTGATGCACTGCAGGGCGTGATGCACTGCAGGGCGTGATGCACTGCAGGCCGTCATGCACTGCAGGGCGTGATGCACTGCAGGGCGTGATGCACTGCAGGGCGTGATGCACTGCAGGCCGTCATGCACTGCAGGGCGTGATGCACTGCAGGGCGTGATGCACTGCAGGGCGTGATGCACTGCAGGGCGTGATGCACTGCAGGCCGTGATGCACTGCAGGCCGTGATGCACTGCAGGGCGTGATGCACTGCAGGGCGTGATGCACTGCAGGGCGTGATGCACTGCAGGGCGTGATGCACTGCAGGCCGTGATGCACTGCAGGGCGTGATGCACTGCAGGGCGTGATGCACTGCAGGGCGTGATGCACTGCAGGGCGTGATGCACTGCAGGGCGTGATGCACTGCAGGGCGTGATGCACTGCAGGGCGTGATGCACTGCAGGGCGTGATGCACTGCAGGGCGTGATGCACTGCAGGGCGTGATGCACTGCAGGGCGTGATGCACTGCAGGCCGTGATGCACTGCAGGGCGTGATGCACTGCAGGCCGTGATGCACTGCAGGGCGTGATGCACTGCAGGGCGTGATGCACTGCAGGGCGTGATGCACTGCAGGCCGTGATGCACTGCGGGGCGTGATGCACTGCAGGGCGTGATGCACTGCAGGGCGTGATGCACTGCAGGCCGTGATGCACTGCAGGGCGTGATGCACTGCAGGGCGTGATGCACTGCAGGGCGTGATGCACTGCAGGGCGTGATGCACTGCAGGCCGTGATGCACTGCAGGGCGTGATGCACTGCAGGCCGTGATGCACTGCAGGCCGTGATGCACTGCAGGGCGTGATGCACTGCAGGGCGTGATGCACTGCAGGGCGTGATGCACTGCAGGGCGTGATGCACTGCAGGCCGTCATGCACTGCAGGGCGTGATGCACTGCAGGGCGTGATGCACTGCAGGGCGTGATGCACTGCAGGCCGTCATGCACTGCAGGGCGTGATGCACTGCAGGGCGTGATGCACTGCAGGGCGTGATGCACTGCAGGGCGTGATGCACTGCAGGCCGTGATGCACTGCAGGCCGTGATGCACTGCAGGGCGTGATGCACTGCAGGGCGTGATGCACTGCAGGGCGTGATGCACTGCAGGGCGTGATGCACTGCAGGGCGTGATGCACTGCAGGGCGTGATGCACTGCAGGGCGTGATGCACTGCAGGGCGTGATGCACTGCAGGGCGTGATGCACTGCAGGGCGTGATGCACTGCAGGGCGTGATGCACTGCAGGGCGTGATGCACTGCAGGGCGTGATGCACTGCAGGGCGTGATGCACTGCAGGGCGTGATGCACTGCAGGGCGTGATGCACTGCAGGCCGTGATGCACTGCAGGGCGTGATGCACTGCAGGGCGTGATGCACTGCAGGCCGTGATGCACTGCAGGCGTGATGCACTGCAGGGCGTGATGCACTGCAGGGCGTGATGCACTGCAGGGCGTGATGCACTGCAGGGCGTGATGCACTGCAGGGCGTGATGCACTGCAGGGCGTGATGCACTGCAGGGCGTGATGCACTGCAGGGCGTGATGCACTGCAGGGCGTGATGCACTGCAGGGCGTGATGCACTGCAGGGCGTGATGCACTGCAGGCCGTGATGCACTGCAGGCCGTGATGCACTGCAGGCCGTGATGCACTGCAGGCCGTGATGCACTGCAGGGCGTGATGCACTGCAGGGCGTGATGCACTGCAGGCCGTGATGCACTGCAGGGCGTGATGCACTGCAGGGCGTGATGCACTGCAGGGCGTGATGCACTGCAGGGCGTGATGCACTGCAGGGCGTGATGCACTGCAGGCCGTGATGCACTGCAGGCCGTGATGCACTGCAGGGCGTGATGCACTGCAGGGCGTGATGCACTGCAGGGCGTGATGCACTGCAGGGCGTGATGCACTGCAGGCCGTGATGCACTGCAGGGCGTGATGCACTGCAGGCCGTGATGCACTGCAGGGCGTGATGCACTGCAGGGCGTGATGCACTGCAGGGCGTGATGCACTGCAGGCCGTGATGCACTGCGGGGCGTGATGCACTGCAGGGCGTGATGCACTGCAGGGCGTGATGCACTGCAGGGCGTGATGCACTGCAGGGCGTGATGCACTGCAGGGCGTGATGCACTGCAGGGCGTGATGCACTGCAGGCCGTGATGCACTGCAGGCCGTGATGCACTGCAGGGCGTGATGCACTGCAGGCCGTGATGCACTGCAGGCCGTGATGCACTGCAGGGCGTGATGCACTGCAGGCCGTGATGCACTGCAGGCCGTGATGCACTGCAGGGCGTGATGCACTGCAGGCACATCTCGGGAGAATGGAGGCGGTGTGGCAGGAAAATGCCAGTGGTCGCGCTGACAGGCAATAGCATGATAAACACTCTTTTAAGAGTGGCCCACACGCGCGAGAGCAGAGCAATATAAAGCAGAGCAGTATAGAGCAGAGCAGAGAGGAGCAGAGCAGAGCAGAGCGATATAAAGCAGAGCAGAGAATGAAAGAGCATGAGAGCATGAGAGCATGAGAGCACTGACGAGCACGTCAGGGCGCACGCCCTCATGGTCGCACGCAAGCATCCTGCCGGTGCGGGCGAGGCCCGTCTGGATCTCATCGGCCAGCAGCAGCACGCCGTGCTGAGAGCACAGCTGCCGCACCGCCCGCAGGTAGCCCTCAGGCGGCACCACCACGCCCGCCTCGCCCTGAATGGGCTCCACTATGAACGCCGCCACGCGCGGGCCGTGCTCTGGGGGAGATGCACGGAAAGGAGGTGGGGGATTGGGGGGTTGGCGAAGGGGAGGGTGTCGAGGGTCGAGGCAGAGGGCATGAGGGAGCTTCATACATAAAAGCATGATGGCATGGGAGCATGATGGCATGGGAGCATGATGGCATGGGAGCATGATGGCATGGGAGCATGATGGCATGGGAGCATGATGGCATGGGAGCGTGTTGGCATGAGAAGCTGATGGCGAGACGGCATGCGCCATGCTTCAACACACCCCCACCTCCACTCCCTCGTCGCCACACACTTCCCTTGCCTCCCACAATGATTCGCCCGCCACTCACCCTCCAGCAGCCTCTGCAGCCCATCGACGTCCCCGAAGTCCACCTTGAGGTTGCCGGGCAGCAGAGGGCCGAAGCCGCGCGTGGCGTCGTTGTCACACGACATGCTGATGGCCGCCATCGTGCGCCCGTGGAAGCACCCGCAGCACGATATCACCAGCGCCTGAGTGGAGTGGAGGGGAGAGGGGGTGGAGAGGAAGGAGGAAAACGATGGGCTGGACGGGCATGACATGGCAGGGCAAGGCAAAATGTCCCCCTCCCATCCTCCGCAAAGCTCCCCTTCCTCTTCGTCTTTCCCTCCCCATCTTCCCCTCCCCCTCCCCGCCCCACCTCATTGGCGGGTATGCCCTTCTTCTCGTAGGCCCACTTCCTGGCGACCTTGAGCGCGGTCTCCACGGCCTCGGCGCCCGTGTTCATGGGCAGCACCTTGTCGTACCCCATCAGCGCCGTGATGCGACACGCGAACAGCGGGAAGCGGTCGTTGTGGAACGCGCGCGATGACAGCGTGCACCGCTCCGCCTGCTGCTGCAGCGCCGCCAGGATGCGCGCATTGCCGTGGCCCTGCATAAGAAAAGGGGGGGGGACGCGCGGAGGGATGGGTAGGAAGGGGTTCAAGTGCTGACGCCCATTCCGCCACTCAAGCACTTCCTGCCCTGCACTTGCCACTTGCCACTTGCCACTTGCCACTTGCCACTTGCCACTTGCCACTTGCCACTTGCCACTTGCCACTTGCCACTTGCCACTTGCCACTGGCGCACCCCATCTCTCGTCTCTCCTCTCACCTCGCCGCTCCTCTCGCTCCTCCTCTCACCCCCCTCTCCGCGCGTCCCCCTGCGCGCGCACCTGGTTGACGGCGGAGTAGGCGGAGAGGAAGTCGAGGTACTCGCGCCCCTCGGGGTCCGTGATGCGCGCGCCCTGCGCCTCCGCGAACACCACGGGCAGCGGGTGGTAGCTGGGGGAGGGGGGACGTGCGCAGGCGGGCGGGCGGATGGAGAAACGCGCAGATTCAAGGAGCGGCGCGGCGAGGACGAGTGTGCGGTGAGCGGGCTCAGACTGTCTTGCGGAATTTGGCCGCACGCAAGCGCGTTGCCATCCCGGTCCGACCTCCCTATGAATGCCCTGCTCGCGCGCCGCTCACTTGCGCGCGCCACTCACCTGCGCGCCCTACTCACTTGCGCGCGCCACTCACCTGCGCGCCCCTACTCACTTGCGCGCGCCACTCACTTGTGCGCGCTGCTCTTCTCCTCCATTGCAATCAGCTCGCTCGACGTCGCATGGCCATCCGACGTCGCAGAGCCGCCTGCGACGCTCGAAAACCGTCGCGCGACGGAGCCGGCGCCGCCAAGCGGGGAAGTCTCCGCCAGCCACGGCGCTGCGCGCGAGACGACGCGCCGTCCAAGCCTCGCAATGGGCGCCGCCATGGTGGAAAACGGCGGTGGCGGATGAAGTGCGTGGTTTAGCGGAAGAGAATTCGTGTGGCGGCTGAACAGATCACGTGGGACCACGTGGCCGAGCGTGAGTGGAAGAAAGCACGTGGATGGAAAAATGAGGCGCTAGGGGAGAGAGAAGCGGCGCTGGAAGGATTTTTCCTGAGGATCAGCGAGACTCAGCTACTTCGCAAACGGTTCAGCGAGGTAGAGTGAACACCTTCCCAGTACGCTTTCACGAGAACAGCAATGCCTAAAAAAAAGAATTAATTAAGAAGTTTGTGTAATTAAAAGTACCTATTACTAGCCCCACTAAGCCCAATTGAGCACCTAACATTCCCTACGTGATAATGCTGCTATCTTGCAACAAAATAAGGTTCTGGTAAGACCACAAGACATCACGTTTGGCCATTGGCAACCGCATCACAGGCTAATGCCTCCACAAATGGTGCTTTCAGATGGGCATTTGAAGCCGCAACTCGACACGCCATCACATCAAATGGGCCTCCGCTCCTGCCACATGTACAAGCCAACACTCGACCCCCATCGTTAGAAGAACACAGAATTGCAACATCAACACGAAGCATTCTGATTGGGCTCTAAGCTGCATGTGACGGATGATGAGACGGCATAGCAAGGAGCAAGGGGCAAGGGGCAAGCAGCAAGCAGCAAGCAGCAAGCAGCAAGGGAAGGGAGGGAGCAGGGCACTGACGGGTCGAAGCAAAGGCCGCCCGCCTCCTCCACTATCAGCGACCCCGCTGCCACATCCCTGGTGGGTGCACAGGAGGGAGAGGGGGGATGTGAAGGAGAGGTGAGGGGGGTGTGAGGGAGATGTGAGGGGGGTGTGAGGGAGATGTGAGGGGGGTGTGAGGGAGATGTGAGGGGGGTGTGAGGGAGAGGTGAGGGGGGTGTGAGGGAGATGTGAGGGGGGTGTGAGGGAGATGTGAGGGGGGTGTGAGGGAGATGTGAGGGGGGTGTGAGGGAGATGTGAGGGGGGTGTGAGGGAGAGGTGAGGGGGGTGTGAGGGAGATGTGAGGGGGGTGTGAGGGAGATGTGAGGGGGGTGTGAGGGAGATGTGAGGGTGGAAGACGTGAGATTAGATGACAAGTGGTACAAAACCAAATGACGACAGGCCTTATATGCCGTAGCTGCAGCCAATTCCCCAACACACACCATGCCCTGACCTTCTCAGCAGCTTTGCAGCAACCGCACCCGAATATCTTCCATCCCCTCTCCCCTCTTCCTTGCTTGCTCGCTTCCCCACCCCTTGGCGACCCCTGATGCCCCCCCACGCACCAGGGCCCCCCGAAGCCGATCTCGTAGAAGAGGTCGAGGCGGCCGCATGCCACTCCCACCAGGTTCAGCGCACACGACCCTGACAGGCGCAGCGACCGCACCTGGGGCGCATTGGGAGTTGGACGAGGGGAGGAGCGAGGGTGAGTTGATGGGGGCAGTGAAGGATAGGTACGAGGGACGGATATGATGGTGAAGCGCAGACAAACAGAGAGAGTGCATTGGAAGGACAGAGGCCGGTAGGGAGGGCGGAATGCAGCAGCAGGTGGCACAGTAACGGGTGGCACAGTAACGGGTGGCACAGTAACGGGTGGCACAGTAACGGGTGGCACAGTAACGGGTGGCACAGTAACGGGTGGCACAGTAACGGGTGGCACAGTAACGGGTGGCACAGTAACGGGTGGCACAGTAACGGGTGGCACAGTAACGGGTGGCACAGTAACGGGTGGCACAGTAACGGGTGGCACAGTAACGGGTGGCACAGTAACGGGTGGCACAGTAACGGGTGGCACAGTAACGGGTGGCACAGTAACGGGTGGCACAGTAACGGGTGGCACAGTAACGGGTGGCACAGTAACGGGTGGCACAGTAACGGGTGGCACAGTAACGGGTGGCACAGTAACGGGTGGCACAGTAACGGGTGGCACAGTAACGGGTGGCACAGTAACGGGTGGCACAGTAACAGGTGGTGCAAGGAGGAGAACACTTTTCGTCATATCCACTGCTCTCCCAGCATGAGGTTGGATCATGGTGGTGGCAGATTGGCAGACGGCACGCAGGAGGGGGGCGCAAGGGGAAGGGGCGTGCCTGGAAGAGCAGGTTGGCGATGCGCCCTGTGAGCCCTGCCACCGTCCCCACATCCCTCTTCGTGCCGATCTGATGCCCCCCGCCGCCATGTCATGGGTGGCAGGGATTGGGGGGAGAGTAAGTAGGGGGAGAGGGGGGAGGACGAATGAAGTGAAGCGCAAGAGAGGTAGCAGTGATGGGTGAGCAGAAAAACTGGTGCCAAGAAAGGGTGCAAGGGTGCAAAGGGGCATGTGTGCATGAGTGCAAGTGAGAATGTGAGAAAGGGAGCAAAGGGGCATGTGGATGGGTGCACGAGAGCATGGTAGCAGGGGTGCGGTGGTGCATGAGAGCATGGTAGCAGGGGTGCGGTGGTGCATGAGAGCATGGTAGCAGGGGTGCGGTGGTGCATGGCAGGGGGAGCACACCTCAGTGGCGAGCAGCGCTGACCCCATGTGTGTCTGCGAGGATGCTGCCAGTGGTGGGCGCACGGCAACAGGGCAGTGCAGCGCGGGAAGGGGAGAGGGCACAGAGGCAGCACGGGGGGAGGAGTAATATAGGAGTGAGGGGTGATAGGCAAGCGACAGCAGGGAGAGGGCAAGGGACAGCACGGAAAGGGGAATGGGGAAGATTGAGGACGTATAGGGTGACTGCAGGGATGCTGTATCAGCGGAAAGGTGAAGGGTGAGTAGGGTCATGAGCAGTGGGGAGTGGCAGCATGGCACAGCACACCATGGGTGGCAGCATGGCACAGCACACCATGGGTGGCAGCATGGCATGGCACACCATGGGTGGCAGCACAACGTACCATGGATGGGCTCGCCATTGAGCATGGCACCATGACCCCTCATCGCTGTGAACATCTGCACATGACTCATGGCGCATGGGGTATGGGGCACGGGGCATGGTGAATGGGGCATTGGGCATGGGGCATGAGGCATGGAGCATGGGGCAATGGAAAGGAACCATGGGATAGGGGTGGGGGTGGAGTTGCATGAGGAGAGATGTTGGGAGTGATGAGTGGTTGGGGGAGCAGCAGTGCACGTAGTGCAGTGTTGTGAGCCGAGTGGGGGATGTGCGTGCGGCGATTCACATGCATGAGTGGGTTGAGGCGCGCATGGCAGGGCGGGCAGGGAGGGGGGCGTGCCTCGTTGAGGATGGGGTTGAAGACCACCCCCACCACCACCGCCTTGTTGATGGCCAGCCCAATGGACACACAGACGAATGGGTACCTGCTCTTTCCCAGCTCCATGCACACATGGCGTGGGGTACATGGGGCAGGGCACAGGAAACAGGGCATGTAAAGGGCCAAGACATGGAGAGTGGGGGTAGATATGAATGAAGCAAAGGAAGGGATGAGATGCGGTTGAGAAGGCGAGATGATGCTGGCCGCCCATCTCCATCTCCATCTCCATCTCCATCTCCATCTCCATCTCCATCTCCATCTCCATCTCCATCTCCATCTCCATCTCCATCTCCATCTCCATCTCCATCTCCATCTCCATCTCCATCTCCATCTCCATCTCCATCTCCATCTCCATCTCCATCTCCATCTCCATCTCCATCTCCATCTCCATCTCCATCTCCATCTCCATCTCCATCTCCATCTCCATCTCCATCTCCATCTCCATCTCCATCTCCATCTCCATCTCCATCTCCATCTCCATCTCCATCTCCATCTCCATCTCCATCTCCATCTCCATCTCCATCTCCATCTCCATCTCCATCTCCATCTCCATCTCCATCTCCATCTCCATCTCCATCTCCATCGCCATCGCCATCTCCATCTCCATCTCCATCTCCATCTCCATCTCCATCTCCATCTCCATCTCCATCTCCATCTCCATCTCCATCGCCATCGCCATCGCCATCTCCATCTCCATCTCCATCTCCATCTCCATCGCCATCGCCATCTCCATCTCCATCTCCATCTCCATCTCCATCTCCATCGCCATCGCCATCTCCATCTCCATCTCCATCTCCATCTCCATCTCCATCTCCATCTCCATCTCCATCTCCATCTCCATCTCCATCTCCATCTCCATCTCCATCTCCATCTCCATCTCCATCTCCATCTCCATCTCCATCTCCATCTCCATCTCCATCTCCATCTCCATCTCCATCTCCATCTCCATCTCCATCTCCATCTCCATCTCCATCTCCATCTCCATCTCCATCTCCATCTCCATCTCCATCTCCATCTCCATCTCCATCTCCATCTCCATCTCCATCTCCATCTCCATCTCCATCTCCATCTCCATCTCCATCTCCATCTCCATCTCCATCTCCATCTCCATCTCCATCTCCATCTCCATCTCCATCTCCATCTCCATCTCCATCGCCATCGCCATCTCCATCTCCATCTCCATCTCCATCTCCATCTCCATCTCCATCTCCATCTCCATCTCCATCTCCATCTCCATCTCCATCTCCATCTCCATCTCCATCTCCATCTCCATCTCCATCTCCATCTCCATCTCCATCTCCATCTCCATCTCCATCTCCATCTCCATCTCCATCTCCATCTCCATCTCCATCTCCATCTCCATCTCCATCTCCATCTCCATCTCCATCTCCATCTCCATCTCCATCTCCATCTCCATCTCCATCTCCATCTCCATCTCCATCTCCACAGGTGCACAATTGAGACACGGCAAGACTGTTGGCTGTGCCAGTGCACGGATGCACCCCCACCCCCACCCCCACCCCCACCCCCACCCCACACCCACACCCACCGGTGTACGAAGTTGGTGGTGCCATCGAGGGGGTCCACCATCCACGTGGGGTCGTCTGACAGCCCCGCAGTGCCGTGCACTGATGACTCCTCCTCGCCTATAAACTGATGCCATGCCACGCCATGCCACGCCATGCCACGCCATGCCATGCCATGCCATGCCATGCCATGCCACGCCACGCGATGGAGTGAAGGTGGAAGAAAATATGCAGCTTGTGAGAGGGACATTAGCGAAAGGGGAATGAAGTGCGGAACACTAAAATGGACTTGCAGGCAACCACATCCTGACCACACCACCCGGAACCATGCCACGATTCACAGCCATGCGACAACCCACGGGCACGCCACAACCCGGCGAACCCCACGTGTTTCCGGTTCAAACCCACACTTGCCTTGTGGGAGGGATAGGCGGCTGTTATGTGCTGCATGATGAGCGCCTCGCATTGCTTGTCCGTTTCTGTGACCAGGTCGACCTAGACGCAGCACAGTGGGTGGCGGACGTTGGGAGGAGGGAGGAGGGACGGAAGGGGATTGAGTGGGGACAACATGATGTCGAAATACAGGCGTCATTGGGTTTCGGGCTGAGCTCCTGCAGAATGTGTGGATGAGCTTCTGTGCACAAGACACTAAGCTCTCACATGCCATGCTCTCACATGCCATGCTCTCACATGCCATGCTCTCACATGCCATGCTCTCACATGCCATGCTCTCTCATGCCATGCTCTCTCATGCCATGCTCTCACATGCCATGCTCTCACATGACATACCATGCTCTCACATACCATGCTCTCACATGCCATGTTCTCACATGCCATGCTCTCTCATGCCATGCTCTCTCATGCCATGCTCTCACATGGCATACCATGCTCTCACATACCATGCTCTCACATGACATACCATGCTCTCACATACCATGCTCTCACATGCCATGCTCTCACATGACATGCCATGCTCTCTCATCACATGCCATGCTCTCACATGCCATGCCATGCTCTCTCATCACATGCCATGCTCTCACATGCCATGCCATGCTCTCTCATCACATGCCATGCTCTCACATCACATGCCATACCCTGCCTTGGCCCTCCAACGCGCCTCACCTTGCCCTTGTGCTGCACATCCTTTGGTGCATTGAAGCTGCGGCGAATCACCTGGTGCCACGTGTGCACACATCCACGGACGTATAGGTGGGTGAGTTGAGGGACGGTGAGAAATGGAGGGATGGAGGGGGATGGAGGGATGGAGGGGAATGCAAGGGGATGGAGGGGAATGCAAGGGGATGGAGGGATGGAAGGGGATGAAAGGGAATGGAGGGGGATGGAGGAATGGGGAAAAGGATGGAGAGGAGAGGAGAGGAGAGGAGAGGAGAGGAGAGGAGAGGAGATTAGAGTAGAGGAGAGGAGAAAAGAGGAGAGGAGAGGGGAGGGGAGGGGAGGGGAGAGGAAGGCACATGGGAGGGGCACACACGGGGCAGCACACACGGGGCAGCACACACGGGGCAGCACACACGGGGCAGCACACACGGGGCAGCACACACGGGGCAGCACACACGGGGCAGCACACACGGGGCAGCACACACGGGGCAGCACACACGGGGCAGCACACACGGGGCAGCACACACGGGGCAGCACACACGGGGCAGCACACACGGGGCAGCACACACGGGGCAATGCGACGCACCTCGCCCGCCATGCGAGCGGCCGTGACAGCGACGTCCAGATACTCGCGCAGCTCCCGCTCTGCCCGCTCCCACCGGCCATGGCCGCCGCACCGGCGATCGCGATGGCGCAACGATCGCAATGACAATGACACCGCACGACACGTCGCGGGCACGGCACGTGGGAATGCACACAAGAGTCGGCACGCGTGAGCGCAGCGCGAGCATCACAGACAGCAGACGGGAGACACGAAGAGAGAGACAGGCAGTCGTGCGAATCGATCAGCAAAGCCGATGATCGGCAGGATAACGATTAACGACACACATTGGTCGACGCGAGAGGCAGAATTAGCGGCAGGTTTAAAGGCAGGCAGGGAGCCAATGCGGAGACGAGCGACTCACCCGCGACAGCTACAGGCGTCGCCATGAGAGTCGCCTGGAGGCCGGCGACAGTCAGACGGAAAACGCGAGCCGAGAAGCGTTCAAGGGACAGGAGATGCGAGGGCGGTGCGATTGATCGCTGATCACGTGCAGCTGAGACGTGGTGTGTTCAAATGACCCATATAACGATTACTGTATCGTCTTGGTGTCAAGCGTTAACAATATGGATTCATGTAGTTACAGCAGCTGAATTCACTAGCTGATTACAATTCCTACTACAGAGAGGCAAAACCAGAAAAGGAAATATATTAGCTTCTATACCACCTAAACAGCTGAAATAAATGTGCACAGTAAATGCAACCTATGATGTGTTAATCCTAGCGACACACTTGGTTGGAGGAGCTGTGGTGCCAGCACTCAGTAGCCATCGGGGTGCAGGCGGCGCCAGCGCCAGGCCATGGCAAGCGAGTCCCTGAGGTCCGTGTACTTGGCCTTCCAGCCCAGCTCGCGGTAGATCTTGCTCGGGTCGCTGTACACCTCCGCGTAGTCCCCCGGGCACCGCGCCTTCTGCTCCATCACCTTTATGGGCGCTCCTGTCACGTTCAGACACGCATTCACAAACTCCCGCACCGAGTACCCTGTTCCAGCATGAGGGGACGGGGCAGGGTAGGGCAGAGTAAGCAAGGGCAGGGCAGGGCAGGGCAGGGCAGGCCATGCAAGGATGTTGACACTTTAACAGAACACTTTTGCGAAGTATCAAGAGAAGCAGTACGGGAGGAAACAGCAAAAAGCAGCCTGGTGATGGTGGTGTGCGAGCAGCACGGGGAGGCACGGGACGCCCACCTTTGCCGGTGCCGACGTTGTAGATGGAGACGGTGCCGGGCTTGAGGTGGTGCATGGCCACAACGTGTGCGTTGACGAGGTCCGTGACGTGGATGTAGTCGCGGATGCACGTGCCGTCCGCCGTGGGGTAGTCCGTGCCCATGACCTGCTGGGCAGAACCACAGCACAGCCACGCATGCAGCAGGGAGATGCTTGAGGTGCAGTGAATGAGGTGAGTGGGGAGTCGACTCAGCGCAGCAGTCAGTGAAAGCTGTGGAGTAGTGCAGGCGTATCACCGGGCATGCAGTGTGGATAAGAGTGGCGCCCGTTTGCTAGGGCGGCATGGCATGCTGCGGCTCTCCCTCATGGCTGAGCTGCAGATTGAGTTGTGTGTGCCCACCACCAGCAGTGCAGCCGTGCAGGCGTGCAGCCATGCAGAGAGCAGGCACATGCAGCACGCGTGAGCACTCACTACAGGCACTGGTGAGTGTGAGCCGCACAGCGTGTAGTGCGCAGCGCACGCAAGAATGACTTAGCCCATAAAGGCAGCGAGAGAGTAATGGCAGTAAGAGGTGGTATGGTGGTGTGCAGGGTGGGAGAGCAGCACAGCGAGGGAGCGCAGCACGGGGGAAAGCAGCAGAGGGGGAGAGCAGCAGGGGGCGGGGGGAGGGCACCTTAAGCCCATCGATCTTGCCCATGGCGGCATCGAAGCACGCCCCTGTGATGCGCCCGTGGTGCCTCAGCTCCGGGCGAGGCGCCTCCCCCAGCCGCCCACTGGGGTCCGACCCTATCACGTTGAAGTACCTGGGGGGGTGGGGAGAGGGCGGGGGAGGCGGGGGAAGTGAGCAGTTGGGTGTGGGTGGCAGGGGAGGGGATGCAGAGGGTTGAGGAGTGAATGTGCGTGTGAGCGAGCGGGGGAGGAAATGGCTTATCAGGATATGCGGGAGCGCATGTGGGTTCCATTGTGGGTGGGATGGGATGAGTGTCAGCAGAGGAAATGGCAGGGGGGCTGCAAGGGAGATGCTAGGCACATGCGAGCAAGAGAGGCATGTGTGGCGACTGACAAGTGAGCAAGAGAGGCATGTGTGGCCACTGACAAGCGAGCAAGAGAGGCATGTGTGGCGACTGACAAGCGAGCAAGAGAGGCATGTGTGGCGACTGACAAGCGAGCAAGAGAGGCATGTGTGGCGACTGACAAGCGAGCAAGAGAGGCATGTGTGGCGACTGACAAGCGAGCGAGTGCTCTGTGAGAATAATTGGGCGTGCAAGGCACACGATGTGACGAGGGGTAGATACATGGCAGGTGACCTGCGGACGGAAAGACAGGTGGGGAGAGGGGAGGCGAGGGGGCGTGACCTGAGGATGGTGGCGGCGAGGCGGGGGTTGGTGCGCGCGTAGTCGAGGATGACGTCCTCCGCCATCTTCTTTGACTTGCCGTACGGGTTTATGGGCGCCTGTTGTGCACCGCACAGCACAGCACACACACACGGCAGGGGCAGGGGGAGAGGAGGGGTGCAGTGCAGTGCACAGTATGGGGTGATGGCGCCTGTTACATGCACGACAGACGTGCAGGTGAGGAAGGGGGAAGGGGTGGGGGAGCGCACTGGATGCACAGTACAGATGGATGCGTGCTTGCCGGTGAGAGGGCATGCAGAGGGGAGAAAGAGGGGGCCCTTGTGAAGAGCGGGGGGGGCTCTGAGCGCGCCACTGTGCTCTGGTGGCATTGGCGTGCCACGGCCCGCACAGCGTGCTGGGTGATGGGCATGGAGGTGGGGTCACCTGCACGGTGTCCTCTGTGATGGGCATGGTCTTGGGCTCGCCATACGTGGCACACGTGCTGCTGTAGATCAGCTGAGTCACGCCGTGCCGCCCCATCGCCTCCACCAGCGTCAGAGTGTTGGCCGTCACGTTGTGGTAGTATCTGCCGCCATGCCATGCATGCACATGCCCCGTGTCACGTGCCCCATGCACCGTGCCCCATGCCCATTCCCCATGCCATGTTCTCGATGCCAAGTGTGCCATGCCATATACCATGTTCCCCATGTCACATGTGTTATGTCACATGCCCCATATCACATGTGTTATGTCACATGCCCCATGTCACATGTGTTATGTCACATGCCCCATGTCACATGTGTTATGTCACATGCCCCATGTCACATGTGTTATGTCACATGCCCCATGTCACATGTGTTATGTCACATGCCCCATGTCACATGTGTTATGTCACATGCCCCATGTCACATGTGTTATGTCACATGCCCCATGTCACATGTGTTATGTCACATGCCCCATGTCACATGTGTTATGTCACATGCCCCATGTCACATGGGTGGCATGCATGCACGTGGCGCGTGCCCCATGTGTGGGTGGCATCGTAGTGAGGCACACAAGCACAGAAACAGGCCAGCACAACCAAAGGGTTGTGGAGTGGAGAATGCAATCTCCATTTCCCGTGCCAGCGGTGTTTGCATCCCCTCCACCACACCCCACATGCATCCCCTCCACCACACCCCACATGCATCCCCTCCACCACACCCCACATGCATGCTCACCTCAGCGGCTCCTGCATGCTCACCTCAGCGGCTCCTGCATGCTCTCGCCCACATAAGCGACGGCAGCGAAATGCATCACCACGTCGATGGCGTTACTGGCAAACACCGCCTCCACCTGCCCCAGAGACCCACAGTCACCCACACCCACACCCACACCCACACCCACACCCACACCCACACCCACACCCACACCCACACCCACACCCACACCCACACCCACAGCCACAGCCACCCACCCACCCACCCGTTCTCACGCACGCAGCAGCACACAGGGGGGCGCAGGGAGGCCGCAGGGGGCACAGCGGTGCTTCAAGTTCAATTGACGGCGGTGCTTCAAGGGGGAGGGGCCAGAGGTGGAGCATTGAAATAAGCAGGGAGGGTGCAAGAAAACGGTACGTGGGAATGAGCGCATGACACGTGGCAGTGCGCGCATGCACGGGGGCAGCGGAGCAGACCTTGCGCGGGTCCCCCAGGTCCGCATTGATGAACTGCAACCGCCCCTCCGGCGCTATGCGCTGCAGCACCTGCACCGCGCCCCAGTTGCCCCGCGATAGGTTGTCCTGCCATGCACATGCGCACACACATGCGCAGACGTAGGCGCAGCGCGCACACACAAGCAGTGGGAAACGGGAAGAGGGAGGGGAGAAGGTGAGGAGGCGAAGAGGCGGCGCTGGAGTTGAGAGGAGCGCGTGGCAGGAGAGTGGCAGGCGCACCCGCCATGGCGGAGAGGAGAGCGCGGGTGGCAGGAGAGGTGCATGCGGCATACGGGAATTGTGACGTCACTCACGCCAAGGTGGACGTCACTCACGCCAAGGTGGACGTCACTCACGTTAAAGTTCGTGTCACTCACGACAATGGTGACGCGGTGGCCGGACGTGAGGAGGTGCAGCGACGCGTGTGAGCCGATGAAGCCCGCGCCGCCCGTCACGAGCACGTGCGTCACCCCCGCCTCGCGCACGCGGAACTGCCGCACCGCCACATGCGCGCACAGAAGCGCAGGCAGAGGGGGGGAAGGAGTGCAGACAGCGAGGCGTGGAACACAGTTGGGACGCGCACAATAGGGGGAGAGGGGCGAGGGGTGTGCGGTAGCGGGTAGGAGACGGTGAGGATTCAGCACAGGATCGGACATGAATCCCGCGATCAGCTCGACGCATTCTGAGAAACACGCGAGCCTACAGCGACACACCTGCATGGGAGTCGAATCTCTAGATTGGAGCACGAACATGCAGACCGCGACAAAGAGCGCCGCCAGCACCATCTTAACAGCAGATGATCTCTGCCGCCCCGTGGCCGCCGCCATGGGCGAGTCCATCCTGCGCCGCGCGCGCCCGCGACTCAGCCAGCCGTGCGCGGCGGAGCAAGGCGGGAGGTAAGGAGACGGAGTGCGGGATCGTGCGCTCGTTCGTGGACTTCCGGTGAACCCAATGACGCCGCCGTGCACGCCAGCGACGACGAGCGTGGAGAGTGAAGCCGAAGCCGGATTAGCAGCTGAATGGAGGCTGCACGCCACTGCGATGGCGCTACTGCGGGGCTTTGGTCCCAAGAAGCAGGGAGGGTCCTGCTGAAGTGCCCTGTGTGGTCCCAAAGAAACAGTGCCGGCTAATGCAAATCGGTCATCTCGTCAGTTGTGTTAGGGCGCGTGTCCTTTGGTGTAGAAGTTCGGAAAATTGTTGAACTTTGTTTGGTAACGTGCTTCGTCAATCTCGCCAATTATTTCGCGAGGACGTCGTGTGTCCTAGTTCAGAATGTGTGAAGGAAGCTGGACACTGAACTAGAGTCGACCTGCGCTCGAATTTTTACATTTACATTTATCCAATCGTGTGTCCTGCCGCGCACGCACGAAAATTCAGGAGGTTCACGACAGTAACGAGGTCGTTCGCACATGCTTACTGAAGCTGGATACGGTCACGAACTGCACCGCCCAACCGGGTAACCTACGAAAGTCTAGCGCGACTCGGTAATTATTGTTCAAAGTTGAACTTCGCTAATCGAACTCTTGTGTGCTGTGTGATACATGTGAAGCGAGGAACAGCGGATCGAGCAAAATGAATCTACATGGTCGATCCTAAGTCGACCTAGGCTCAAATGGTAGAAGTTCAACTAAAAAAACGAGTTTTGCAAAACACTGTATAAGGACACGCGCCCTTACAGTATCAGGCTCGGCTTGGACTCGGGGAATGGGAGGGAAGGGTGTCAGTCGACGCCTCCAAGACTGAACCAGCCAATCAACGAGCCGCGTGTCACCATAGCAACCCTGAATATACAAGGATCCTCTGTAGTATATGCAATGCAGCTATGATGTGGTTGTTTAGCAATTAGGGAAACATATATAGAAGAGGCATCATGCTACTTGATTTGTTATAATTCGCTGTAAAAGATGTTTTTTTTCAACATTCTGGGAGACGCAACATGACAATTACAACATTCCCCAGCCTCTAACTTGTTTATGCAATATACTATACATCTCTTTATTGGTGTAGCCTCACTCCATCCTATTCGACTCGCATCCGATGTTACAAAGCGAATCGCTGAAAATCCCCGTCCTTGCCGTTGGATTGGGAACGAAGCGAGAGAGGCTAATCGGAGGGTCGTCCGTCGTCAGACATATCCGAGGGTCAATATGGAAATCGAGGAGCGGGAGTTGCGGGATGCTCCCCGCAAAACGTTTCTCCCTCCAGCACACTATGTTGCGGGAGTATCACAGAGCAATCATACAAGGCAACAAGAAGGCAGTACATTCTGCTGTGAGTGCAGGAGCTTCCCAACGAACATCTGGTAGTGTCACCAAAGTGACGTGCGAAACAGTTCCACACATAGCATACCACGTGGCAATGGCTTCGTTCCGGCGATGAGTCTAAATTCCGCGTTTTTACCGTGAGGCGAACCGTACGTCCGGCCGGGCCATCGTTATGGAATATAGGTCTGGGCCTGGGCAAGGGAAAATAGGTCAGAGCAGTCAGCCGGCCATCAAGCGGGTCCAGGCAGGCAGTCGGCCATCGCAGGAGAGACGAGCGAGCTCGCTGAAGAAGCTAGCGCGGCGAGAAGTGAGCGCGCGAGGAAACTGGGCGTTCAAGCGCACGAGCTCGGAGGAGAAATTCAGGAACTTCAGTCTCCAGGTGCGACCATTCAGGCGCCTCGCAGTTGAGGACTTTCGCCTTCATGCGCGCGCGCCGCCTCGTTTCAACCCTAAATACGTTCGCACGTGGACGCGAATTCCCTCTGCGCCCGTGTTGATGCGTGGTGGTTGCCCCCGCTCTCATTACCCATCCCCACTTTGCTTTGCCGTTGTTCGCTCGTGCAACTTCGTCCGCAGGAACTCCTTTCTGTATACCCCCCTGCCTTACCATCCGCTCGGCGAGCAGTGCGCACGGATTGAATGCGTTTCGTGTGTGGACCGTGTGGTGCTGCGCGTGCAGGGGGAGTACGACACGTTTGACGCCAAGGCGGCGCAGGTGGAGCGGCTGTCGTTTCTGAAGCGGCGATCGCGGATCGTGGAGATCGTGGCGGCCAAGGATCTGCTCTTCACGCTCGCGCACTCCGGAGCATGCGCTGCCATCTGCTTAGGTCCGCCTGCTCTCCTCACTTTCCATTTCCCGCTACACTTGTGCGCAAGCCCGTTCCGTGTCGGTCAATTCAGACTATGTTGCTGCCTCTCGTGCCCGTTGTGCGTGATTGTCATGGCGGCAGAGTCGCGGCGGCGGCTGTGCTACATGAACGTGGGGTCGGAGGAGGTGATTCGGAGCCTCTTCTTCAACAAGAACAACGACTCGCTCATCACCGTCTCCGTCTACGCGCAGGACAACTTCAGCTCGCTCAAATGCAGAAGCACCCCGCTCGAGTGCGCCCCTGCCTTTCCTCCCAATTCTCCTGACAATGTCTTCTTCCCCGCTTGACAAGAGGCGTCGTTTGAACTATCGCTTTATTTCTCTGCGTCGTTCTCCTGTCGCTTCTCCCTCCTCCAGTCTGCGCCCCTCCCCCACTCTGAGCCCCTCATGCTCTGCTCCTTCTGCCGCCCATCCCATTCCCACGTGCGCGCAAGTCACAAGGCCCTGCCCGTGTGTCGTGTGCTCCGCTCCACATGGTGTGTGCGTGGTGCTGCGCGTGGCCTGCAGGTACATCCGGAGGGGGCGGCCCAGCGAGGGCTTTGCGCTGTTTGAGTTGGAGTCGCTGCGCTGGCCGGGCTTCGTGGAGTTTGATGACGTCAACGGCAAGGTCCTCACCTACTCCGCTGATAACGGGTATGCTGCCCCTCCCCCCTGTGCTGCACATGCGCTCATGCGCTCACTGCTAGCTGGCTTTGCTACTAATGCGCTTGCCCATCTCCACACCCGCAACCACGTAGCTGCCACTTGCTTTGCACTATCTGTCCTTGCTGTACCTCATGGTCGCATGCTCAGGACAGCCGTTAACTTGTGTGAGTGCGTGTTGATGCGTGTATTGTGTGCGGGGTGCAGCATGTACAAGGTGTTTGACCTGCGCAACTACACTCTCCTCTACAGCGTGCCAGACAGCAACATCCAGGAGATCAAAATCAGGTCAGGATCGGACCTGTGCCAAGTTCAAGAGAGCCTCCATTCCATGTGCCTGCTGTGCTTTCAGTCCGTATAACATTCACCACTTTTGGGTTGTCTCCACCCATCCTGCCCACCTGCAATCCCCTTTCTGCCATCCACCATCTGCTGTCTGCCTTGCCTTGCACTGTGCGCCGTGCAGTCCGGGCATCATGCTGCTGATCTACAACCGCGCGGAGGGGCACGTGCCGCTCAAGATCCTGTCGATCGAGGACGGGGCGGTGCTGGCGTCGTTTGTGCAGCTGCTGCAGCGCGGCAAGAAGGTGGATTTCATCGAGCAGTTCAACGAGAAGCTGCTCGTCAAGCAGGAGAACGACAACCTCCACATCCTCGACGTCCGTGCCCTCCGCTTCCTGCTCCCCTCCCTGCAAACCTCTTTCTTTGCCCATTGCTCCTTGCTGCTGTGCTCCTTGCTGCCATGCTCCTTGCTGCCATGCTCCTTGCTGCCATGCTCCTTGCTGCCATGCTCCTTGCTGCCATGCTCCTTGCTGCCATGCTCCTTGCTGCCATGCTCCTTGCTGCCATGCTCCTTGCTGCCATGCTCCTTGCTGCCATGCTCCTTGCTGCCATGCTCCTTGCTGCTGTGCTCCTTGCTGCCATGCTCCTTGCTGCCATGCTCCTTGCTGCCGTGCTCCTTGCTGCCATGCTCCTTGCTGCCATGCTCCTTGCTGCCATGCTCCTTGCTGCCATGCTCCTTGCTGCCATGCTCCTTGCTGCCATGCTCCTTGCTGCCATGCTCCTTGCTGCCATGCTCCTTGCTGCCATGCTCCTTGCTGCCATGCTCCTTGCTGCCATGCTCCTTGCTGCCATGCTCCTTGCTGCCATGCTCCTTGCTGCCATGCTCCTTGCTGCCATGCTCCTTGCTGCTGTGCTCCTTGCTGCTGTGCTCCTTGCTGCTGTGCTCCTTGCTGCCATGCTCCTTGCTGCCCTCGCTGCCGTGCGGATGCTTGTAACCCGTGCCCTGACTCGCTTGCATGGATTTGGTCCATCATGCCCCTGTCTACCCAGTCATCTGTCTGAACACAACCTTTTCACTGCACTGTAACCCCCCTCTGTGCGGCGGAGAGCAGGTGCGCACGCGGGAGGAGACGCAGGTGAGCCGTACGGAGTTCATGACGCCGTCAGCCTTCATCTTTCTGTACGAGAACCAGCTCTTCCTCACCTTTCGCAACCGCGCTGTCGCCGTCTGGAACTTCCGCGGGGAGATGGTGACGGCGTTTGAGGACCACGAGCTGTGGTACCCCGACTGCAACACCAACAACATCTACATCACCTCCGACCAGGACCTCATCATCTCCTACTGCAAGCACCACCACCCCTCCCACGCCCCCCACGGTCAGTCCACACCACCTCCCCGTGCCTGTCTCTCATTCTAATGCCCTCTGTTTACTGTAAGCCCTTCATGGGCTGTCGATTCTCCTCGTCCTCCCTGCCCCACCTCTCTGTTACCCTGCATTATGCATGTTGTATGCAGTGGGCAGCATCAACATCAGCAACATCCTCACGGGGAAGCTGCTGGCTAAAATATCATCGGATTCAGAGTCGGCTCAAGCCAAATCAAAGTCCGTCCACTCTACCATGAAGGAGGCATTGGAAGACGTCACAGCACTATTTTACGATGAAGATAGGAATGAGATATACACTGGAAATAGAAGTGGCTTCGTACATGTTTGGACAAACTAAGCAA